TTTTACGCCACTTTTACACTTTAAAAGATCAAGAATTCAGTAAACAAACAAAGAAGCTTGATTACTCTGAGCACAAAGTACACGATACTCTTTAGGCCTTTACTGTAGAATTGTTTATTTGAAGTGTACTTTGTGCTTGAAACTAGAAAAACACATTTTCGAATGACTCGAATCCACTTTTCCGCCACTTTTCCTTTAAAAGATCAAGAATTCAGTAAACAAAAGAAAAAGCTTGATTACTCTGAGCACAAAGTACACGATACTCTTTAGGCCTTTACTATACTCATCCCAATCACAATTCACTCATCCGGGAATTGCATTGCGATCATTTGCCAGCTCATTATCACAATTTAATACTACGATGGATTTTGGTAGGATTAATTGAGCATCGATCGATTAATCGATGGATTAATTGAGCTTTAAATGATTAAGATGATGATCAAAGTAATCTTTGAGTTTTTAGGGTAATCTTCAAAGCAATCACATATCATCGATCTTTATGCGGGATAAAACGGAAAAACTTCAACTACAACATGTTGTGATTGTAAAAGAACGGACGATTTCAAGGAAAACGACTTTTAAAGAGTAATAAATAAGTACTTAGTTAAATAGATAAATAGATAATAAATAGTTTGCAAGAAATGGCTTGAATCTAATCGCATTTCATTTTTTTATCCAAATCGCTGCACAGTTGGAAATAAGTGAGTTTAATCTTTCAAAATTGTAGTACTTCTGTAGTTTGGATTGAAAACTAAATATAACAACTAGATAAAAGTGTTTTTAGTGATTCTAAAAGCTTGAAAAGGTGATTTATCAAAGTGGCTATTAGATCTAAAGTCGACAAAGATGAAATCCCGGATTTCCCAAACTTTGATGCTTATAACTCGAGAACCATTGAAATCTATAAGTGTTATAGTAATTTTGAAAGTTGAAACGAGATCTATAAAATGGCATAGTTGATTTTTTAATTAGCTTTAATTTTTAACAACTTTAACAAGATTGAAATGGTCGAAAAGTAAATTTTTTGACATCCGCCTTTGCGCGTTTTGAAATTGGTCAAAAATTAAAGCTAATCAGAAAATCGACTACTCCATCTTATAGATCTCGTTTCAAGCTTTCAAAATCACTATAACACTTATAGACGTCAATGTATAGTTCTCGAGTTATAGTGCTTCAAAGTTTGGGGAAAATCCGGGACTTCATCTGTTTTTGTCTATTATCTATTAGGCCCTTCATTTTCTTTCCGCAATGCACATTCATGTTTTAGCTCTGAAACTCTGAAACTTCTCCTTTGTTTTCCTTCTTTCTCTTGTCAAGTTAAGGTGCCAAATAGCTCAGTGGTTAGAGTAATTGCTGCACGGAAAGCAAAAGGTCGAGGGTTCGATCCCTCTTCGGAAATCTACTTTTCTTCTCAATTTCTTCACTTCTTTATTACTCTTAAGCATACCGTAACTTGTTTTTCTTCATTTTAAACTCCATCTTTGAACAAATCACTATAATATTTACAGAATATCTTTTTCATGATGTTATTCAGCTAAGAGAAAGAAAAGTGTCTTGAAATGATCTCCCAGAGTCAGACTACCAAATCTCGAGATTCTAAAGTCTTTCTTGCTTGATACAAAGTCATTTTACGTTTAAAAAAAGAATACGATATGCACACTTTATACAAATACCACTTGTAAATGCTTTCCCTTAAATATCAAAGCGTATTCTTTCTCCTCATCGCCGTCGGAATCTCGAGGAAAACTCTTGGCGCATCAGCATTCTCGTTTTTCTCTCTCGACAACCAGGAGCCCAAACCGATTTTGCGTTTTTCTTCTAAAATTCGACTTTTAGCCTTTTTGCATCTTTGTTACCGTAATACATTGTCGCAAAATTTTTCGATAAAACGGAGTGCAAATGATTGCGATACAATATCCAGGTGAATGCATAGTCAATGGAGCAAAGATACAAAAGAGAACTAAAAAAATTGAAGATAAAAATAGATTCTCGTTGTAAAATAGTCTTTTTTAAATAGTATTGTATAATCTTAAAATCGAAACTTACAAATCTCAGGCAAATGTAACCAGCCAAGGGCTGAGAAAAAGAGAGCAAGAGCTGGGAGACCGATTGATGTGAGTAAGACGAAAAGCTGAAGTTTTTATATACTTTTTAAGCACTGATCAGCTCTAAAATCTACCGTAACCGTCGTTTCTATGATCTATAGTGGATCTATTGTTTTCTTTATGCGATTAATGATGTCTGGATTACGGTAACACGAATCAAAGCTTACGAGAGCCTGGGAAACTCCGGTAATCGAAAAAAGAAACGTTCTAGAAAACAGAAAAAGTCTAGAAAATAATTCTAGTTCTTAAAAAGAAGTCTAATCGTTTCTCTTAGCTTCTCTAAACTTTACCTGAATCAATGTAAGCCGAAAAAGAAGATCCTGCTTTTGTCGTGTCTTTTTACTCGCTGAAGCATTAACGGAGAACTTGTACATCAACAAAATAGTGACAATTATTGTTCTATAATGTGGATCAATTCTCGAATTTGTCTCAACTTACAGTAGAAATATTCCACAAAGTGGTAGAAGAGCTGGATTCGTTAGAAAAACGTTGAACGACGCTTCGAGATACAAAATCTCGCTGAAGCTGCGGATCGCTTCGAACTGAAGAATAGAATTTGAATACTGTTCCAAATCTACTGTATCCAGATATCCAGGATTACTGTAGCCAGATTTCTGGATTACTGTAGCCAGTTATTCAAGGATTACTGTAGCCAGTTATTCAAGGATTACTGTAGCCAGATATCCAAGGATTACTGTAGCCAGATATCCAGGATTACTGTATCCAGATATCCAGGATTACTGTAGCCAGATATCCAAGGAATACTGCAGCCAGATATCCAGGGATTACTGTAGCCAGATTTCCGGTTTACTGTAGCCAGGTATACAAGGATTACTGTAGCCATATATCCAGGGATTACTGTAACCAGCTAGACAGTTCGGTTAATGCCTAGATACAGTGAGCCGAGCCTTAAAAACATCCTAACAATAAACCCAAGCTACAGTAGTCCCAGTAAACAAACTCACCTGCGGATCAACACTATTGTAGCTGAGACAAAGATTCAATGCATAAGCAATTGCACAAATCCCAATGACATTGGACAGAAAACTAAAGATCTAAAAACTTAAGGATTATAATAAAAAGAAAAATTATCTCACAATATAATAAACAGCCAACGGTTTCTTCCAGTGCAATGGAGCCAATGCAACGGCTCGATGTAAATAAGTGGTCAATAAGAAGAGCAAAGATAGGCCAAAGGTTGTGGCACAAAGGGTCTAAAATAAGGAAAAATATCTAAAAAGCTAGTCCTGTTTATAGAAAATTTAGGGTTAAGGGTTGAGATTCGGTAATGTGACCAAACTTATCTAAAACTCACCAATAATACAACCATCATTTCTTGGGACAAATTCCAAGAAGAAATCGAATAAATAGCAAGAGGGATTGCCACCACTGGACGTAAAATGAAAAAGCCGAGAGCAAATAGGAAAGAGTTTATCTGAAAAATGAGTAATCAATCTATTTATAAGTCCTTTACTTATTTGGGAAACTTTTTTGTAAACTTCTTTCCAAACTTCTTTCCAAACTTCTTTCTAAACTTCTTTCTAAACTTCTTTCTAAACTTCTTCCTAAACTTCTTCCTAAAGTTCTTCCTAAACTTCTTTCCAAACTTCTTTCCAAACTTCTTTCTAAACTTCTTCCTAAACTTCTTCCTAAAGTTCTTCCTAAACTTCTTTCTAAACTTCTTCCTAAACTTCTTCCTAAAGTTCTTCCTAAACTTCTTCCTAAACTTCTTTCCAAACTTCTTTCCAAACTTCTTTCAAGTAGGAAAGAGTTTATCTGAAAAATGAGTCTTTAAACTTAGGACTATTGGATTAGACTTATTGGAGAATTTGAACTGATTCTATCTAGAACTAAATGTTAATTTGTTACGTTTTGAATCAATTTTATAAAAATAGCTCTAAAACTTTAAATTTGTTCAATTCAATTAACTGTTTTGGGTTTTAATTCAAAATCTTTCTTTGATAATGAGTTGTTCTTTGACAATGACAACTTTTATAACAGCTTTTGACTTTTAAAATGTTTACATCTATGCTTTCAAGAATAAGATTGCCTTGGATGCAAGTTTTATTCATAATTAGAACACCTTGACAGTCATTTATAGAGATTCTGCTTTTGTTTTGTAGATGGCCAAAAAAAGGTATTCAGCTGTAAACTTGTACCCGAGGGTTTTCGAGGTCTGTGAATCGATTGGAAATCTCTGTTTTGTTCAATCTATCGTTTGTCCTCAATTCTATATTGAAGAGCCTAATGTTCAAGTTAAATCATGAATAGCTCTTGCATCTATTCGATTTTAATTTTCATATCTAGTTCTTAAACATTACTATAATAACCGTAATCTTATATTACATTTAATTGTAATTTATTTAAAGAATCAAACACTAAAACCAAACTTACAATGATCGCCAATTGAATCCGTTTAAACACTTTCAAATAAGATGGAGCTGGTAGAAGTAAAAGAGAAATTGTGAATGGACAAAGGATTAAATCCATCATTCCGATTAAAGAATAGATTAAGTTAAGAAAATTTCGATTTTCAATCGTTGGAACAAACATTTTAGAAGAGCTTTACGATTACAATTACAATTACAATTACATTGACTTAGACTAGGCTTATTTCTAAAGCTTGATAGCTTTTGATTGACAGGTGATTGGGGAAATCAGAAAAATAATCAGAAAACAGGTGATGATGGTAAACAAGCTTTTTTATTAAACAATCAAAGCTCGAGGAAAAAAGTTGGGATTATTTTGGAAAACATTGGACTTTAGCAGTCTGTAATTATCGTTTTTTGAAGACTGTTATTACGAAAAGTTGAACTCACAGGTGTATATTGTGCTTTAAAATTGGAAACGCATTTTTTCTGGTGCATTGAAGTCTAGACCAAAAGAAAATGATTAAAGAAAGCCCAGAAATCGTTTGTTTACACTTTAAGCACAAAGTACTGATCTTGGCTTTGATTTGGATCAATCTTTATCTAAAAATAACTCAAAAATTGTCTCTAAATAGCTCTAAATAATTCTAAATAACTCTAAATCTGTTTTCCAGCTGTATTTTGATCGTTTAAGAGAAAGATTAATCGAATCTGTCTGAAGAGTTGAAGCAAATGAGATCAACAGTTTTTTTTTTGGGTAAGCAAAACTTTTTCCTGTGATTTCCTTTAATTAGATGATTATTTAAACACATTCATGAGCTATTGGGTTGGGGAGAATGAGTCGGCGCCAAACTTTAAAGGGACTTTTTGCACACATAAAGCCCTCTTTAAACATACGTTTGGTTTCATCAAAAGGATCCACTATTTCTCTACAAAATGACTTTTGAGAGATTCCACAAAGCTTTTCTTTCGTGGAGTTTATGAACTTCCAAACGCAGCTGGTTAAAATGGCAAAGAGTCCGACTCATCATTTGAACAGTTTCTTTCACATAAACCTTCTTTGGTGTTTATATAAAAAAGATAGAGCACATTCAATTACTTAAGTTGCCAAATTTGCAGGAAGATCCCTCCAACCGTTTACTCTAGATGACAGTTTATCGATTTTGTGAAAAAAATGATCCTTTGTTGAGTTGAGGCGCTGTTTGAGTTCTCTTTTAAATATTATTTTGTAGAGAATTAGTTAACCATTCTACTGATATCAAACGCATATTATTTGACGAAGTCTGCTAGAAGTTTTAGACATTTTTTTGATTTTCGGCGCCGACTCATTCTCCCCAACCCAATAATAAGTGAGCCTAAACTCATCTTTAGCACCTACAAAGTTTTCAAATGAAATTGAAGGTTCAAACTAAAAGCATTCAACCTTCAAAGTTGCTTTTTTGAATTGCTCAATGAGAAAATACTGTAACAAAAAGACTTTTCTTGTTTTTTCGTTTATTTTTCAGTTTAAGTAGATCGTTCAGGCTAATTGCTGATACCGTATTTTCTCTAATTGTAGTGCACTCCGTCAAGCCGAGTTGGTGACTATTTTACGGTTTCCAAGCTTTTGGAGAAGCTCAACACTCAAATCCCCCACTAGATCTCATCGTCAGCTACATTTTCCGACCGCACATCGATAGGTTCTGATAAGCGGTTCTCGAGATTTCGAGGAATTTAAGCAACGCTCCGGGTGCACTACTATTAGAGAGAATAAGGTAAGTTACGTTCGTATACGAACTAAGGAATGTTTAAAAGACAAACCGACTTGATACCAAAAAAAAGATGTGCAAAATATATGAATTTTATATCATAAAACAAATGTCAACTCATTTGGTAGAAAATCTTTTATAGGGGTCCAAAGTCTAAAAATGCTTATTTTCTCTAATTGTTGTGCACCCCGGCGAGCCGAGTTGATGACTATTTTACGGTTTCTAAGTTTTCGCAGAAGCTCAACACTCTAATCCTCCACAAGATCTCATCGTCCGCTACATTTTCCGACCCCACATCGATAGGTTCTGATAAGCGGTTCTCGAGTTTTCGAGGAATTTAGGCAACGCTCAGGGTGCACTACTATTAGAGAAAATACGGTAGAGTTTTCGGGAAGAATTCCGATTGACTTTCTACTTTCTTTTTATAGGCACAAGTGTTATCATTGAGCTAGAGAACTTTTGTTCAATAAAACAAGGAACTTGTTATCTTTGAAATTTTCAAAAAAATACTTTTTAATAGTTAATCACAATTTTTCTATTAACTACAGGAATGACGATTCTTCTCGGAAATCAAAGTCTTTTCATTGTGAAAAGCTATCATAAATTAAAGAAAACTGTGAAAACAAAAACAGTTAGGCTACTTAAGGCTTAGTTTGACTTGAAAAGCTCTTTTATCTTTCTTTTTAATCTTTTAAACTTTTAATATCTGATAAGACATAAATGGTAAACCATTGAGAAACCGATTTACTTTAATCATTTGTATTCGGACCACAAATCAAGATAAACTGAATCGATAAATGAGATCCAAAAAAGGAAACCGAACAGAACCGAAGCGAGGAATTCAAGGAAACTCGTTAAATCATTGTTGAGAAAAGAAAGATGTTGGATAGCTGTAACTCTGTTGCCACTGTCTTAAGCATAAACTTACAGGTTTCAGAAAGAAAAATGTAAATTTAGGGTGAACTTCTAGAAAACTTCTAGAAAAAGAATCTACCCCAAATTTGCTGTATTTTTCTACAGTATTTTCCATTGTATTTTTCTATTTTTCTACATCCTACCAAAACGCTAATCAATTTACAAAGTTTTCTTTTCTTTTCTTCTTGAAATGATTCCCAAATGAGATTTAATGTTTAAAATTATTGCCTAGGGTTTTCAGGATCATAGAACCTATTGGCGGGGTTTCTTTTAACCATTTATCCAAAGAAAAGTCGAATCGCATTGAGAGAATCGAATTGATTGAAACAAATTGACTGAATCGAATTAAGAGAATCGAATTGAGAGAATCGAATTGAGAGACCCGAATTGATTGAAGCGGATTGAGAGAATCGAATTGATCAAGAGATTCGAATTGACTTTGAATTTTTGTATTTAATAGCTTTTCACAATGTAAAAATGTTTTTTTTTTGTCAAAAAACCCGGTTTTCCAAGAAGAACTTGATTGACAGACGGACGGATGTTCCTTTGTGTTGTTCGCTGTTTATTTTTTCTCATTCAATTATTCAATTCTTTCAATTACAAAAGTTTAAGGCTAGCAATTAGCTGTTGTTTGTTTGTTTGAAATTTATACAATTTGAAATCAAAAAAAGTTTCAAATAATCACTGTAGTTTGGTTTAGTTGCCCAAAAAATCTTTGAAAGTCTTTGTAATAGATTCATGACTTATCTACGAGTATTTAAAAAGTTTCCAAATGACTAACTGTAGTTTGTGGTTTAGTTACGCAACCAGTTCAACCACTGGGTAGACATGTCGATTTTCGAGTTTTGGCGGCCGGGTCGGGTCAAAATATAAATGCAAATTTACCAAATGTTTTTTAAGAAATGTTATTAACATAGGTATTTATTCGAACGCAACAATGAAATAGGCAAACAAAAATTAACAACAACAAATTACTTATCAATAACTACTCAAATAACTACAATCCGATCCGTAAGAAACAAACTCACTAGTGCTATTAGGAAAATTACAGCTTGAATCCTATCCTTTTTTGATGTGTAACTTTCCGTCTGTAGCAGTTACCTTCAGAGCGATATCCATAACGAGTCTCCAGCGAAGTTGGCCAAACTCTACTCCTAAAACTAGCATTTTTTTCTGAATACAAAGAGACTAACTTCATGTACTTTTGATTAAGGCTAAACTTAAAGGGCCGACTTCAATTTTGTAGGGGCTATTCGCTGTTTTTCCAAAGCAAACCACAAATATTCAAATAAAACTATTACTACACATACTAAAAATTGTGCCTGAAAAGACGCTCCGAAGAAATGAAACTAGCTGATGGCGATATATATTGAACCGCAATCGGATATAAACTAAAATAGTAACTGAATACTAGAAAATAGAGTGAACAAACTTTTTAAAACGAGCTTTGTTTTTGGAACCACCACAGATACAAGTTTTCGGTAGTAGACGGATGGGCTCCCTTTGTACAAAAGCGTACGTAGTCGTCAATCTCGAGCTATAACACCTTAATTTGCACTAAACTCAGATTTTCACCCACCTGCAAAGTTGAAACGCGTGTTTTTTTTTGGAGGCAGGTTCGACGAGAAGCCATTCCAGTGGATTGATTTCATGGCTTTCCGGATCCTTGCGCATGTCGGGCTCAATTTGATTATCCAAACAAAGGGAATCTAAGCATAAAACCTAAAAAATTATTTTTTGAGAAAGGCTACCGTTTTTAAAGAGGATCCGCTCTTTGATGTTATTCCAGACAAGCTCGTCATATAAAGTACATCTGCAACTCGAGCGTGGGTCCAGAAAAATTGCTTCTTGCAAAAACTCATCCTGATAAGCTTCTGCGGTGGCTTTGTTGAGCTTGCTTGTGAACTCTTTGCATATATCGATAAGAGCTTCATCTCCTAGCATCATTCTAAAATATTAGATAAGAATTTAGGCATTTAACAACAAACTTTTCACTTGCTATTTTCAAAATTTTCAATAAATAAATCACATCCGAAGGTGAAAAACTATCAATCGACATCTAAAAAATAATAATAAAATAAATGAAAATGACATTTACCTTTCTCAAATATTCATCAAAAAGCCCAAGGATTTCGGCAATTTTTTTACCACAATAAGTTTTTCTTCGTCAAACACATCTTTGTTTATCTCTCGTAGGATTGCATTTATCGGACGTGTCTAAAATGCAAAGCTTTCAAGAAAATGTAAAAATACGTACTGCTCTCAAGCAATCAATTGTAAATAGTATAGTGAATTCCAGCGACTTTCACACTTCGTTCGAGGCATCACAAGTGGACATGCATATTCTTTACATAAACTTAAAGAAAAAATTGGACTTTCAACTGAAACTATACATACAAACTCAATAAACTTGCGTCGCGAAATTCCCGAGTTGTGTATGCGATGAACAGCTGATTTCATCCGATCAATAATACTAAGCAAAAAGCTTTGCTTCAGAAGTCTTCTCACCACGAGATTTATTAGGTTGTCGGATTATGAATTGCCGTTTTTATCAAAAAGAAATTTTATTATAAAATCAATACAAAAATATTTTAATCTAAAAGGTATTCTCCATCGGTATCTATGACATCTCGCCAACGTCCACGCAAAGAATGAATACCCTTGTTGAAGAACTCGACCGGCTGTGGCTCAAAGAAATTGGCCACCCAAATTTGGACTTCATCGCGGTTTTTGAATTTTTTTTCGGCCAAGGAATGCTGCATCGACCGGAACAAATGGTAATCAGATGGCGCAAGGTCTGGGCTATATGGCGGGTGAGGCAGAAGTTCCCAGCCCAATTCTTCAATTTTTTTCAGAGTTACTTTTGCGGTGTGTGGACGCGCGTTGTCATGGAGCAATTTTGTTGACGCTGTTTCCACTCCCTGTCGACGAAGCGATTGATCGACGCGGCTTAATTGTTCTTTGTAGAGGTCCGCATTAACCGTTTGACCAGAATTTAGCACTTCAAAATGCACTAATCCTTTGCTATTCCACCAAACACATAGCATTACCTTTTTGCCATGGATGTCTGGTTTTGGAGTCGGTTTTGGGGTTTGTCCAGGGTCCAACCATTGTCGTTTTCTAGTGGTATTATCAAAGGATATCCACTTTTCATCAGACGTGACAATCGACTCAAAAAAAGCACTGTTCTTGGCTTGACGCAAAACAATTCCGGCCATATTAATTCGCGTTGTTTTGTTCAAATCGCTTAGTTCATGAGGCACCCATTTACCGCATTTATTCACCTTACCAATGGCATGCAAGTGGTCAGCAATGGTGAAATGATGACAACCGAACCTCTCAGCAAGTTCTCGTGTCGTTTGGGCAGGATCAGAATCGTTGGCTGCTTTAAGTTCCTCATCGTCCACAGTTTTTGGTCGCCTCTCATGTTCTTTGTCTTCAAGGCTCTCGTCGCCGTCCCAAAAGCGCTGAAACCAATTGCGACATTGACGTTCGTTGATAACATCTTCTCCGAATGCATTGCTTATAGAGCGATGGGATTCTGCCGCTGTTTTTCTTTGTTTGAAGTCGTAGAACAAACAAATCCGCATTTTATTTTTGATGTCGTTCATTTCCTGAGACAAATTTATATTAAAAATCTAAGCAAATATAGACGAATAATATATCAACATAAAACGCTCTTTAATATAGTTAAAAAAAGTACCACAAAAATTTATTTGAAAAAAATACAAAGCAAAAAAGACAACGGCAATTCATAATCCGACAACCTAATAGCTTGTGGCCGAAGCAATTCACCCTAAAGCAAAAAATCAAATAAATTAAAGAAAGTAATGAAAGTCTTACCAGTTCAATTTTAGATGATCTCTGATAGCCTTTTTTACGTCAGATCCTCCGTCAGTGGTTGCCGTTTTCACCTTTTGTTCAATCTCGAAATCGACCATTGTTTTTTTTAAGTTGGCAGCCATGTCTATGCTTTTCCTAAAGCCAATTTTTAGAAGCTAGGTATAAGTAAATTTATTACTTAGATAACAGCGGAAAAGCATCGATTAGTAAACTTTTCTTGAGGCCCTCTTTGCCTTGAACTTTTTTTGAGGCCGTCTTGGCCGTTTCTGAGCAAGTATCGCGCACAGCTCATTAAAGCTTTTGCTTTCAACCTAACATTTTCTTTGAGGTTGTAAGTTTATAAAAACATACAACGTTAAAAGGTACTCGACTACAAACCACTATAAATTTCTTTAGCAATGTTATTTTTGGATGTACTTTAGTCCATTCAAAAGTACTTGCGATTCTCTATTTTTGAGTTATAGTTCATGTCAATGCGACAGATTTAAAGCAAGTTAGAAGTTTTTGTAGTTTATAGTGCCCGTGTTCATCACAGTTTAGAAAAGCTAGTTGGCATTAGTCCAACAAAGCCGGGTCGCAGGTCGGGTCAGCGGGTCACTTTTGACCCGACCCGCCCCGCCCCACCCCGCCCCGCCCCGACCCATGTCTAATGTGAAGTCCCAAAATAGCTATTTTTGTCAAAATCGAATTCCAAACATATTCAAAGAGTCTAGGATTTGAAAAATTCGCATTATTAGCTCAGTTTTATCTTGCTTCAGTTACCCAGGACCGAAATAGCTTGTTTTCTTGTGTAAAAATCAAATTTCAAACGTATCGATGCGTCTAGAACAACTAATCGACTTCCCGCAACTCATTTCCTTTTATTTGATCTCGTTTCCGGATTTTTCCAAACTTTTTTTCCTTATTTAAAAATACCATAAAAAAATTCCTTGTAGTCTTCTTGTATCTCTAAAACATCTGCTCAGTTCTTTTTCATTTATTTTTTCAAAAACTCCATTTCGTTCTTCGATTCACTCACAATTCTAATGTTTTTCCCCACCGAAAATCAACGAGATTTCCTTAATTTCATTTATTTATTAATTGGATGCTTTGATTTAATCCTTAGCCCTTTTACCATTTGTTTACTTTGTTTCCCGACGCCGGATTATCTGAAAGTGTTCAAGAGGATTCAGCTGGGCGTTGTGGTGAGGAGTTACAGTAAGATTCTTGAAGGAAATAAGCGATTCTAAAAGACCCCTGAAAAGTTAAAGTAATCCCACAGTTATTCAAGTGGAACGTACAGCAAGATTAGACTTTTCTCTTTGTTTCATTCTAAAGATTTCCTCCGATGAGAAAAGCTGACGTTATCCAGCTAAGTAGAAGCTACAGTAAGATTAGACTGTCTTTTCTGATTAGCTAAGCAATTCTGGAAAGCCCTGCTACCGTAATTCCTGTTATTAACCAAGTGAAAGCTACAGTAAGACTTTGCTAGACGATTTCCGAAAAAAGCTACTTTTTTATCTACCGTAATCCATTGTTTTTTGGGAATTAGAAAAACCTACCGTAATCCTGATGTTTCCAAGTGTCTACTGAAAGATTTTCTGGTTTAGTCGATTCTAAGGCATTCTTTGAGAAAGCTATAGTTCACTGTTTAAAAAGTATTCTTTCATAAAAGCTATCGTAAACCTATTTCTCCTGAGCTTGTTTAAAACAGTAAAAAAAGCTTTGAATTTAGATGAATTCGCTCGCTTGTAGTCTATGCATTTTGTTCATTCGGCCAGTCGTCACCATTCCTCTTTCAATCTATTCGATTTCACCGCAATACTTTGACAGAAAGACGATTACAATCGTTTTTGTAAGTGAAAACTTTAAAGCTTTAAAGAAATTTATAGATATTCAGTTTAATTATTTCTTTTTTTCCAGGGTTTCGCTTGTCAATTTGCCGGTTTCTCAGTCATTTTTCTTATTTCCAACTATTTCCATCGAGCCATCGTTTTAGCGTCATTCGCCTGGAAAAAATCGCTTATCACTTATTTTACGGTAATAAATCATTATCTAATAGATAGTTATAGAGAGTTATAGATAGTTATAGAGAGTTATGGATATTTATAGATATCTATAGATAGTTATAGATAGTTATAGAGAGTTATAGATAGTTATAGAGAGTTATAGATACTTATAGATATCTATAGATAATCATAGATAGTTATAGAGAGTTATAGATAGTTATAGAGAGTTATAGATACTTATAGATATCTATAGATAATTATAGATAATTATAGATAGTTATAGATAGTTATAGATAGTTATAGAGAGTTATGGATAGTTATAGATAGTTATAGAGAGTTATAGATAGTTATAGATAGTTATAGATAGTTATAGATAGCCATTTATATCTATTATATCAGAAATTTATAATAGATGTAAATCTATAGAAGTTAAACGCAAAAAAACGAAACCTAGTCAGATATAAATGTCAAAAACGAGAAATTGAAATGAAATTTGTCAAAAGTTAGACTTTTAAAGCTTAAAAATTTGTTAATTTAAGCAAATAATCTAAAAATTAATCATTTCTATCATTTAGATAATTTCCTTTTTATGGACAATGTCGAATTTCTCGAGTATCACCTACGTTGTCTATCAACTCTTAACAAACATCCCAATTACCGTACCTGTTGAAGTAAATTTGCATCTATATTCTGCATCTATTAGAGATTATTAAATTTAAGCTTTTTTTCTTAATATTTCGATCTATAACCAATTTTTTGTTTAGCTCAAATCGATCACAAATCGCAGCGGCGTTTTACTGCTTGACGCTGAGGAATTCACCGATTTAAACAAAATCACCCAAATCCCGAACACGATTTGTTTATTGTAAGTATGAAAATGTGCAAAGAATTGAAATTTACTTATATTCTAGATCTTTGCCTTAAAAAAACCCCATAATCTTTGTTTTTTCAATCAAGAAACTCAGAGATTTAACGAGCGATCAAAATCACTCATTTTTGATATGCTTTTAGATGATTTTAAACACGTTTTAGACAAAAATTTGCATAAAAAATAGAAATTTACATTTAGATTACTTAAAATGTAACAATATTCAGCTAATTTCAGAACTCTAATCGCCACGATCTTTCTCATTTTCAAGTTCTCAAAGAGAAAGGGACTTGCAAGTGGAAAAACGCAAAGGAAACAGAAACAACTTTTCCGAATCACGTTGATTCAAGTAAGTTAAACAAAAATGATTCTAGTCAGCTTATTCTTACAACGAAAACCGATCTAAACTATACGATTGAAGAAATATTTTCGTTGCAGGCTTTGGTTTTTACTCTCACAATTGTCATCCCTGCCTGTGCCCTTATTCTAGCTACAACCACTACAATTATCACGATTCCTGATCTTTGTAAGTTTACAGAAAATGTTGAGAAGAGGATCTCATTATCAAAACAGTAAAAACAATTAGAGCATCAATCAGAGCAAGCAAACAAACAAAGCCAGAAGTTCTAGAACTTGCCCGACTTTGCTTGACAAACTAATTTAGTCAAGTGAATCAACTTTAAGTCAAAACAAACGAAAGTCAGACCTGAGTTTAGCTTAGATTCTAGAGCCTGGTCTAAGATCAAAAGATTAGCCAGAAGCTCTGGTAGCGTTTGACCAACCACAGCCAGAAGATTGACCAACCACAGCCAGAAGCTCTGGTAGCGTTTAACCAACCACAGCCAGAAGATTGACCAACCACAGCCAGAAGATTGACCAACCACAGCCAGAAGCTCTGGTAGCGTTTAACCAACCACAGCCAGAAGATTGACCAACCACAGCCAGAAGATTGACCAACCACAGCCAGAAGCTCTGGTAGCGCTTGACCAACCACAGCCAGAAGCTCTGGTAGCGCTTGACCAACCACAGCCAGAAGCGCTTGACTAAACTAGTTCTGGCTAATCTTTTGATCTTAGACCTGGCTCTAGAATCTAATTAGAACATCACTATTAGAGGAACTCATCCAAAACTTTCCATAATATTACTTGAATTGATTTCTTGCCAGTCTGGCTTTGATTTGCTCTGATTTGGAAAGCAAAAGTGGAATTAAGTTCAGGTTAGAATCTTCCCATGTTAAATTTGAACATAAGACGATTCAAGGAGTTCTGATCTATTCACGATTCAGGTCTCTACTTCATCTTTTGCCCAATATTGATGCTTTCCCCCGGCAATTGCTTGGCGATCATCATGATACCTCATTACAGGAAACAAATAATACAATTTGTTACGGTAAGTCTATTCTTACAATATCAATTACTAAAAATAATACTGACAATTGTCATTCATTTGTTTTTTTAGAAGCAAACCATTCGGATCCAGCGTTTCCCGGTTTTGCGTCGAAAGACAAAATCCTCGATTGCGATTTTCGTTGAAGTTCAAAGGAATTTGAAAAAAAGAAGTAGTTATTGATTAAATTTACTTTTTCAGTTCTGTGATCAAGCAATGCCTTAAATAAATCAGCTCAAAATCATTTAAAAGCTACTTTTTCTATTCAATAAATACAAATCATGAAAACTTTTCGATAAAGATGCCTAAAATTTGTTTCCTTTCTCTTTCTAACGTAATCTTTTCTTTATTTTTATTCAATCTATCCACTTTTTGTAGCTTTGGTTTTCATTTTTGATTAGACAAAATCAGATAAAAAGTATTATTAGATAAAAGCTAAGGTAGAAAGTTGAAACTCTTTCAAAAATCTCTATTTCATTCTATAAATTTTGCTATGTTTCAATTTTTTGCTAGAGTTTTTTAAAAGTTTCGCCCAAATAGCCTTTTCTCTAAAGATCTCACCTCCAATCAATGATCTCATTTCATTCGTTGCTTGCTGCTCTGCTTGCTGCTTTGCTTGCCATTTCGCTTGCTGCTTTGCTTGCTATTTCGCTTGCTAATTTGCTTGCTGCTGTGCTTGCTGCTTTGCTTTGCTTGCTTTGCTTGCTTTGCTTGCTTTGCTTGCTTTGCTTGCTTTGCTTGCTTTTTTTGCTTCTGCTTCTTTGCTGCTCTGCTTTGCTGCTTGCTGCTTGCTTTGCTTGCTGCTGCTTGCCTGCTTGCTGCTTCTGCTTGCTTGCTTTGCTTTGCTTTGCTTTGCTTTTGCTTGCTTGCTTGCTTCGTTGCTTTGCTTGCTTTGCTTGCTTTGCTTTGCTTGCTTTGCTTTGCTTGCTTGCTCTTGCTTGCTTGCTTTGCTTGCTTTGCTTGCTTTGCTTGCTTTGCTTGCTTTGCTTGCTTTGCTTGCTTTGCTTGCTTTGCTTGCTTTGCTTGCTTTGCTTGCTTTGCTTGCTTTGCTTGCTTTGCTTGCTTTGCTTTTAACATTGGAAAAACTTGCTTTTTCATCATTCTTTCAAAAACTTTCAACAATTGAATTGTACAAAAAGAAATTCAGAAATTCGATCACTTTTTCATTTCATTCCCTTTCTTTACTTTTAGAGTTTTTTTTGGAGCTAGAGAATTTTAAGTTTAAATCTTTTCAATCTTTTTCCAGGTGATCAAATTTTCCATCAAACTTTTTCAGTTTACATTTTTCCTTGCAGGTGTTTCAGCTTTAAAGTTTCATTTCAAATCGTTAAAACTTTATTTTCACATTGCCAAATTGCTGACAATACCCGTAATGGTGAAGAAAATTCCGAAAATGAAAAATAAAAAATTCGTAAAAATGTGTAAAATGATGGCTTTATAGTTTTTATTTTGAAGGTATTCGGGCAAAAAAGTGGCTGTGTGCATTGAGGCGGGAATGATGAAACCAAGTAAACAACCTGAAAATTCGTCATTTAAATTGAATTTGTTATCAAAAATTTTTTCATTTATAACTTTCCATTAGACTTTCAAAAGATCTCCCTAAATTTTAGTTGAATATCATTTAATTTAGAAAAATTTAAAATGCAGCAGCTATGAAAGCAACGAAGCCGCGCTCCTTTTTCTGATTTTTCGTAGCTGCTCTTTACTAGAAGATATTCAGCTGAAAAAGGGAGAAACTTTAAAAGTATATACCGTATTCTCTCTAATAGTAGTGCACCCCGGCGAGCCGAGTTGGTGACTATTTTACGGTTTTCAAGCTCTTGCAGGAGCTCAACACTCAAATCCCCCACTAGCTCTCATCGTCAGCTACATTTTCCGACCCCACATCGATAGGTTCTGATAATCCCTTTTCGAGATTTCGAGCAATTTAGGCGACGCCCAGGGTGCATCGCATTAGTCGGGTTGGTGACTATTTTACGTGACGAAGCGAAAAGGTGTACTATTAGAGAAAATATGGCATGCTATTTTACTCAAAATCTGCACACTGAGAACGAACCGCATTTGTGCAAAAAGAGCAGCGTCTCTAGAGGGTTTACTACCTACTTACAAACTACTTGATTTATACCGTATTCTCTCTAATAGTAGTGCACCCCGGCGAGCCGAATTGGTGACTATTTTATGGTTTCCAATTTTTCCGAGAAGCTCAACACTCGAATCCCCCACTAGATCTCATCATCAGCTACATTTTCCGACCCCACATCGATAGGTTCTGATAAGCGGTTCTCGAGATTTCGAGGAATTTAGACCACGCTCTTGGCGCACTACTATTAGATAAAATACGGTAATCTCTTCTTGCAAAAACATTTGTAATTATTGTTCCCTGTTTATTCCCTTCAAAAATTACGTTCCTATTTGCATTTAATTTACGTCGCTTTTTCGTCTCATTCTCCCGCTCACCAAATTACTTTTTTTTTGAGGAGAGTTTTGTTTCTTGCTTTGGAATTTTTCCCTCGTTCTTTCGGGATTTCGGGATTGGATATTTCTCTTCAAATGAATGTTCTTTTTGTAATCGGTATTGTTGCTTTTTTTGCTTTCATTCCCTACTAAAAAAAATTGATCTCACGTGGCCCCTCCCATTCGCTTTTTTTTTTCTTAGATCTCCCCTCCCCGTAAAACGAGTTTCGTTGGATGAGGAGGAGAAAAAAAGAAAGGAAACATACAGCAGCGAGAATTTCCCTAAAATTCCTAGCTATTTTTTCAAGATATCTTCATAATTTTTTGACAATTGACAATTTTTTTTTCTTTTTCATTGCCAATGCCAATTCTTTAGAAGAAATTTGAATTTTTTTACTCTATGCCTTCTTGATCTAATCTTGTTTTTTGCCTTTGTTTTTTGGTTGAGAGTTTTTGCATTGTTCTTTCGGGATTTCGGATTTGATATTTCTCTTCAAACGAATTTTCTTTTTATAATCGGTATTGTTGCTTTTTTTTGCTTTCATTCCCTACTAATAAGCCGTAAAATTATAAATTGTAAATATATAATTTAAACTATTCTTAAGGTTCTAAATTTTGTTTAGATAGCTGGTTATAGAAAGGATTTTTGCTAATATTTGTGTTGTTATCGATGAGGCTTCAATTCGTTTTCGTTTCACGAGCGTTGCTGAATGTTGCATTTTCTTGTTATTTTGTGAGCGTTTTGGGGAAATCCGTTTAACCTTTTGTGATACTCGGCTATTCTGAAAAAAATGATATCCAATGATAATAAGTGAAAGAATTGGCAAGAGAAAGTAGATTTCTGGGGATTGAATCCTCTTTTGCTTTCCTTAACTTCCCAAGAGACAGAAGGAAAGACAAGGGGAAGAAGAAAGGAAGGAAGGAAGAAAGAAAGAAAGAAAGAAAGAAGGAAATAGCTAAAGTTAAAGCGGATGCACCCCGAGCTTCTCCTTTTCAGCTTTCTCAGTTTTACTCACCTGCTGTCACTCCGACCAATGATGTAATCCGACCGAGATTCGGAACGGAAACGGCGAGAAGGACTGGAAAAGATTTGATGGGATTTAAAAAAAATTGGAATTAGCTATGCTGGCTATCGATTTGTTTTAGAGTTGGCAAAACTTCCTTCCTGGCAAAACCAGGAAGGATGCGTTTACATCGTTAGAGCATAAAGTACGCGGAAAGCGTTCATCCACAACGCTGAGCTCAAAATAAACCAAAATAAACCACTACAATATCCCAAGAACTATTGGAAAAGTGAAAAGCCACACTCGTAAACCGATTTTATGTAAAATGTGTAAACGTAGCTCTTCTGGTGCACTCGTTTTATCATATCTTTTCTGAAAAGCTTCTGTTTAGGAAATTATCAATTAGATGGTGTAGTAAATAAGGAAAAAAAGAACTCCAACTTCATTATAAGTTTAATTTTTAATGAAGAAAAACTCTAGCCGCTAAATACAACTTTATCTATTTCAACACAACTATTTGAGTTAAATTTTAAAGAAATTTTTATTCAAGCAAGCTTAATAAACGCTTATTCATGTGCAATTTTTACAAGAACAATTCTAAATAGAGTGTGTTCCTCGTGATTACCGTATTTTCCCAAATAGTAGTGCACCCCGGCGAGCCGAGTTGATGACTATTTTACGGTTTCCAAGCTTTTGCAGAAGCTCAACACTCTAATCCCCCACAAGATCTCATCGTCAGCTACATTTTCCGACCGCAAATCGATAGGTTCTGATAAGTGGTTCTCGAGATTTCGAGGAATTTAGGCAACGCTCCGGGTGCACTACTATTAGAGAAAATACGGTAAATAATTAAACCTCAAAAAGAAAGCTAGCTTTTTGCTTTTTGCTTTTCTCTTTTCCCACCAGTTTCCCCTTTCTTTCCCCTTTCTTTTCCTTCCAGCCTTTTATCTTTGCAGGATGTATTGCACCGGAAAATGTGTGTTTACGCTTTCTGAGCACAAAGTAGATCATGGTAAAGTCCAAATGCGGCTTTTTAATAGCTAACTTACATCCAAAACCAACAAAAATCACGCAAAGCAACCGTTCAACACCTCCGGGGAATTTTCGAACAAAGAAATTCTGGGGAAAGAAGATCTGAAATGGCCTGTGATTTGTAGTAAATTGAATCAAACTTTTACAAAAGGCAAAGCCATATCGATCATGACAAAATGTTGAATGAGATATGAAGAGAAAACGACGAAAACGAGGATCACACGAACCATAAAGTAAAATCTGAAAAAAAGATGGCTTTCTTGTACTTTGTACTCAAAAAGTAAGCCTGTAAGCCCATTCTTTATGGTGGACTGTAGCTAGAAAAGAACAATGATATAGACAATGACAATGATAACAATGACAACAAAAAACTCACGTAGTATCCGGTAGATTCAGTGTCACCGATCCTCGCACCGCATCTCCATATTTGAGATAGCCAAAGAAACCGACCAATGCGTACACTGAATGCTCTAGTGTGCCTTCCAGCTTGCATAGATTCATTTTTAATTTCTGAATTCGAGCAATAGAAGGCCTGGAAAGAGTCCGAACTCAATCCCCTCGCCTCTCCTTTCCGAAACTCCGAAACTTTTTTCTATTTACTTACAAACAGTGACAACCGAACATCCCAACGATAAAACTCCTCTCCAACCAGACATTTCTCGGGGTTCCTTCATTTTGTTAGCTAGTGGAAGCACCTGAAATTTTGATTGGATTAGATTGGAAAGGATTGGAAATTTTGAGTTTAAATGTTCAGAATAATTAATATTTCCGTAATATCTTGATGAAAAAGAAAATGCTAACGTAAAATAGCTATTAAAAAGGAATTCAATTAAAAGCTTATATTCTTATGAGTCACCAATAAGCCAAACATTTCTGTAACGGATCCGCGCGGATCAGAAGTACCGGATTTTGTTTTGAACACCTTGATTTGACTAGAAAAGTGATTCAAATCGGATCAGGGAGAACATGATCTTACAAGGGGATCATGGAGAACATGATCTAAGCTTACTGTAGCTTCTACTTAGCAGGATTACGGTAACAGGGCTTTTAGAATTGATCACAAGGCTGAGATAGTCAAATAACATAAGCCAGATTCCCACATTTTACACTGATTCCGATGCTGCTATCCGTTTTTGAATCTTAAGGAAAACGCGAGGACTCTGGCACAGAAGTTTAAGGTCAAAGTAGACGTCAAAAAATCCAATATAAGGCTTCTTTCTCCATCTCGAAATGTGAAACTTATCGTAACTTTACAATAAAGCGAATTCCAGAGGTTAAACATCAAAATAGAATGAAAACAAAGGAAAGGAATCGAACCTGAGCAAAAAATTGCTACCTTATTTTAGAAACAAGACTCTTATCCACTACACCACATGGTCAAATTCCAAAGCGAGAAAAGAAGCCTTATCTAGAGACTTTCTAGAGATTTTTGGCTTCTAACTTTTTTGTCTTTTGACTTTTTGACTTCTAACTTTTCGAGCTTAAGTTTGAGCAAGATTTCTCGCGTTTTCGAATCATTTTGCAAAAACGAATAACAGCAACAGAATCAACGCAAAATTCTGCTTCTTCTGATCATGTCGCTTGGTTATTTGACTTTTGTCTTTCCCTTGTTAGTACGCCTACCACAGCTTGTGAGCAATAAGCATAAACAATATTCCCAGCAGCAGCCACCACCGATGAAAGACTGCGTTGTTCTGAAGACTGAGCAGTGGAATAAGGTGGACGGACAAGATCCTGAATGTGATAGTTAATGGCAATTGAATGCTCAAATCCGTTTCACAAAATGCAATCAAAAGGAAAATTAGCTGTCCATACAGATAAGCACTGTAACTCTTATCTGAAAAACGATATTGTCTTGGTTTTGCCCGTGGAAAACCATATTCAACTGGTCACATTGAAACCGCGCGAGAAAAGCCTTTTAAGCGAGATGTTAAAAGCTTTTATGCCGTGTATGGACAGCGAATTTTTACGAGATTTTTATCAGTTTACAACAGTATTTTCTTGGTTTTGTAACCTGGAAAACCATCGTCAACACAAGCATCATCAAAATATTTCCGATTGTCGAAATCCATGAGATAATCTTGATATTTCTCAGCATCACCAAAAGACAGAGAAGAAAAAGAGTGATCAGAAAGAAATTCCACTCGGATAGGGGATCACGTGGATAGAAACGGTTCCAGATCTGAATCAATGAGTCTCGAATTGAGTCTGTGTACTTTGTGCTTAGACTTTGTGCTCTTGGCGCACTGAATTCATCAATTTATTGCACAAAATGGTGTTCCATTTGTCAGCAAAAAGGAAAAAGCAAAAAGGACATGAGGACAAAGCCAAAAACTCTTGTCTCACCTCTTCAAAATGCTCCTTAATGAAAACCGTGTACACAGCCGTGACACCCATTTGCATCAAGAGAATTGAAATATTTGCAAAATAACTAAAAACGAAATTTGGGAAAGATCAAAGAAAGGTATTTCACACCGAAAAACTGGGCCAAAACGTCGAATTGAGTGAAAGCTGTGAGCGAATGATTTCTCAGCAACATTCCCGTAGTCAAGCGAAGTATAACCATGCCTAAGAAAAGGATTTAAATTTCGATAAAGCTATATGATAGTCAAAAAGCCATTCTATATTCTATATTCTATATCGGCAATATCGTATTTCAAAGTTTCTACCTCTGAGCCAGCGCCAATGCTGAGACAACCATCTTGTCGCAGCTCAAATACGTGAAAAAGTAGCCACCGAAGAAAACGAGGAAAATCCCCATCTGAAAAGTTTTTACATCTTTGGTCAAGAGATTTTTTCGATTCAAGAGATTCAAGTACTCATTTCGTTAAAATCAAAAAAGTAGAATCATTTGCGAGGAGAGGAGCCGAACCTAGGCAAGTTCCCGTCCCGGTTTTGTATACCAACATCTTATCCTCTAAGCCACCGACTCATAGCAAAGCTGGGTGAGAAAAGCCTTTTAAGCGAGATGTTGAAAACTTCTATATCGAGTTTTTAGCTAATTTTTACAGCATTTAGATCAGCTTAGTTCTATAACTTCTCCTTGGGCGGCTGGTGATCGGCAGTGGCAATCTGGGGTACTTCCCTTGTGACCTGACACTATTGCCTATCTGGTACTTCCTACTGTCGACCTGATACGACCTACTGACCTTACTACTGATCTATCTTACTACCTACGCCAGAATCCAGGGCTAAACCTGGCTTCTGACCTTGTCTTGTTTGTCCTGACTTGTAAACCTTATAACCAAGTGTTTTTAACCAACGATTGACTTAAAAACTTTGCTGCTAACCATATAAATCTATTTTCTGACCTGACTATTTTCTGGACTCGGCATTTTGATCAGAATAGATTCTATGACGTTCTAGAACTTCTCCGATGCGTTCTAGAACTTTCTAGAACTTCTCCATTTCTAACTGCGTAGATTTTCAGATAATTCTAGCTTTCAAAAACTCAATTTCTATACAATTCTATGCTGCGATTGAGCTTAGAATTTCTGATTTTAACTCACAATTGATCCACTTTGTTTGAAAGCGAGTGGAAGAGCCAGAACACCGGTTCCCACAAGAACTCGACAAAAATTCATTAATGCTTGATTTCCGCTAAAATAATCTGTGATAAAGAAAAGATTCTTTTATGTGCTTTATTTAGAGTTTTCGGTAAAGGTAAAGGTAAAAGTAAAAGTTTTGTTTAAAACATTAGAACCTTTCAATCAGTTGTTTGTTTGTTCAACTGTTCAACTGTTCAACTGTTCAACTGTTCAACTGTTCAACTGTTCAACTGTTCAACTGTTCAACTGTTGCAGTCACACTCAGTCATTTAAAACCCACGATATCCCAGTTCTCCACCCGACTTGAGAAGTTTTTCGTTGAGCTGTTTCATCATCAAAGTTGAATGAGATTTTTCCGCCATTTTCCATCTCAGAAAGTCTCTATCAACTAAAAATATTGATTTTAAATGTAAATCAATGTAAATCAATTTGAAATTTGAAATATTTCCAATAGAAAAGCCAATGATTACCCAGCAATGATCACCAAAAAACGAGAAATAATTTACGATCACTGAAAAGAGATTTTTTTAAAGATACGAGTGAACCCGCATATTGATTTTAATCATAAAAAATGTCGAAAAAGAGGATTTACATTGTTTATTGGACGATTTCTCTTGAAAGAGTGAATCTCGGTCAATAAAATTGTACACTTTTGACTCGAGCTCCATTGATTTGTGTTCGAATTCCAAAAACTTCAAAATCTTTTAAATTTCAAAAAAAAACAAACAAAAACTTCCTGTTCGCTTCAGGAAATTGAGTAATTGATGTTTAAAAAAAGTCTATAAGACTCTAAGAGTCTATAAGATGAAATAAGACTACAAACTTGAAAAAAGCGTTATATTTTAGCGCAGAGATGAAATTGAGTAATTGATGTTTAAAAAAAAGTCAATGACGATATGAAAAGTTAAAATTACGCTTAATCTGTTCCAAGAAAAGTAAAGATAACTGAAAGTGATAGAAAAATTCAACAATGCCTCATTGCCAATTGATTTTCTCACTACTGTGAGAAGTGAGAAGAGAAGAAGATCAGTCTCTATCTCCTTTAAAAGAATTACCGTATTTTCTCTAATCTCTAATGAGCGTTGCCAAATTCCTCGAAATCTCGAAAAGCGCTTATCAGAACCTATCGATGTGGGGTCGGAAAATGTAGCTGACAATGAGATCTAGTGAGGGATTTGAGTGTTGAGCTTCTGCAAAAGCTTCGAGACCGTAAAATAGTCATCAACTCGGCTCGGCCGGGTCCACTACTATTAGAGAAAATACAGTAAATGAGATAAAAATCAATGAAATGAGACTAGGTGGGTGAAAGGGGTTTAGCTCTCGAGAAAAAAAGAGACAGCCGCTCAGTTCACATAAATTTGTCTTTTAAAGATCACTCAGTTCGTAAACGGACGTAACATACCGTATTCTCCCTAATAGAGTAGTGCACCGTGAGCGTCACCTAAATTCCTCGAAATCTCGAAAAGCGCTTATCAAAACCTATTGATGTGGAATCGGAAAATGTAGCTGACGATGAGATCTAGTGGGGGATTATAGTGTTGAGCTTCTGCAAAAGCTTGGAAACCGTAAAATAGTCATAAACTCAGCTCGCCCGGGTGCACTACAATTAGAGAAACTACGGTAATCTTCTTTTCTCTTTAAAAAGTAGAAAATATCTTATCTTTTAGATTTTTCGAGTTTGACTTTTCATTTAAAAACCTCTTGTCATATTAGATTTTTAAAAATCGAGTAAATGAATCAGAAAAAGAACTTAAAGAGCTTTTAAACATAAAATTTTCTAAATCAGACCAAAACAGAAAATCAGACCAAAACAGAAAAAAACTTGAATTTGAATATCTGAGAATCGTTTCAAAATCCATCTAATACTTTTAAAAGTCGATTAAACTATGAAATTTCATTTCCATTTTTAACTGCGCAAATTTTCATATAATTCTAGCTTTCAAGAACTCAATTCCTATACAATTCCTATATACAATTCCTATACAAAATTGAACTCAAGATTTGTCTCAATTTTTTTCGCCACTTATCTTTGAAAACGTTTAAAACAAATGTAAAAATGAAAATTGAATGAATCCCAGACTTGAACTCGATTGAGAATGTGTGGGGGACACTCGTTCGAGATGTCTACAAGGGAAACAAGCAATATTTGAGCGTGAATGAGCTCAAGAAAGCCATTCAAGTAGCCTGGAATCGGCTTGAGCCAAAAGCGCTCCATGACCTTGTCCCTTCGATGCCGAGACGTCTTTTTGAAGTTGGACTAAAGCAAGGAGGGGCCACACATTATTGAAGTCAAGATTTGTCTCAATTTTTTTGCCACTTATCTTTGAAAACGTTTAAAACAAATGTAAAAATGAAAATTGAATGAATCAAATGAATAATCAGATGATCGATTTATTTTCTTTGCGGAAAATGACAAGAAAACATAAAGCTCCATTGATTTGTGTTCGAATTCCAATTATCCTGACAACCCATTCTGTGTGAATGATGGAATTGGGGCTGGCGGTGGTGGTGGAGAGAGATTTGATGGAGGGGATTGATTCGACGAGAAAGGAGGTGATAATGGTTGGGGAAATGAGGATTGGGATTGCGGAAATGGAGTTTCACGTTGCTCGGGCTGGGTCTGAAGTTGATTTATTGTATAGATTTGAAAGTGCACGTTAGATTAATGCAAATTAGATCGTAAAAACTCTTTCGCTGAAATTTGGGCTCAATCATTGAGCTTATGCGTCGTCTTTTGGCCAAAAAAAGTCAATTTTGTGGTTTTTCTTTGTCAAAGAAAGAGAGTTTCATGGTTTTTTGTGAGAAAAATAATTTTTGGTGTATCCGGTACAAAGACTACGGCTTATTTTACCACTTTAAAGTTGAAGAAGAAGAAAATGTCGAAGAATCAAGACATGGACACTACAAACTACAAGATCAAACTACAAGCGCTTGTAGAAATGCATAGAATGACTATTTTTAAAAACTGTTTTAAACAAAAAATCAAGCCAATTTTGAGCTTTTGAATGATACAAAGATTAGGCCAATTCACGATCTCTGCGCTGAAATATAACGTTTTTTCTAGGTTTATAGTCTTATTTCATGGGATGAGACTATCAGCCTGAAAAAAAACGCTATATTTCAGCGCAGAGATGATGGATTGGTCTAATCTTTTGTATCATTCAAAAGCCCAAAATTGGCTTGATTTTTTGTTTAAAACAGTTTTTAAAAATAGTCATTCTATGCATTTCTACAAGCGCTTGTAGTTTGTAGTTTGTCCACTTCAAACGTTTGTAGTTTGTCTACTTCAAACGTTTGTAGTTTGTCCACTTCAAACGTTTGTAGTTTGTCCACTTCAAACGTTTGTAGTTTGTCCACCTCAAAAGTTTGTAGTTTGTCTACTTCAAACGTTTGTAGTTTGTCTACTTCAGACATTTGTAGTTTGTCCACTTCAAACGTTTGTAGTTTGTCCACCTCAAAAGTTTGTAGTTTGTCTACTTCAAACGTTTGTAGTTTGTCTACTTCAAACGTTTGTAGTTTGTCCCATGTCTACTTCGAACAATTGAAAACCGAATCAATAAGCAATGTGGAACGTGCAGCGATCTTTTTGACAGCAACATCTACACAAAGAAATAACCTTTAGAAGCCCATCATTTCAAAAATATTTGTTTTAAAACCATTGTTGTTGAATATCTTGATGAAGAAAAAAAGGGGAAAAATAAAATGATTCAAAAGACAACGAAATTGACTTTTTTTTGGCTAAAAACCATTTCAAGAATGTTTCAAGAACGCTTCAAGAACGTTTGAAGAACCCCACTTTCCGATTTCATCAACTCACTGGATTTTGAAAGGTGGGTGACTGCGGGAGAGTCGTTGGTTGAGGTGTGGTTGTGGTGACGGCCATTCCACCGGCTGAAACTCGAAGCAATTCAGAATTTACAGCTTTTTAAGCTAAAGCTTTTAATATAGCTTCTAGTATAATCAATAACATCATGTATCCTTTTGTTTTTTAAAGATTTCAAAGCAATGCAAGTAAGTCGTTTGCTGAGCAGCTCAATCTTGATACATTTCTATAAAGAAACCAGTTCTTGGTTTAATTTTTGATTTAGATTTTACTTAATAAAGATCCTTACCATTCTTGATGAGATTTGCCACCATTCCCTTGTTATTTCTGTCAATGATTTGTCTTTCAAAAGTCACCGTTCCATTCGGATGCGTTTTCTTGACGATCACGACTCTGAAATTGGTTTTGGTTTAAATCTATTGATTTTAGCATTAAAATGATAGGTTTAAACGTTAAAATTATCGATTGAACGTTAAAATTATCGATTTTGACGTCAAAATCATTGGGTTTAAGGTTAAAATGATCGATTTTAAAGAAAATGATCGATTTTAAAGAAAATGATCGGTTTATACCATAAAATGATCGGTTTAAACCATAAAATGATCGATTTAACGTTGAAACGTTCGGTTTAACCATAAAATGATCGATTTAACGTTAAAATTATCGGTTTTGACGTCAAAATCATTGGGTTTAAGGTTAAAATGATCGGTTTATACCATAAAATGATCGGTTTAAACCATAAAATGATCGATTTAACGTTGAAACGTTCGGTTTAACCTTAAAATGATTGGTTTAAACGTTAAAATTATCGGTTTTGACGTCAAAATCATTGGGTTTAAGGTTAAAATGATCGGTTTAAACCATAAAATAATCGATTTAACGTTAAAATGTTCGGTTTAAACGTTAAAATCTATTAGTTTTCAAGTTGCTCAGATAAAGTGCTTTTCAAAGAGCTTCTACTGAATTTTTTATCAGCTTATAAAAAGCAAAATCATTTAAGATAAAAAAGGGAAAAGCTCTGTAGGCTTTTGTGTAGTCAGAATATCACAGACAAGCAGAATGAAATGTTAAAATATAAGTTTAACAGTTAAAAAGTAGTACAACAGTAGAAAATGAGCCAAAGTTGCTTTCAGAATTACTTTGTACTCAAAAATGTAAACAAATCTTTCCTCTTGAACTGAATTCTTCATTTTCCTTAGCAGCAAGATTTAGTGCACTAGACAAGATGAGTTTCCATTTTAAATACAAAGTACTAAAGCTAATAAAGATTTGTAAAGATTGGTAAGTCGATCAGAAACTTTCTGAGAAAAGTTATTGCAAAGAAAAGTTGGGAAAGGCTGGGAAAAGTTACCGTAATCCGTAATCAATGAAAATACGGTTTTGATGAGCAATTTTAGGAAAACGTTGACTCAATAAGAGTTTAGTAGAAATTGTGAATAAATTGTGCAATCCTTTTTTATCATTTCCTCATTTCCCCCTTCAATTCTTGATCTCTTCAATGCCTGCAATTCTCAGCCATCCATTCAGCGCATCAATCGGCTCTTTCCCCTCAACATCCCAACGTCCATTCCTCGTGATCTCTGTCCCATTCGGTGCCACCACCACCAAATTCGGAATCATTCGCAATCCGAAACGTTTCGATAGACTCCCGATCAATTTATCTTTAAATTGTAAACGAGGCCAGTCTCCATGCGAATCGCTCATATACTTTTCCATTTCATCTTCCTTTTTATCATATGGTGCCCAAATAATCTCGATTTTTCCTGTTGATTTAACCGCTTCATAGAAAGCTTTAAGCTTTGGGGTAAAGACCAAACAATGATCGCACCAATGTGCCCCGAAATAATAGCCGATCAATTTCCCGTCCAAATCGGCGAGAGAAAACTCGGTGCCATCTCTTCGAATGAGTTTCTTCTCGTGCAACTCCATCGGCACCGCCAAACTGCAAAAAGGCAATGGGAAAGGAAAGAGAAAAATATTAGAATCGTATTGTTAGAAGTGTTTGTTAACCCTTAACAATCTCAACTCAAAGATTTTCAACGAGAAATGGGCGCTTTTTTAGCTTCCCTATCCAGCTTTAGTTGATTAGAGCAGTCTTGATAATTATTAGGTTGATGCAAAAGTCTTTTTTGATTTTTTTCGTACTTCTTTTGAAAAATAACAAAGTGATCAATTAACCTATGGTTTGCTCTAAATGAAAAGTGTTTATTGTTGAATTTCCCATCTTTTTAAGTCAATTTGGGTTCACTTTCAAGCAAATTCGAGAGTGAAAACGGGTTTTTCATAAAAATCTATAAAAACCTCTATAAAGAAATTGGCTGAATCAATTTCTCTGAAAATCTGAAAAGATATCTAACTTTTTGTGCTCTATCTTTTATTTATTAACATCAAGATTGGTTTCCTTAGCTAAAGCGTCTAAAATGCATCATCGAGCCGTCGCCTTTTTTGACTACCCGACTTCAGGCTCTCGAAAAAATCTAGACATAAGACATTTTAAACTCGTTTTAATGTCATTTTGCAGAAAAATAATTGGCCTTTCGAATGCAATAAACCGTTGTTCAATTGGTGCATTTGTTACTTTTTAACGGAAGTACGAAAAAAATGAAAAAGACTTTTGCATCAACCTAATAGATAATAGGTTAGGCTTCATTTGGCTAGATACGATCGACCTTTAGAAGTTCGTGTATTACTATTGAGTCTAAAAATGAATCCAACTGTATTTTGGGAGATCAAATAGTAATACACGAACTTCTAAAGGTCGATCGTATCTAGCCAAATGAAGCCTAGCCTATTATCTAGTTATCAAGACTGCTCTAATCAACTATTAGCTGCAATGATTTTAAGCAATCTTGCTTCTAATCATTGCAACGAATTTGAAACCTTAAGCCTTCTTGACTTGAGACGATTTCCCTATAAAATCTTGCTTACCTCATAAAAGCGCCTTTCCGTTTCTTCTCTGCTTCGGCTGCGGCAACGGCATCAACCGTTGTTGTGGTTGTTGTGGTTGTTGTAGTTGTTGTAGTTGTTGTGGTTGTTGTGGTTGTTGTGGTTGTCGTAGTGGTAGTTGTTGTAGTTGTAGTTGTTGTTGTAGTTGTTGTGGTCGTAGTTGTAGTAGTTGTTGTGGTAGTTGTTGTCGTGGTTGCTGTCGTGGTTGTTGTCGTCGTTGTCATCGGCTAAAATACCTTTTCATTTCTTCTGTTAGAGATCCTAAGTTTTTGCTTTCCATCTCTGACTCTTGCAACTATTCAACCAAATTTTTCTTGAGCTATTTGGGCATACGTTTTATTAGGTTTATGGAACATTTGATTGCTAATGGCAAAAGGGGCGGGGCTTAGGGGCTTACATACGCGCCCCGCCCCCTTCGCCATTGGCAATTCAATTTTGGGCTCAAATTTCTTGGTGTTGGGCTGTCCAATTTCAATATTCTTGATATCATTAGGTGCGCCAAGTCTTTCTCTGTCGATTGATAGAAAAGCTATTTAAAGTGGACAACCCAGCACCAAGAAACTTGAGCTCAAAGTTATGGCAATGGGAAAGGGGGCGGGGCTTAGGGGCTTATATACGCGCGCCGCCCCTTTTGCCATTGCCATCACTTTGAGCTCAAATTTCTTGGTGTTGGTGCGTCCAATTTAAATAGTTTTTGGACCGATCGATAGAGAAAATCTTGGCGCGTCTAATGATATCAAGAATATTGAAATTGGATAGCCCAACGCCAAGAAATTTGAGCTTAAAGTTAGATTGCTAATGGGAAAAGGGACCGAGCGCGTCTCAAATGTTCGATAACCTTTTTTTAGGCTTTAGGTAACATTAAAAAGAACTAATCCTAAAAACGAATGACTCATTTACCGTCAATCTTGCCTATTTTCAAAGTTCTAAGCTTTTACAACAAATTTCTTCTACAGTACCCTTATTAGAATGATTTAGCTCTGCTCTGGCGCTGCTCTGGCTTAGGCTTAAGCTTAAAACATCTGTAATAGTGTTAAATCTCTATTGTTGTAGCTCTGTAGGATCAAAATCTGTTATGCATTTTCAAAAAAATCAAACTGTGAACCTTTCACCTTCAATCAAAATCCTTTATTGATAGTCAAGAGAGGAAAAAGGAGCACAGAAGAAAAGAAAAAAACATTTTGTGAGAATTTTTGGGATAATCATTGAAGGAGAAATGTTCACGAATCGATTTTTGCGATGATTTGTTAAAAAGAATATAAAAGCTAAACAAACCCGGTGTCAAAGTGTTATCAAATGGAAATTTAAAAGCTATTGAAGCCAAGCCTGAGAGCTAAAGCTGCTGTAATCTCAGCCTAAGCCTCAGCCTAAGCCTCAGCCTAAGCCTCAGTCTAAGCCTCAGCCTAAGCCTAAGCCTAAGCTTCAGCCTAAGCTTCAGCCTAAGCCTCAGCCTAAGCCTAAGCCTTTAGCGTAGCCTTTCTAGAACTTTTAGCTTAGGTAGAGAGCTTTTAGCTAGAAATTACCCTTTTCTGGAATTTTTTCTAGAAAATAATCAGACAACTCTTTGAATCTAGGCCCTTGACTACAAGAGAAGGTTTATTGTAACTCATTGACTACTTTGACTAGTTGTGGGACTTGTAGTATCTTGTTGTGCGGATTCTACGGGTGCACTCGTTGCTTCAATGATATCTGGTGGTTGGGTAACCTCAGTGGCGTTGAGATGAGGCACAAACGGAGTGGCTGCTTGCTTCACATCAGCGGCGAACATTGGGCCCATCGGTGGCTGGGGGAGCATCGGCTGAAATGAATTATTTGCAAACATTCTCTCTTTAAATAATGAGATACCATTCGTAGATCAATGTAAAGCGTTTAATTTAAAGATTGCAGAATGTTGTGACACTGTGCAACTCATTAACTCACCAATGCCGCTCTGTTGTACGAGTTGACGGGCAGAGCCGGAGCTACCTGAAATTTTCTCTTAATCAAGTGAAAAGATACATTAACTCTTTCAAAATACCAGTCTTTCAATTTTCAATTTAGAAGCTACAGTTTAAAGTCAAAATTGCTAGGATTTTACAGGTCTTTGTAAAACTCTAGTAAAACTCTTCATTTACTGTAAAACCTCTAGAACCTAGCTTATCTTCATTTACCGTATTCTCTAGTAGTAGTGCATCCCGCATTAATGTCTATTTTACGACTTCCAAAGTTTTCACAGAAGCTCAGCACTCTAATCCCCCACTAGATCTCATCATCAGCTACATTTTCCGATCTCACATCGATAAGTTCTGATAAGCGGTTCTCGAGATTTCGAGGAATTTAGGCGACGCTCGGGATGCAATACTATTAGAGAAAATACGATAAATAGATTTCGGGAAGAATTCCACATGATACTTTCTTTTTGACATGTACAATTGATAGGTACAAGTGTTCTCACTGAGCTAGTGAACCTTGTCCAATTCACTATCCATTTTTAAATTGCTCAATGAGAAAATGCTGTAACAAAAAGACTTTCGCATTTGTTTTACCTTTATTTTTCAGTTTTTAGTAGATCATCTAGTTTTTAGTAGTTTTAAGTAGATCAGCCGTATTATTTCTAATAGTGGTGCATCTCAGCGAGCCGAGTTCGTGACTATTTTACGGCTTCTAGACTTTCCCAGAAGCTCAACACTCAAATCCTCCACTAGATCTCATCGTTAGCTACATTTTCCGATCCCACATCGATAGGTTTTGATAAGCGGTTCTTGAGATTTCGAGGAATTTAGCACTCAGCAACACTCAGGGTGCACTACTCTATTAGAGAGAAAACGGTCTATAGTTTTATTTCTATTTTCCACCCAGAACAGCAAACTGATGGTCAAAAAAACTTACAACGGGAGCCACCGGTTCAGGCTCGGGCTCAGGCTCCGGGCAACTTTGCGGTTGTTGCGCGTATCCTAAACAGATCATTATTTTCGGACTCTACCTTTTTCTACCTCCTTGACCAAAGCTATGCCCAGTGGCACCAACGGCGTAACCGAAAAAACAAGCACTTTAAAAATAAAGCCACACAAGCAGAACTGAAAGCTTTTCCACGAAATCCCAACCTGACATCGGTATTCCGCCGGCCATTGGGTACTTTGGACTATTCCGACCGCAACCCGAGTTGTAAGCGAGGTTGAAACTGAAAGCTTTAAGTAGTTGGACGTTGGTGTTTCAAAAAAGTCGATCGAAAAGTCAACTCGATTTTTCTCAGTATTTCTAGTGTTACAGTACCTCAGCCAGATTGACAAGGGAATGGTTTAAACCTACCGTAAATACTGTAATTGGACCCCACCCCTCTAATAGTACCCCCCCCTCTAATAGTACCCCACCCCTCCAATAGTATCCCACCCCTCTAATAGTACCCCACCCCCACCTAACGCGTAATTACAAACAACTCTTTTAAAGCGGAAAATTTTCATGTATTTTCAGAAATCGTTTGTATTTTTAATTTTATCCCATAAATTTGTTGTTTTTAAATTTGGGGTGGCTACTTTGCGCCAAATTTTTTTGCGCAGCTCGCCATAACTTTCTTCTAAGTGGGCCAATCTTTATGATTGTAGATCTCAACAAGTGCAACAAAGTAACACCATAATCATAAAGATTGGCCCACTTAGAAGACTTGAACCACTTAGAAGTCACTTGAACTCGGAGGGGATTGATATCGGTTTGGCTGAATGGATACGGGATCGTCGAGCCGAGAAGAAACGAGTGACACGCCGGATTATCTGGAATGAAGCGGCTAATCGATTCAAAAAAGCTGAAATTTCTTTCAAAAGAACCCATGGCTGAATGGAGTCGTTCTTGAGGCGTCACCAACTTTCTTTGAGGGCACCAACAACAACTTGTCAAAAGCTGCCGAGCAAATTTGAGAAGGCCATCGTCGAGCACATTCTGAGGCTGAACAAGACAATCAAAGAAGGCGATTACAAGCACATTGTTGCTTGCGATGAGACGGCGGTTTGGCTGGATGCTTCGGCGAGCAAGTGCCTCGAAGCGGTTGGTGCCAAAGAAGTTGGTGTTAGAGATCAGAGATGGAAATCAAGGACTTCTTGGAGCCGCTCGCATCGACGGGATTTCAAGGACATCGAGAAATTGATGATCAAGAAAATGATGAATTCATTGATTCGGATGTTTCTATTGATTTCGCTTGTTAGTTGTTTTTGTTTCGTTTTGCTGTTAAATTTTCAAATGGTTAAAACCAATAAAAACTAAAGAAAAAGTTTGCTTTTGAAAAAATTATTTGAATGTATCCTGATTTGGTAACTTCAACAGTGGTGTAAAATAGTGACCCACCCTCTAATAGTGCCCCACCCTCTAATAGTACCCCACCCTAGAGGGGGAGGGAAAAAATAGTACCCCATGGGGTCCAATTACAGTATTTACGGTAAGGTTTAAACTACACCATGCTGACTCAGAAATCTCATGTATTGAGTCAAGAAATCGAGAAAAAGTGAAAAAAGCAAAAATTTATCCGCCCAAAAAATTCCCCATTAGGATAGCTACAAATTTAAACCATAAACTTTATTGATCAGTGTTTCCTTGGAAAAATGGGATACTTCTTTTAAAAAATGGATTGAAAATCTTTTATGTACGACAGATTATCATATAAATAAAGTATTTCGATAAGAAATCTTAATTTATAAATTAACTCTAAGATGAAACCACGATGCCATTATAAAGTTTTTGATTTTATGATAAAAATCTCATGTTGGTTCCAAAAAAGTCAGTTCAGCTCGCTTTTTCACAGTATTTCTAGTGTTACAGTACCTTAGGCAGACTGACAAGGGAATGGTTTAAACTTGAGGTTTAAACTACACCAGGCTGGCTCAAAAATCTCATGCATTGAGTCAAGAAATTGAGAAAAAGTGAAAAAATCAACAATCTACCCGCTCAAAATATTCCTTTGACACCAAGTCACTAGAAATTCTGAGAAAAATCGAGCTGAACTGACTTTTGTAAGCCTGAATATGTAAAATAATTGTCAATGTACACTTAAAAGTTCAAAAAAGTATTTTAAAATGTTTTGCAAAAGAAAGTAAAAAGTTTGTCGCCGAGCGGATCCGAACCCGTGAGCAAAAAGCAAAAAATGAGGTTGAGGACACGCACACTTACCACTACACTACCCAGTCACGCTTCAAGGGAAGGGAAAGAGCCGTTATAAACCGACATCTCGGCCAGTAGTACCCAAATTTGCAATACGTTTTTCTCGAAAACTAAAGGGTTTTCGCAAAATCATTCACCTTGTCAGTCTCTTACACTAAAGAAAAGAGTCTTCAAAACTAAATGCAGCATCGGATTCCTCACCCAAGATACCTTTTCTATCACTATGCCAATCCAATCCTTTACCTTAAGTTTAAACCATTCCCTTGTCTCTCACCTTGTCAGTCGCTTACACTAAAGAAAAGAGTTTATTCAATCAGTTTATTCAATCTTCTGGAAACTGAACAGTTCTAGAAGGTAACCAGTATTGACAGGGCACCATAATCAGTGAAATAAGATTTGATCTTTACAGCAACTCTTTCAACTCACTTCAAATTCATGCTTGTTCTGGCAAACGGATTGTATCCGACGGGAATCGGCTCTGGATGAGGCTCGGGTCGTGGCCCGGGGTAGACACCTCCTGCATAGGGTTGAGCCATATATCCACCACCCGCTCCCATCGCTGTCATCGGTGTCATTGGGGACATTCCACCCCAACTATTTGACCAAGTATTCGCGAAACCGTTAGCCTACAAACATTTCTCAATCATCAATCAAAATTTCCACCTGAGATTGCTGTTGTTGAGTCCGCAAGACGCTTTCTGTCATGATCTTCAATTGATTGAGAATTGCGGGTAAAGAGGCGATCTCTTGAGCGCTCATTCCACCAGACACTGAAGGAAAATGACTGAAGAAAGTCTCTTTTAAGAATTAGAAGAATAAAGGATTCAAAATTGATCCTATAGCATGAACTTAAAGTTAAAGTTTACTTGGCATTCCGACCATTGGAGCAACTCCGGCTACTCCAACTCCTGGCATCATTCCAACTCCAGCCAGAGCTGCTAGTGGCACTTGTCTGACTCTTCGAAATGTCTCCCTATCAGCTTCTCGATTCAAAAATTCCTCGAAACTTTCCAACGGTGTTCGCTCATTTTCTTCACTTGAAACGGGAAGTTTTTCCTGAAATTTCTCTTTATTGCTTAACTCATTCATTTCTCTTCATTGCTTAACTTATTCATTTCTCTTCATTGCCTAACTTATTCATTTTAACGTTCACCAATCGCTTAAAATGTTGATATTTTTGATTTGAGAGCTTTGAGAAAGATTTGAAATTTGAGAGTTGACTATGAGAGAGATTTATCGGGAATGTTTCAGTTTCAGCTTTCTTTGCTTTGAGAAATTAAAGTTTAGTCAGAGTTGAGAGAGAAGAAATTGAGAGAAAAACATTGCAAAACTAGCTAAACAGTTCCAAAAAGACTTCCAAAAGCAAATTTCCAAGATCAAGCAATGATTTGATGACAGGTTCAGGCCTGGTGGGTTCAGAGTGGACTTGTAAACATCTGTCGATCCTTTTTGCCGTTGACAATTTAAGGTTTTTCGTCTCTTTCTCAGCACCAATCCTTTTATTTTGACTATTTTGACTATCATTCGATGTAGAGTAAAATTCCCCGTCGAATGATACCAAAATCAACTCAAAATATAATATCTAGGCGAAATTATTGGCTAAAAACCTAAACCTCGTCCATAATGGGCGGGGCTTAACCTTTTGTCTCATAACTTTGCATGGATATTACATTTTGAGTTAATTTTGATATCATTCGACGCGGAATTTTCTTCTGCATCGAAAGCTACTCAAAATAGTCAAAATAAAAGGATTGGTGTTGCGAAAAACCTTAAATTGCCAACGGCAAAAAGGACCGACAGCTGTTTCCGTTACAAGTTTAGTCCAGAGGTTGTTTATGAGCCAAATATACAGCAAAGCCAGACTAGTACTTGATCCTGGCTTAAAAAACTTGTATTTGAGACAATCTGGACAAGATTAGAACAGCAAATTGATCAGACAAGGTCGACAAGAATAATTTAACATTAAACTCACCAAAACTATTGACCTCGATATCGTCAAAAACGTAATAAATATCGAAAGTTTCCACATTTTTAGAAAAATAATGAATAATAATGGCCAAGTTTCTCTTAATAAACTTGAATCTTTCCGGGTTCAGCCTGGGCGAAGAAAAAGACGTAGCAAAGTTATTTCAACCGCGTTCGCCGATTTTCCAATTCCCAGTCTGCTTATCTTGTGCTTATCAGTAAAAATTTTTTGGAAAAGGAACGGCTCAAAAGTTTCTCTTTACTGTTTTGGGGATTTTGACGAAAATCTTGGTATCCCAAAAAATTGCGATAAGAAACGAGTCGTTCCGTCCCGAAATCGTCCTACCCACTGACTTGACACTTTTCATCCACAAATAACTCAGCGGAAAGGAATACTTTTAAACTAGATGATCAATAATGACCCAGCAACAAGTAGACTGAGGTCTTGGAAGTCTTTAAAGTGTACTCTACGCTTAAAAGTGTGAAGAGCCCTTTCTTACCACTTTCTACAATTAGAAGTTAGCTGACCACAAATAGGAAAAGTGTTCTAGAGGCTGAACTCTAAAGTTTTCCATTGTTGAAAGTTTGTTCCATCCATTCCATTGTTCATCCAACTGAATCCAAGCAAAATTTGAAAAATCAAAAACAATTTGCATTCGGGGGGAATCGAACCCCCGTCAAATGCTTGGAAGGCATCCATGCTGACCATTACACCACGAACGCACATTGCGAGGAGTGAATTAGGCGATAAAGAAGGCTCCTTAAGACAATTTGCAACCGGAAATCTTTGTTTCTTTTCCTTTTCCAACTTAACTTCACTTTTGAAGTCTTCAAAGTCATAGTTTGGTCATAGTTATAAATCATGGTTTGGTCATAGTCATAAATCCAAAAAAAGTCATACTTTGGCAAACAGATTATGGTTTTTTTTGCTAAAATCTTTCAATAAGACATCCAGAACCTGTAACTATGACGGATCCGTCAATACCAGTTTAGACAATCGTACTCAGTTTTCAGAAGTGTAATAGAAGATTGCAGCAAAGAAAACCAATATCCATGGCTGAATTCTAAAGTTTTCCCTTGTTCAGTTCTAAATCCAAGCAAAATTTGAAAAGCCAAAACGATGTTTGCGTTCGGGGGGAATCGAACCCCCGTCGAATGCTTGGAAGGCATCCATGCTGACCATTACACCACGAACGCACGTTTGGAAGGGTGAAATGAGAGGCAGAAAAGGATGGATAACCGGTTTCCGGTTCCTTTTCCAGATTGCCTTAAGCACCACAGTCTTCTTATCCCCCAATTCATCCCTTGCAAACATGCGTTCGTGGTGTAATGGTTAGCATGGATGCTTTCCAAGCATTCGACGGGGGTTCGATTCCCCCCGAACCCAAAATATTTTTTCTTTTTAAAAACATTACTGGATTGAGGTTTTTACTATCAAATCCAACTAAATTTCACTTTTCAAGTCTTCACAAAGAAAAAAAGTCATACTTTGGTCAGTTAATCGCCACCAAAAATGTAATAAAAGCCGAGTACTGGGTGAGTTGGGTTTTAAATGTGTTTGTGAAATATTTCTTTAACGATTCCAATGGTTTTTTTGACAATAAAATCCTATTTTTCTAAAAGATTCTAGGCTCATATTTGCCAAAAATCCGGAATTTCTTATTTTTTAAGCTTTTAGCTTGCAAAATCTCATCAAAAGCAAACTTTTGACGGGATTATTTATATTTTCAATGGATTACTTAAAAATGTAAACAACTTTCCTAAAAAAAATCTCAACTTTTTATTTACTCTCAATTTTTCTCTCAAACTTTATCGCAAAGATTGCAAAAAGCGATATGAGCGATTTTTCTCGAGAAAAATGGCGGAATCGGAAGGGGTGAAGGGTGAAAGATTTCTCATCTCTCTCAAAATCGAGAAAATATCTATCTTTTTATATCAAAAACAGGCAAAACTTCCCGCTTGTTTATTGTTAACTGGTTTTTTTCATGAAAGGTATAAATGAATTGTTGTTTTCTGTCTTTGTCAAACCTAATCCCAAGCCTAAACCTAAGCCTAATCCGGAAAATGGGGGTCCAGCCAAAATCCAAATAGACTTAGTTGGTGGCGCTAACCGCTAACCTTCGCACTAAGTCCAAGCCTAAGCCTAAGCCTAAAAGCCTGAGCCTAAGCCTGAGCCTAATCCTAAGCCTAAGCCTAATCCTAAGCCTAAGCCTAAGCCTAAGCCTGAGCCTAAGCCTAAGTCCAAGCCTAAGCCTGAGCCTAAGCTTAAGTCCAAGCCTAAGCCTGAGCCTAAGCCTAAGTCCAAGCCTAAGCCTTTACTACTCAGTTTCTTACTCAATCATACGAGCTAGGAGTTCTTCACGGGGATTTCTTTGACAAGTCTACTTTTTGTAGGTTTCAATTAAGCTCTAGACCTATAAGCTACAAAATCTAGAACAAGTAACGGTAAGCCAAGCTCAAGAAGTAGTCGTAATCGTAATCCTACAACGTAATCGTAATCCTACAACTACGAGTAATCGTAATCCTACAACCGTAAGAAGAAAGCCTAAGCCTAACCAGAAATCGGGGGGTGACCCCAAACCCAAATAGACCTAGTGCCAGGCGCTAGCCGTTAGCCTTTGCACTAACTCCAAGTCTAAGCCTGAGGCCCAATCTTGGCTTCTAGTGGCCTGCAAGCAAGCCAGCCCATAGCCTAGCCAAGACCGAAAAAATTGCTTCTAGAATAACTCTGATCTTCTTTTTGTTACCCCTGATCTTTTTCGTCCGTTTCTCGATCCTTAGGCATACTCTTACTCTTATTAGGCAAGAATTTAAATTCAGACAACTATCTGAACTTTGATTTTACCTCTCCATGCAAAAAAACTAACTTTACTAGATTAGAAAAAGCTAATTTCGTTTAGACAATTAATTTCATAAATTAAATAGATTAGATCAAGCTAATTTAGTTCAGATAAAGTTCAGATAAATATTTGGATTTCATCTTTAGGTACTTACTAGTAAGCTTCTAGAAATTTTGATATGAAAAAGATAATAAGGATAGGATGAACATAGCCATATTCATTACTGAAGTAGTGTTTTTTGTTCTTCTTCCAAAAATATCTCAAACCTATTTGGCAAATTCATTTCTTTGAAGGCAAAAGGTTTCTTTTTTGTTTTCTTTGACGATTATCGTCTTTCTGGATTGTCTTTTTCTTTAATGAGTCATTAAAAATCTCTTTTTTTCTCAGATTTTTGATATCCGGTATTTCAAAATAGGGGAAATTCGTCACAAAACGATTCTTCTAGTGACAATATAAAGGTTTCTATAAGTACAAATACTAAGCAAGATCTAAACTTTGAAACCTTTAATGAAACTTTTTAAATCTTGTCAGCTTTTTATTAGAATTGTTTCTTTTCTTACTTTTTTTATCTGAAATTGTTAGATTTTACTTTTCGAAAAGATTTTTAAGAATAAAACTTGTTTAGTTGATAGTTTTAAAGTATTAGATTAAGCTTTTGCTAGATCGAATCTATTAGTTATAAACGATTGAATACGATCGAAAAGTTATAAACGATCGTTTTTGGGTAATGCGTTTTCTGAAAAAACGACTTATCCAATCAAAAAACGGTTTGCTTTATTCAAAAGCCCTATCCTTAATCTACAAAGAGGGAGAAGTTGTCCCACTATCCACCAGGTCACGAACTCATGTTTAAAACCTCTGTAGAACTCTTATAACTCGTGGGTGCGCGGTTTCGTGGATGCCCAATTTTGATGTAAACTTTGAAGCTAAATATCTCGAAATTTTAGAACCATCATCCCCATCGGAAACAAAAAACTGATCAAAATGTGCTAGGTCTTGACCCAAAACCGAGATGTAAATCCAAAAGCATTCCTAGTAAGCCTAACAGTCAATATTAGGTTGGCAAGTTATAAACGATGGTTTTTGGGTAATGTGTTTTCTGAAATGTTTTCGGAAAAAACAGCTTATCCAATCAATAAACGGTTTGCTTTATTCAAAAGCCCTATCCTTAATCTACAAAATGGCTTTTTTGAATTTTTGAAAAATGTTTTTATTCTAGAACTTTTTTAGGCATTTTAATGTAAGAGTTGAAAATCCTCGTTTCTAGCATTCATGAGCTATTATATTTTTGAGCTATTTTTGAGTGATTGCATACTTTTTAAAATAAAACGCTTCATCGATTACATAGTTTCCCAAAATTGCAGAACAATCCAATCGATCGAACCGTTCTCTTTCTTTTAATCTTTTTTTTTTTTAAAAATCTTGCTTAAATTCAAACGAAAGTGGATTAAATTAGGAAAGCCTAATTTGAAAATCAACTGTCTGAAGATTAAGTTAGTTCCTTGTTAGTTAGTTAAGTTAGTTCCTTGGCATGAAGAGGTAAAATCAAAGTATTCAAGTATCTAACAGAAATCCATTGTACAACTCCAGTTTCTTTCCAGTTTCCAGCATCTTTTGACTTCAATTGAAAGGTTTAATGGATGACTAAGGCGAAATTTTAGCCAAATTTTAGTCAAATATTACCATGGAAATTCACCTTTTGTTTAGCATCACAAAATTTTGCTAGTTTTAGACTCTCAATCTTGCAAACTCACCTTTGTACACTCTAGTCTCATTTTTGGTTTTTAAAAACTTGAATTCTCTTATTCAATTATTTCCAGATGTTTACCCAATCTGTGACCTTTTTCGTCTCACTCGTTGCCTTGACATCAGCCGGTCAACAAGCCGTTTCTGTTGAGGGAATGGTAACCTGTAATGGATCACCGTACAAAGATGCCAAGATCAAAATCTATGAGTTGGACACGTGTGAGTAGAACTATAATACTGTAGCATTGGGATACTGTAGTATTTTGTACAATAGAAGGACTTGGAAGATATTTAGTCTCTGGATACTAATGAGTCAAAAAAAGCTTACTTTAAAGGCCCCTTAAGCAAACGCGAAAAATATTCTGCGTTCGGGGGGAATCGAACCCCCGTCGAATGCTTGGAAGGCATCCATGCTAACCATTACACCACGAACGCATGTTTTGGAGCTGAAATGGGAAGAACAAAAGGATGGATAACCGGTTTCCGTTTCCAGATTGCCTTAAGCAACCTCAGCCTTCTTGATCCCCTAATTCATCCCTTCCAAACATGCGTTCGTGGTGTAATGGTTAGCATGGATGCCTTCCAAGCATTCGACGGGGATTCGATTCCCCCCGAACGCAAATTATTTTTGATTCTTCAAAAACAGAACTTTATTGGGATTTTTACTATCAAATCGAACTTAACTTCACTTTTGAAGTCTTCACAAGCAAAAAAGTCATACTTTGGCAAACAGATTATGTTTTTTTGCTAAAATCTTTCAATAAGCCATCCAGAACCTGTAATTTTGACGGACCGGTCAATACCAGTTTAGACAATCGTACTCAGTTTTCAGAGGTGTAATAGAAGATTACAGCAAACATAGCCAATATCCATGGCTGAATTCTAAAGTTTTCCCTTGTTCAGTTCTAAATCCAACAAAATTTGAAAAGCCAAAAAGGTGTTTGTGTGGGGGGCCATCGAACCCCCGTCGAATGCTTGGAAGGCATCCATGCTGACCATTACACCACGAACGCATATTTCTCGGTGATGAATTGGGGGATCAAGAAGGATGAGGTTGCTTAAGGCAATCTGGAAAAGGAGCCGGAAACCGGTTATCCATCCTTTTCTGCCTCTCATTCGACCCCTCCAAACATTACACCACGAACGCATGTTTTGAGGACTGAAATGGGAAGGACAAGAGAATGGAAAAGGAAAAGAAACAGGTTCCGGAAGGCTGAGGCTGAGGAGCTAAGAAGGCTGAGGTGCTCTGGAAAATCTGGAAACCGGTTATCTATCCTTTTCTGCCTCTTATTTCACCCCTCCAAACATGCGTTCGTGGTGTAATGGTCAGCATGGATGCCTTCCAAGCATTCGACGGGGGTTCGATTCCACCCGAACGCAAACAACTTTTGCTTTTTTGCAAATATCTATTGATTCTTCAGGAACCAAATTGTTTTTGCTTTTAATTGATTCTTTATTCATATTTAGTACATGATGACGAGTTGGCTCGGACTTTTTCGAATGCCGATGGAAAGTTCCGCTTGGGTGGATCACAGAGTGAGCTCGGCGGAATCTCGACTCAACTGAATATCTATCACAAGTGTGAGATGCCTTTCGTAAGTTTTTTCGTACCCTTTCCAAAACCGATACGCAAATTCCGTCAAAACGGGCCTTGTTCCTAGTTTTTTTGAGTTCTCCGAGCCACTAAAGCTATATCATCAAAAACTAGCGCTCAAGTAAAGCTAGATCAGGTAAAACGAAGCTTTCATTAGTTTCCAGGCTAGATCTAGGCCCAGCAGAAGCCAGGGTTTGACCCAGGGTTTGACCCAGGTTTAGGCCTGCTTCCAGTAAAGTCAGGCCAAGCCAGGAAATAGATTTCCGAACACCTAATAGTAAGCTTTAAATCGAAATTCAACTCATAATACTCCATGAATCATCAAGAAGATCAAGATTTAATAAATCATCATTAAATTCAGTACAAGAGAGTTCTCCCAATGTGCTACTACAAAGCGACTTTCCCAATCCCGACTCGATACGTGAAATCGGGATCCGTTTCTGAGGTGAGACCGAGAAAAAGTGCCATTAAAATGCTCAAAAATCACAGAATTTTCATTTCTACAGCTCAATGATCCTTCCAGATTGCTAGCTCGGGTTAAAGACTAAGCCATGCTTATCTTAGTTCAGCTATCTGGTTGATCCTACCAAGTGGTCACCTCAGGCTGAAAGACTAAGCCATGCTTATCTTAGTTTGGACTTAGAAAAATTTCCGAGTCGATGCGCTGTTCCCAATGTTGTGGAGAGGGATGGTTGGTTGCTTTAATTGTGAGATGCGGGAACGCGTAGCACAGGAATGTGAGCTACTGCTTTAGCTGTTAAAAGGCTTCAGCGACGTAGCGACTACTCTCAGCCTGTTCATTCAGGCTCTTCATTTGACTATAAAACTATAGTTTAACCAAAAAGAATATTCAATTGACACTACCTTTTTACAAAATGACCACATTTCAATTGTTTCTACGATCAGTTTATCCACCATTTCAGCCCTACAACGTGCAAACGATCGAGCTCTCGCTGCACGCGAAAGGATACGATTGCATCAATCGCAGGAGATAAACTTTTAAGAAAACTTTTCAGAAATCTCATTTTGTAAACTTAAACTTAAATAAACTTTTGCATCTGGTTGCTTGATCTTTTCCTCGAATTTTACTGAAATTCTCCTTATTCAATCACATGTATGACTTTCAAAAAAAGCAGGTGAAATCACCGAAAATTGCACAAATTGAGGTATTTTTCTTAAAGATTTACTTGCATACTTGATTTTTTTTTATAGAATAAAAGACATAGTGAGATTTAAATTCTCTGTGATGCGTGTGTTTACGAGTTTACCAGCTGAATTCCTTTTCCTCATTGCTAATTGAGGCTTGCTGAGTGCAGCGAAAGATTTGGGTTTTAAAGATTTGAGCTTAAAGTACGCGTCATGAGCCCATTCATTGATCTTTTCCTCGAATTTAGCTGAAATTCTCTCCATTTAATCACATGTATGACCTTCAAAAAAAGCAGGTGAAATCGCACAAATTGAGGTATTTTTCTGAAAATTGAACAAATTGAGGTATTTTTCTTAAACATTTACTTGCATATTGCTTTTCCTTTTTAAACAATGTTCTATTACACTTTTGAAAACGGAGTACAATTGTTTATAATGGTATTTGCGGATCCGTCAAAGTTACAGGTTCTGGAAGGCTTGATAGACAAAAACTTTTGCCCAAAGTATACCTGTTTTGTTTGTGCAGGCTTGAAAAGTGAAATTTAGTTGGATTTGATAGTAAAAACCTCAATCCATTTCTGTTTTTAAAAAGAAAAAATATTTTGCGTTCGGGGGGAATCGAACCCCCGTCGAATGCTTGGAAGGCATCCATGCTAACCATTACACCACGAACGCATGTTTTGTGGGGACGAATTGGGGATCAAGAGGCTGTCAGCTTGAGGCTGCTTAAGTCTTGAGTTAATCTGGAAACGGAACCGGAAACCGGTTATCCATCCTTTTACTCTTTCCATCGCACCTCTAAAGACATGCGTTCGTGGTGTAATGGTTAGTATGGATGCCTTCCAAGCATTCGACGGGGGTTCGATTCGCCCAAAACGCATATAATTTTTGTTTTTTCGGTTTTTTTGAATTCTAGAAGTTCTAGCTTCAATAAACCAGAATAGATCCAGTATCAGACTGAATGAATAGCACTTAATTTGTAGATACAGTAATCCGGCTTACTGTAAATTCAGATTCCAACAATGGAAAGCTTTAGAATTCAGCCTTTAGAACAGTTTTCCTAATAGTAGTCTGGTATTTTCGATTAGTTGTAGAAACTCCACTGAACGCACCGCAACCAACTAAAGAGGCTGGGCGAGAGTAAGGACTCTTGTTCCATTACAGTATCCAGAGTAAAATATTCTTCAGGTCCAGGGTCAGACCACAGTAAGACCTGATCTGGACCTGGCTAGAAACAGTTAAGTACCGTATTTAAACGCTCTACCAATGAGCTAAACCGTGCTGTATTTGTATACTGTATTTTGTAACTCTTATCAAGCTATCCATTCCAGGCAAACACTCTCTACAACTCGATCTTCACCATCATTCTCATCTCGGAGATAGCCTTGCTAACAATCACCACCCTTTTCTATCTTCTCTTCATCAAAATCCTCATCCATTCCGCACAATTCCATCATAATTTGATGCGAATCTTTATCTTTTATGCTCTAATGATGGCAATTCATGGCCCAACTCGTGTAACATTGATGCTCTTCGAAGTGGATTTTCTGAAAATGAAAGAATCTCAGCTGATCGATATGATTTTGGTGTCGTTTAATGAAATTCGGGTTTTCTGCGCGTGCACAGCTGGCTTCATTGTACAAGCGATTATTTGTGAAAGGTGGGAGTAAAGATACAATATATTACAGACCGATCGACCAACTCTGCGCCCTGGACGTCATTGCCTGGACGTCAATAAGCCAGAATAGCTTCAGTATCAGACTGAATGAATAGCACTTGATTTGTAGAGACAGTAAACCTGTAATGCAGTAATCCGGCTTACTGTAGACTATATAGATTCAGTGTCTCACTTGTAGCTAGCTAAGCTGGCTAAGCCTGTAATACAGTAATCCGACTTACTGTAGGCTTTATAGGTTCAGTGTATCACTTCTATCTGGCCAAGCTGGCTAAGCCTGTAATACAGTAATCCGGCCTACTGTAGGATATATAGGTTCAGTGTATCACTGGTAGCTGGCCAAGCTGACCAAGCTGGCCAAGCACATTTCTCAACTACAATAAGCCAAATCAGCTTTAAGTACAACTCGAAATTCACTTGTCGTAAGCTCATTTGTCATTGAAGAACCGTTTGGTTACAGAATATTTGCCACTTACTATATTTGGCATTACGAGGAAACTGAAAGAGCTCATGTCTCGAAGATCATTCTTGGTGGATGGATCGGAATGGTGATTTCCACGGGAATTGTTGCAACGCTCTGTGAGTTTCTGGCTTTTTTGGCGATTTCTTTTTAACCTAAAACGTTTTCCCCGAAAAATTTTCTTAAACATTTTCTAAATCTATCGTATTTCAGGGTTTCCGGTGAATCCAGTCAGCTTCAGCATCTCCGCCCTCTGCATATACAGCCTCTTTGCCGGGTGTTTATTCGTGGTTTGCGATTTAAAAGCTGACTATAATTTTTATTGCCTAGGTCTATTGGCGTCTCTGGGTTTACAATCACGATGTCCTTCATGTACTTTCAAAAATGCATTTCGGTGAAGGACAATACTCACTTGGAGTTCGATTTCAAGTCGAGGAGAACATTCGAGCGATAAATGTAAGAGAAAAGAAAGAGATTTCTAAGAAAAGAAAGAGATTTCTAAGAAAAGAAAGTATTTCTAAAGTAGATTTGTTTTAACAATGTTTCTAGAACTAGGACTTCTAGAGCTAGAACCTCTAGAACTGGAACTTCTAGAGCTAGAACTTCTAGGGCTAGAACCTCTAGAACTAGAACTTCTGGAACTAGAACTTCTAAAACTGAAACTTCTAGAGCTAGGAACTTCTATAGCTAGGACTTCTAGAGATAGAACTTCTAGAGCCAGAGCTTCTAGAGCTAGAACTAGAACTTCTGGAACTAGAACTTCTAGAACTGGAACTTCTAGAGCTAGAACTTCTAGAGCTAGAACTAGAACTTCTAGAGCTAGAACTAGAACTTCTAGAGCTAGAACTAGAACTTCTAGAGCTAGAACTAGAACTTCTAGAAAAGTATTGTTAAGTTGTCCAAGGTCTTTGTACCAAAAAAAAAGTTGTACCACTTGTACCAAAGTTCAATAATGGAGCTAAAACGCGGAAGGATTTGAGCAAAATCGAAAAAGATTTCTGAAACAGGATAAAAGCAACGGTTTAACTGATTTCACTTTTATTTAACAATGATTTAACAGTGAGGATTTTAAAAGAAACAAACACTGAAACAAACACTTACCTGGCAAAAATCATAAATAAGCAGGGTTTTGTGTGATTTTGTGTGAGATTTTTCCCGTAAACGCTCACTGGAGGCTGAAAGACATCCTTCTGATAAATTTGGTGCAAAAATTTCCCCAATCGGCTTTCAGCGTCAGTTCAAAAACCCCGAAACTAGGTCGCGCGCCAAGCTAAGTGCGACTCTCAACTTTGAGAGTTTGTTTAGAAAATTTATGAGCACCTATCGGTTAGATAATGGGCACCGCTACAGGAGGCCCACTCAACATTTACCTATAAATATTTTATGAGAATCGTTGATCTTTTGACTGAGCTACACCCTCTAGAGTGAGTATGAGTGATCATGACGAAATTATGAAGATATGAATGACTTGTTTTGATTGTACTTGGTGTATCACTATAGATCTGTACCAATAAGCCAAGCCAAGCCAAGCCGATCAATCCAATTCAGCCAGTCGTACTACCGTATTGCTAAGTACTGGCAACTTGTAGACCTTGTGCTGGTACCAGTTCCGATCCTGGTACCGGACGATAGGTCAGTGATCTTTGATCAAACTCACATTGAATCCAAACGCTAGTTCTATTCCAGTTTTTAAAAAAAATAGCTATTGTTTTTGCGCACCTTTTAAGACCAATCCCATTCGAATTGGTCAACTAGAGAAAAAGATGCGGTGTCTAGAAGTAGGTCACTCACAGTAAGTACTGTGACACTCACAGTACTTACTGTGAGTTACTGTGACTTTGGGAGGTCATAACTTTTTTTCTAATTGGCCATTTCGAGTGGGATTGGTTTCAAAAGATGCGCAAAGACATCAGCTATTTTTTAAATAAAACTGGCAATAAAATTAGTACGAAAGTAGCCCGATTGGACGTCGGAAAGAAGTCGAAAGATGGATTTCGGGGAATAGTCACCTTTTCTTAGTAAAACGAATAGAATAGAATGTAAAATGTCAAACCTGGCGCACTGTTACAGCACTGGTACTGGTAATACCAAGTTTATCAACAAAACAAAACAATTTAAGTGATCTCCAAATTCTAAGATCAATCTTTGTTACTTGAAATCAATAGATTTAAAAAAAAAAATTTCTTTTCCAGCTTCTTCGTTGTTTTATCATTTTCAATATGGTCTTCATTGGTTTCAATTGTTTTTTTACGATCGTCGCTCTCGAGATTTTGGATCCCGAGCAACCTATTGCTCAATTAGCCTTGGCTCTTCTCGATCTTGTCATCGCTGTGTAAGTAATCTTCATTTTCCTCATTTTCCTCATTTCCAACTTTTGTGGGATCTTTTCAATGTTATTCGTTAGTTTTTAAAGGCTGCGGTGATGAATTTATTGAAAAAGATCAGCTAAAAAACTCGATAACTCTTTTCAAATCGATTCAAGAAACAAAAATCGACTTTAAATATTATAAAAGAAATTATTAATTAGATAAAATGAAAGAATTTATAAAAATTTAAACAAGAAATGATTTATTTTTGTAATAAAATCCACTATATAAAAGATTTTATAATAAAATGAGATTTAAATTCTCTGTGATGCTTTGTGTTTACGAGTTTACCAGCTGAATTCCTTTTCCTAATTGCTAATTTAGGCTTGCTGAGTGCAGCAAAAGGTTTGGGTTTTAAAGATTTGAGCTTAAAGTACGCGTTATGGGCCCTTCATGAGCCCATTGGCTCTTGGTGATTTCGAAACTGTAAACGCACACTTTCTAGTGCAATGCTTTGCTTTTCTTTTAACGAGAAAAACTGGAGAATAAAGTGAGCCAGAAGGGATGTGTTTACGAATTTGAGCTCAAAGTACCAAGGGAAAACATCGGATTTGAATCCTCACTAGTACAAGTCCAAAATCAATTTCCTAAAAATCTAAGCAATCCAAATTTTTACATGATATCCAACTAAGAAAAATCGAAAGTTTGATTAAAATTTGTCTACTCAAAAAAAAAGTTAATTGAGTGAACACGTTTTCAGGCTATTTTTTCGAAAACCTCAACATTTCAACTTGAATTTCTTTTGATAAAAGCAATAAAATCCAAAAAGAAAAACATTTTACTTGAAATTTTGAACTTAAACATAACTAGAAACAAGATAAAAAGAAAACAAGAACAACAAAAATGTCGAATAACAAACTAAGACATCAATTTCCAGTTTCACATCAATTTTGACCCATTTCAAGCATTCATTTTATCTTTTTCAATTTCAATTTCAATTCTAACTTTGCAATGAATTGCTAAAGCAATTCTTTTTTTTGTTAAATAGACGTAAACCTAGAAGAAATAGCTTGGAAATGTGTTCACTTTATTAACTTTTTTTTGAGTAGACAGATTTTAATCAAACTTTGGCTTTTTCTTAGTTGGATATCATGTAAATTATTGTATTGATCACATTTTTCGAAAATCGATTTTAACGTTACTCGTGAATGCGTGAATGGTGAACACGGGCAGAATCAGTACAAAAAGTCTAAAATTTGGGACAGAATTTCAATCTTTCAAGTTTAGCCCACCATTTGCCCTTCTCTTCATCAGTTTACATCAAATAAACGATTGGGGAAAGCATTTTCTTGATGATTTCTTCAAAATATTTGGACGAACTCCTCAACAATCATCCAAAAATTCAATCACTCCAATAAATCCTCTTCAAGAAACGGAAATCTATTTCACTTATTATAAAGAAAATTGGTAATAAATTGGTAATAAATTGTTCTTAAAGTTCTTAAAGACTTTCTATCGATCAAAAAACGATTTCAATGCTTTTTCTCGAACTTTTCATACCGCATAAAGTCCAATTGTACAGGTGAAAGTTGATAAAAAAAAGTTTCATTACATTTTTTTGTCTAAAAGATTCATGATATTTGACTTTACGAAAAGAAATTCAATATTCTAGATCAATGCTCATCTACACTTTTGAGAATGGATGGAAAACTCTTCTGTGCTTTTTTGCGAACCCGATCCTGTTACAGGTGAAGCTTAGTACTTTTTGCTCGTGGAAACGCGTGCTTTCTGGCAAATTCTCCTGAGAACTGCAGGTTCTAGGCTAGTCCTAGCTCCTAGGTCCTAGGCTAGTTTGGAGTCTTAGACTAGACTGGAGTCCTAGGCTAATCCTAGGTCCTAGTTCCTAGGCTAGTCTGGGGTCCTTGGCTAGTCCTAGGTCCTAGGTCCTAGGCTAATTTGGAGTCTTTGACTAGACTGAAGTCCTAGGCTAGTCCTAGGTCCTAGGTCCTAGGCTAATTTGGAGTCTTTGACTAGACTGAAGTCCTAGGCTAGTCCTAGATCCTAGTTCGTACGCTAATCCTAGGTCCTAGTTCCTAGGCTAGTCTGGAGTCCTAGGCTAGTCTGGAGTCCTAGGCTAGTCTGGAGTCCTAGGCTAGTCCTAGATCCTAGGTCCTAGGCTAGTCCTAGATCCTAGGTCCTAGGCTAGTCCTAGGTCCTATATCCCAGGCTAGTTTGGAGTATTTGACTAGACTGTAGTCCTAGGCTAGTCCTAGGTCCTAGTTCCTAGACTAGTCTGGAGTACTGAAGGCCAGATTAGCTCTGGTCTGAAGTTCTGATCAGTTCTGGTCTAGTCCAGGCTAGGTTAAGTCAGAACAAGAGTGGCTTAGAGCAAGATTAAGCCAAGCCACGAGTAGGTTAGGTCATGTCAAGTCGGTTCAGTACAGAGTTTTCAATATTTATGGAAACCTTTGAGTCCGCTGGTCTTTTAGCTCTCGTTTAGCGCATAAAATTGGTTTATGAAAAAATCATCAAAAAAGCAATGCATAGGAATTGGAAGAAACTCGATTTCATAGTTTATTCTTACAGTTTACTAAATTTGATATTCCAAAAATCGATCCATCGGAACTCGATTACCAAATTTCACCAAAAGAAGTCAGTTGTTTATCCCAGTTTCTTATTTAACAATGAAAAAGTCACTATTAAAAAGTTTTCGAATCTATAGAACGTTAAAAATCTTAGAAACACATTTTGTTTTGGTTTTTCGTTTTGGTTTTTCGAAGAAAGCTTAAGCGCAAAAGATAATAATTTTTGAAAAAAGGACTTAAAGTTGTTAACGTTTGACGTATTGATAAATATGTTTCCTTTTTTAGCATTAAACTTGTATAAATTTAGCTTTAAACCTAGTAATCTAGTGGTTCTAATAAATGCTGAACACTCTGTAGTTGTCCTAGTTATATCAAGTGATCCCAGGAGTAGACCAGATCAAATCAGAAGTGGTCAGAAGTGGTTTAAAGTAGGCCATGAGTGATTCAGGCCGGCTTAGAGCAGGTAATATGGGGCCCAGGTTCAGTAAAGCAATCCAGAGTCAAAGTAAAGTTTGATCAGGGAAAGCTCAGCCACTAAACTGACTTGCCTGGGTAAGAAGATAATGGATAAGAAAGCCAATCTGGTCTCTGGTCTGGCCTCAAGCTTTGCACAGACTTTTATGCATCAATTGATCCCAGGAGTAGACCAGATCAAATCAACTTAGGTCAGAAGTGGTTTAAACTCGGCCAGGAGTGATTTAGGCCGGCTCAGAGCAGGTAATATGGGGTCCAGGTTCGGTAAAGCAAGCCAAAGCCAAGGTAAAGTTGGATCAGAGAAAGCTCAGCCACCAAACTGACTTGCCTGGGTAAGAAAATAAGCCAATTTGGTCTCTGGTGCTCAATCTGGCCTCAAGCTTTGCACAGACTTTTATGTGAATTGAAAACGATTTTCAAATCTCTTTTCAGAATGGTACCTTCTCGTTCTACATTTTCTATCTCCTATTTTCGCTCGAAATCCTCATCCTTCTCATCACCACTCTTTGCTATTCAATTTTCATCAAAATCCTTCACCAAACCGCTCAATTTCATCCAAATTTAATCAAAATTTTTCGTTTTTTTTCAATTATTATGCTGCTTCATGGCCCAGAACGATTCATTCTAATGTTTTATCAATTTGAATTGTTTAAAATACATGAATCATTGTGGAGTGATTGGATTCTATTGACGATTAGCGAAATGAGAACTTTTACCGGTTGTACATCCGGATTCATTGTGCAAGCGATCATTTGTGAAAGGTTTAAAGTGAAACTCGCTTCTAAAATGGCATTTCTAAAAAGGCATTCTAGAAAACTAGCGTAAAACTCCTCGTTTTCATTGAATTAACCCAAATTTTTTTCTATCATTTGACAAAGAATCACAAGGCTTAGTGAATGATTTCAAAATTAAGTTGATCTGTAATCTGTAAGCTGACAGTTCGATTACAGTAGTAATACAGTAGTAATACTGAAAGAGATACCTTCTAGAAAATGGATTATTTCTTAGCTACAGTATGTCAGCTTAAAAATCCCGCTTTTCTTTCAGAATTTTCGCCACTTACTACATTTGGCATTACGAGAATTTGGAAAAGGCTCATGTCTACAAAATTGTTCTCTTTGGCCTCTTTTGCTGCTCAGGAACGTGCAGCGTGTTTGTGCCGATTTGTGAGTTCAAGATTGTCGAAGTTCTACTCGCGCTAGACCCACTTACTACTAGTTCAAAAAGCGGCTCGAAGCATCCAGTTGTCGAAGAATCCAGTTGCCCTACTCTTAAATCCATTTTAGATCCATTTATTATATCATTTTAGATCAATTAGATTTATTTTTAAACTCTAGATTGTAAATGGACTTTCAATTGAATCAGGAGCTTTCATTTAACTTTCAATTGAATTAAAAGCTTTCATTTCTAGGGTTCACGATAGCGCCAGTGACCGCAATCGCCGTTGCAATGAGCTTCTATATCGTTTTTGCGCTGATCATGTTTTTAGTAAGTTTTACTGTAACTATATTGATTGTAAAGACCAAAATTATAAATAAATCTAACATTTATAAGCTTGATAATAAGTTGGAAAAGCCTTTGAAAATGAAAAAATTCCACCAGAATCTTTCAGTAAATTTCCCGAGCCGCAGTTTTGTTGTCAATTGAAAGATTTCATGATGCTTATTGTAAAGTTAAAATAGAGCGAATTCCAGCGGTTAAACATCAAAATAAAAGGAAAGAAAGGAAAGGAAACGAACCCGAGCAAAAACTTGACAGAAGACAGACAGGCTCGAGCCCAGGGTTTGTCAAACTGACAAACCAATTGGTCAGGCTTGATCTGGTCCTGAGATATGACAGAGCAAGCTTATGCAAAATTTGGCTTACAAGGGAATTTACAGTTATTTTGTTTTCAGTTTAGATTCGATTATGAAAACTTGTAGCTAAAATAATCAAATTCTATCTCTAATAATCTAAAATCATTCATTTAAAACGTTCAGATCTATTGGTATCTTTGGGTTCACAATCATGACGTTCTTAAAGTACTCTCTGATGTACATTTTACAATGCAATACACACTTGGAGTCAAATTTCAAGTTCAGGAGAATATTAGGGCTATAAAGGTATGGAAAAGCCTGAATCTGATCTATTTCTTTTAGCTTTTGCGAATATTTGTTGGTTTTGACACGGCTTTTGTTGGCGCAAACTGTCTTTTCGGCATCATCGTCATGCTGATTACTGATCAAGAAAAACCATCTGGACAAGTTGCACTTCAATTGTTGGAACTCTCAATAGCCGTGTGAGCTTTTCAGTGGTAGATTTTGTTTGAAAACTATTGCACTCTAGCCTTAGCTTTGTGTTCTGGACGGAAATTTTCCGAGCTGAAGCTTTGTTATCAATTAAAAGATGTCATGATACTTATTTTAAAGTTAAAATAGAGTGAATTCCAGTGGTTAAACATCAAAATAAAAGGAAAGGAAGGGAAAGGGATCGAACCCGAGCAAAAACTTGACAGAAGACAGACTCAAGACCAGTGTTTGTCAAACTGGCAAACCAATTGGTCTGGCTTGATCTGGTCCTGAGCTAAGACAGAGCAAGTTTATTAGTTTACAAGGGAATGTCAACTGGTTGAGCCGGCCAAACGCCATTCGATCCAAACCAATACCATTCGACGCAGAATTTTATCCTGATTCCTTAAGAACACTAGTCATCACCTCTTGAAAAAACAAAACAAAAAGAGCCGTAGCCGAACTTGTGACGTTTCGCTCCGGAAACGAAAGCTTTACCACTCGGCCACGGCCGTACAGATCCGGGTCCGCAAGGAGACCGCTAAGACGCAAGGAGACCGCAAAATGATCACTTTTTTAAAACAAACCAAGAAACAAACAAAATTTTAGACACTCCTGACAAATTACCATTGAGCAAAAACGGAATATAAAAACGGCATCAGAATTAGTATAAAATTCTGGGTCAAATGGTATCCTTAATCAATCAATTTCCAAGCTTTTATTCCTACCAACTTTTTCTCCTTTAGTTACACGCTCTCAATGCTCTTGCTGAGTTTATATTTTGTCAAAGACTGGGGTGAACAATTCAAAAAGCGATTGTTCAACTGTTTCGGCCGAAATCTTCGCCTTCTGTCATCGAAAAACTCGATCGTTCCACTCAATTCAATTCAAGAAACCGAGATCTATTTCAACTATTACACGCAAAATTGGAATTAAAATTTCAAAGTTGAGTCTAGATTTCAGTCGAGATTTCAGTTCATTTCAAAGTTCAAAGCACAAATCAATTATAGAATTGAAAATTTTGCTAATCTTTGGAAGCCAAATTCGAAAAAACCCGTAATTTCTCTCCTAAACACCCAATTTTTCTCTTCGATAAAACCAGAAAGACAAAAAGTTAAATGCTTGTTTCTTGTTATATATAATATGCTTTATTCAGTTGAATAGCGACAAAACAAAATGAGAATAATTACCCAGGACACCACTCAAAACACACCAAAAGATAATTAGATATTAGATAATTAGATATTAGATAATTAGATATTAGATAATTAGATATTAGATAATTAGATATTAGATAATTAGATACCTCGAGAAAGAATCACAGAGCAGTCAAATCAATTGCAGAAATTGCGGCTTTAAATCTAGCCAAGGTGGGAATATCATGAACGTGAGGGGGTAAAAGGTTCCAGAATTTAAACTGTGGAACTGTGGGGGCTTTTAGAGGAAACGGAAGGTTGGCGTATGAGAAAAGGCCCCCTTCTGGAGAAGGGAATTCTGGAGAACCGAATTCTGGAGAACCCCGTAGAGAGCCGAATTCAAAGAGGCCAGAAAAGAGGGGATTGGGATGAATGGCTTTAACAATCTTAAAGCATTCCACTAAATCGATGATAAGGCAGCATTCCACTAAATCGATGATGAGGCGGCGTTGGTGTAACGTTTCAAGACCAAAGAGTTGCTCAAGAACAATTTTAAAGCATTCCAATCTATCAGAATAACTAAAGGAGGAGAATTTGTCAAAATTCATTTTATAAAGAGCAATTCTGGTGAAGTGCCTCTGAATACGTTCTATTTTATGAACAAGATTTAGTAGGGAAGGAGACCAAATCAACGAAGCGTATTCAAGAATAGGGCGGACATAACCAACAAAACACATCCGATAAGTTTTGATGTTAGGTGTGGCAATAGACCTGAGGATACGGGTTAAAGTCATAAATGTGAAATCTTGCAAACCTTGATTCAATTGAAAGTTCATTTACAATCTAGAGTTTAAAAATAAATCTAATTGATCTAAAATGGATTTCAAAGTAGTCCTTGAACTCACAAATCGGCACAAACACGCTGCACGTTCCTGAGCAACAAAAGAGGCCAAAGAAAACAATTTTGTATATGTCGCAGCCGATTAAGGATTTCAGCCGAAGAAGTCTCAGACTTCTTCGGCTAGCCGATTAAGTCTCAAATTTTTTCGCTAGCGAAACCTTCTTTGGCTAGCCGATTAAGTCTCAGACTTCTTCGGCTAGCCGATTAAGTCTCAGACTTCTTCGGCTAGCCGATTAAGTCTCAAACTTCTTCGGCTAGCCGATTAAGTCTCAAACATGAAATCTATGACTCAAGTCAATACCACAAACTCAAGCTCTCAAAAAGGCGCTTAAAAGCTAAAAACGCTCTCTAAAAGCTCTCTAAAAGGCGCTAAAAACTAAAAACTTGTAGTGCTATTCTCTCTTGAATTGAATCAAGAGGTGCTTTACAATCATGGGATCAAAGGCAATTTGGACAAACCTAAGAAAGTCGTCAAGAACGAGGAGCTCTTTGGCCGGTTAACGATCAACAGAAATTAGTGTAGCTTAAACAAAAAATGCACAGTAACAAAAAGAAAAAATAGGATTGAAATAAGGGGTTATGTTCGATTATAAACAGATTAGTGGTAAATAAGTTTTATCGATGATCCAACAAAGGGGCAAATTGACTTACAAAAACAAACAATTCTATTTCAAATAAATGACGAATCAGATAGAAAATGGCAAAAAGGGCCCTTTCATAGCCTTTGGTTACAGTATGATAAAATGCGCACTCTTTAGAATGCGTTTTTAGATTTGAAGCGCCTTTTAGAGAGCTTGAGTTTGTGGTAGTGACTTGAGTCAATACATCACTCAAGATTTCAGGTTTGAGACTTAATCGGCTAGCCGAAGAAGTCTGAGACTTCTTCGGCTGAAATCCTTAATTGGCTACGACATATACATGAGCCTTTTCCAAATTCTCGTAATGCCAAATGTAGTAAGTGGCGAAAATTCTGAAAGAAAAGCGGGATTTTTAAGCTGACATACTGTAGCTAAGAAATAATCCATTTTCTAGAAGGTATCTCTTTCAGTATTACTACTGTATTACTACCGTAATCGAAATGTCAGCTTACAGATTACAGATCAACTTAATTTTGAAATCATTCACTAAGCCTTGTGATTCTTTGTCAAATGATAGAAAAAAATTTGGGTTAATTCAATGAAAACGAGGAGTTTTACGCTAGTTTTCTAGAATGCCTTTTTAGAAATGCCATTTTAGAAGCGAGTTTCACTTTAAACCTTTCACAAATGATCGCTTGCACAATGAATCCGGATGTACAGCCGGTAAAAGTTCTCATTTCGCTAATCGTCAACAGAATCCAATCACTCCACAATGATTCATGTATTTTAAACAATTCAAATTGATAAAACATTAGAATGAATCGTTCTGGGCCATGAAGCAGCATAATAATTGAAAAAAAACGAAAAATTTGGATTAAATTTGGATGAAATTGAGCGGTTTGGTGAAGGATTTTGATGAAAATTGAATAGCAAAGAGTGGTGATGAGGAGGATGAGAATTTCGAGCGAAAATAGGAGATAGAAAACGTAGAACGAGAAGGTACCATTCTGAAAAGAGATTTGAAAATCGTTTTCAATTCACATAAAAGTCTGTGCAAAGCTTGAGGCCAGATTGAGCACCAGAGACCAAATTGGCTTATTTTCTTACCCAGGCAAGTCAGTTTGGTGGCTGAGCTTGCTCTGATCCAACTTTACCTTGGCTTTGGCTTGCTTTACCGAACCTGGACCCCATATTACCTGCTCTGAGCCGGCCTAAATCACTCCTGGCCTAGTTTAAACCACTTCTGACCTAAGTTGATTTGATCTGGTCTACTCCTGGGATCAATTGATGCATAAAAATCTGTGCAAAGCTTGAGGCCAGACCAGAGACCAGATTGGCTTTCCTATCCATTATCTTCTTACCCAGGCAAATCAGTTTGGCGGCTGAGCTTTCTCTGATCAGACTTTACCTTGACTCTGGCTTGCTTTACTGAACCTGGACCTCATATTACCTGCCCTAAGCCAGCCTGAATCACTCCTGGCCTAGTTTAAACCACTTCTGACTTAAGTTGATTTGATCTGGTCTACTCCTGGGATCACTTGATGCATAAAAGTCTGTGCAAAGCTTGAGGCCAGACCAGAGACCAGATTGGCTTTCCTATCCATTATCAAAAACCCCATCTTCAAGCTCTTTTTTTGGTATGTAAACGTGAGATTTACCCTCAACCACCATAAAGATTCTCAATAAAGCTTCTCTAATATATTCTCTCAATAAAGCTTCTCTAATATATTCTCTCAATAAAGCTTAATTCAAGATCTAACGAATGGTATATTTAGATCATTTTATGAAGCATTTCAACTCTTCAAAGATGACCACTGAAATTTGCAACTTTCAGAATTCACTTTTCTCTACGATAACGGGCTCCAATCATTCCGAAACCACGCTTTTTGAATTTCTCATTTAATTTTACTCTAGAAAAAGTGATTTTTAACCGGTTTTAACCGGTTTTAATAGGTTTCCATTTGCGTTTTCCCATCTGTGAAATGACGTCGAAACGAGCGCACCCACAAAATGATTGTATCATTTTTTTGAAGACTTCACTTATGCATATTTGTTTTTTTATGTCTTTTCTTTATTATTGACTTATTTGGATACTTTATTTTGCTTAATTTAGTGATGGGAAAGCGTAAGGGATCTAAGGATTTAGATGAGCGAAATCAGCAAGCTATCATCAACGGAAAGAGTCGAGGAAGATCTCTGAACCTTTACATTATTGAGATCTTTGAGAGGAATTAGAATAGAAACCTAGTTTTTGCTTAATTTAGCTCCATTTTGTTGTTAATCTAAATAAATTTAGTTAAAAAATAAAGAAATTAATAGTTAATTTTGCTTAATTTAGTAATGGGAAAGCGTAAGGGATCTAAGGATTTAGATGAGTGAAGTGTAAAGGTTAAGTTGTCTAACGTTTATCTAAAAAAGGCCAACGACTAGTCGTACTAATTACTAAAAAGGTGATTCACTAAATTAAACCTAGAGACATAGCAATTGAGGAGAATATGGAGATGCAGATGGATAAGATTTCTTGGAGTCTTCGTCGTTCCAAAGATAATTGATGGTGGCAAAAATTCAGAAATTTCAATGAAAGACTTCAAAGTTCAAAGCACAAATCAATTATAGACTTGAAACTTTTGTTATTCTTTGGAAGCCAAATTCGAAAAACCCCTAATTTCTCTACTAAGCATCGAATTTTCTCCTCTAAAAAACCAGAAAGTTAAGTAATTTTCTTTTCTCGAACAGGTGAAAAACCTGAGGTCATGGTTAGTTTCAGAATTTGATTTTCTCAAAATTACTCCCCATTTTTAAAATTTTCTAATCGATTTATGTTTTTCTACACGTTCAGCAATGGATCAAGAATCTTTATTTGTATCTTTGTGAACCCAGAGGTTTTTCAGGTAAATGTAAAGTTTAGAGGTTTTAGGTCAAAGCTAAACTGATCTAAGGATCAGGCTGTTCAGGCTGTTCAGGCTGTTCAGGCTGTTCAGGCTGTTCAGGCTGTTCAGGCTGTTCAGGCTGTTCAGGCTGTTCAGGCTGTTCAGGCTGTTCAGGCTGTTCAGGCTGTTCAGGCTGTTCAGGCTGTTCAGGCTGTTCAGGCTGTTCAGGCTGTTCAGGCTGTTCAGGCAACGAGTTTGCCAGAGTTGGAGCTAATCTTCTTGCTTTGACCTGTCCTGCTTGGTCTCGAACTGGACTTGAACTGATCCTGCGAACTTTTAAGCAGCCTGTCCTGCTTTTGCGAACAAGCATGTCCTGCTTGTCAAAACCGGCCAAGCTCCGTTCTGAGCTACCAGAATTGATCATGGTTTAAGCAAAGTTTGATTTGACTCTGTTCTAAACCTGACCTTAGCACTCGTCGACCCTTGAGCATCCACTAATGCTCAAGATCTGTCCTGCCTGGCCTGATCTTGACCTTGAGCATTAATGATCTGTCCGGATGGCCTCGGGCTTGATCCTGGTCTGACCGGAGCTGGCCCAAAGCTGTTTCTAGTCTTTTCTGACTCAAATCTGATCAGAAAAATCTATATTCATTCTGTTCGCAAAACCGCAAAACCAAAAGCACAATTTTCAGGCAAATACCCTGCCTTACTACATTTACAAATCCCTTTTCGCTTTGGATATGCTAATCTGTCTAATTGCGACGCTTTGCTATATCCCGTTTATCAAAATCCTTTATCGAACGGCTCAATTCCATGGAAATCTTGTTCGAATTTTTCTCTGTTTCTCCACAGCGATGCTGATTCATGGCCCGTTGAGATTCATGCTAACACCATTTGAATTCAATGTCGTTCAATTGAGTGCATCCCGTTTTTCTGATTTCTTGCTGATAGTGATAAGTGAGCTTCGGATTTGTTGCGGATGTCTGGCCGGATTTGTTGTTCAAGCGATCATCTGTGAGAGGTACTGTAATTTCTATGTTGCAGTAAGATTGTTAAAGTAATATTGTTACCCTTAAATAGTACGTTAAAATGTGCCCACTTTCGAAAGTTACCCTAATCGAGCTATCAATCTTTTATCAATCAATCCTTTTCCTAAAACTTGTCCTAGACTACCGTAATCTTGACCTTATTTCATCCAATTTTTATCTCTTTTTCGATATCTTTTGTGAGCACTTACAGAATTAAACAAAAAGTAGATAAATGGAACCAAAATAGAGCCAAGATTACGGTCGAAAGGTTAGAAAACATATGGCCAGGCTCGTACAATTGCTAAACATTTGATAACTGACATTAGTGCAAAGCTAAATACCATGTTTTCTCTAATAGTAGTGCATCCCAGCGAGCCGAGTTCGTGACTATTTTACGGCTTCCAGACTTTTGCAGAAGCGCAACACTCAAATCTCCCACTAGATCTCATCGTCAGCTACATTTTCCGACCGTACTTCGATAGGTTCTGATAAACGCTTTTTGAGATTCCGAGAAATTTAGGCGACGCTCAGGGTGAATACTACTCTTTTAGAGAGAATACGGTGTCTAAAACCAGCTATTAGAGAGTACGGTATCTAAAACCGGCTACGCGTGCATTCTAGCTTTCCGTAGTACGTGAGGATATTCTATCTAGAGGAACTGAGAGCACATAGCAGAAAACTGATTGCAGATTCGGATTCCTCACCCCTGAAAGCCCCCGAGTACAAATTTTCATTTTTCTAGCTTACTTCGTTGTAATTTTACGTTAACGTATTTTGTATTGTCGCGTAGGCGTGACAGAAAAACGGATGGACGTTTTATTGCTTGAAATGCTTGAAATGCTGCCCAAGTTTCTCGAAAAACTACTTGATTACGCCAAGATTACGGTAGAAAGGTTACGTTTTAGCAAAACATATGGCCAGACTCGTACAATTGTCAAACATTTGATAACTAACATTAGTGCAAAGCTAAATAAATCTTTGTTTATCAAATTTTCCGTTAGCAAACGTCCAATAACGTCCAATCCTTTCAGAATTTTTGCCACCTACTACATTTGGAACTACGAAGACTCCAAGAAAACGCACGTCTCGAAAATCGTCTTATCCCTCTACTTTTTCTTTGCCATATTCTCCTCAATTGCTATGCCTCTAGGTTTAATTTAGTGAATCACATTTTTCGTAATTAGTACGACTAGTAGTTGGCCTGCTTTGGCTAAACATTTACATTAACTTTCCAGCGTATCCTGTCTATCCAATAGTAATTAGTACGACGAGTAGTTTGTCTTTTTTAGCTAAACATTTACACTAACTTTCCAGCGTATCCTGTCTATCCAATGAAATCAATTATTATCGCACAGAGCATTTATTCTCTGGTGACAGCGGCTCTCTTTACGGTAAGTGTTACAGTTTTTCGAAAATACACTCTTGTAACCTAAAGCTAGCTATAATTTAAGAAACGCTGGAGAAAGTGAACTTTGTTAAGATTCACCAAGATACTGTGTTGAGACTAGACTTTTAACAAAAACAGCTGTCGGTCCTTTTTTGCCGTTGACAATTTAAGGTTTTTTTTTTGTGTTTTTCTCAGCACCAATCCTTTTATTTTGACTATTTTGATTATCATTCGATGCAGAATCAAATCCCGCGTCGAATGATACAAAAAACAACTCAAAATATAATATCCATGCAAAGTTATTGGCTCAAGCCTAAACCCCGCCTATTATGAGCCGGACTTAACCATTTGCCTCATAACTTTGCATGGATATTACATTTTGAGCTGTTTTCGGTATTATTCGACGCGGAATTTTATTCTGCATCGAATGATAATCAAAATAGTCAAAATAAAAGGATTGGTGGTGAGAAAAAGACAAAAAAACCTTAAATTGTCAACGGCAAAAAGGACCGAGAGCTATTTTTGTTAAAAGTCTAGTTGAGATTGTTCTGACAAACTTTCTAAACTCTTCCAAATCTTAGCTCAAAACTCTCCAGCTTATTGTCTTTTCAACTCATATTCATTGGGGAATTTTTAGATCTATTGGCGTTTATGGGTTTACAATCACGATGTCTTCAAAGTGCTTTCCGATATGCAATTCGGTGAAAAGGGTTACACACTCGGTGTCAGATTTCAAGTTGAGGAGAATATTCGAGCGATGAAGGTAAAATAGTAAACACAACTTTTCTGGTACACTCAAATCGCATTTAAATAAAATTACTGTAGAATTCAAGTGTACTAGAAAGGCTTTTGTTTCGAGTAGAAAAGTCGGTACTTGTCGGTTATACATTCACAGAGACTGAGCATCCCCATCCGAGACTTCTCGGTTATCGATTTTCGTTCGACTGATCGACTGATCACTTCAGACGAGCACTTCACTGAACTCTACTTCACTGAACATAAGCACTCCTCACAAGTTGTCAGCTTCTTGCTTAACCGAGATGGGTCTGTGTGGATGTATAACCGACAAGTACCCAATAGTGAATCAAGCCAACAGAAACTTGACATTTTTACTGAAGCATTTCAATGCTAAACCATAGCTTTTTTGCCATGAAAACCGTAAGTAAACAGTCATGAAAACAGCCATGAAAACAGCCATAAAAACTGGCTGCTTACCTACGGAAGTTCTTTTAAATAGATGTCTTTTAGAAAAAACCCTTCTGATCATTAGCACTTGGCTTAAATAAAGACCAAAAGATATTTGATTGAACAAAAGTGAGTCAAGCTTCAACAGAAACTTGACATTGTTACTGAAGCATTGAAGCAAGGCTAAGCCAAGCAACTGAAGCAAGGCTAAACCAAGCAACTGAAGCAAGGCTAAGCCAAGCAACTTGATATTTGATTGAACAAAAGTGGGCACTTGTCGGTTATACATCGACAGAGACTCATCTCGGTTAAGCATCCCCATCCGAGTCTTCTCGGTTATCAATTTTCGTTCGACTGATCGACTGATCACTTCAGGCGAGCACTCTACATCACTGAACATAATCATCCCTCAAAAGTTGCCAGCTTCCTGCTTAACCGAGTTGAGTCTCTGTGAATGTTTAACAGAAAAGTACCGAAAAGTTCACCAATTAACATCAATTCTCAGCTTCTCCGGTGTTTTGTCATTTTCAACACCGTTTTCATCTTTATCAATTGCTTCTTCGGGATCATGGCTTTAGAAGTTTTTGATACGGAAACACCGGGCGGTCAACTCATTTTACAAACTTTTGATTTATTAATCGCTGTGTAAGTTGAAATTTCGATTACAAATTCGATTTTAAAGACAAAAATGGTTTTAGATACACTTTATCGATGCTTGTAATATGTTTGTATTACGTTGATGAATGGGGTGAACAATTTTTGGTTTCATTTTTCTCAATGATCGGTCGAAATATGCAGGGAAACGCGAAAAATGCAGTGAAACCGCTGAACTCCGTCCAGGAAACCGATTTCTATTTCAATTATTATCGGCAAAGTTGGTGAATAAAGGCTAATCTAATGGGGAATTAAGTCGACCAGAAAGTGAGCGTTTACATCTTTTTAAAGCATTTCAAAATGTAAACAAATCTCTATTTTCTGTTTAAACAAGTAGCTGAATACAGAGAGTGCGTAAAAAGTGAGGAATTCAATTGCGCGTGCTTTTTTAGGCCGATTTCTATTTCAATTACATTTTGTTTCTAGTTTCCTGACCAGATAACTTTCCTTTTTTGAACTATTATTTTGTTTTTTTGTTTAATTTTTTTACTTTCTTTCTTAAGATAACTATTATCTTAGGAATTCGCGAGGAATCTTGCCAGGAATGCGTGCGTGGAATCTCGTGAGGCTTATGCGAAGAATCTTGCGAGGCTTTTGTGCGTGGAATCTTGCGAGGCTTATGCGAGGAATCTTGCGAGGCTTGTGCGAAGAATCTTCGCGAGGCTTGTGCGTGGAATCTCGTGAGGCTTATGCGAGGAATCTTGCGAGGCTGACACGAGGAATCTTCGCGAGGCTTGTGCGTGGAATCTCGTGAGGCTTATGCGAGGAATCTTGCGAGGCTGACACGAGGAATCTTCGCGAGGCTTGTGCGTGGAATCTCGTGAGGCTCACACGAGGAATCTTGCGACCAGCCATTGAGCGTCTATCAAAGTTCAATAGTTAGCAAATGGCCGAACAACTCGCCATTCCTCGCCGTTTACAATTGCCTACAGAGGATCTAGCTTATCACTTCCGCAAACGATCGCCCACGTTCACGCCAAAAACAGCCAGTACTTCAGGAATTGTCAAACGAATCCGAGAAAAGAGAAAGGAACTTTTTACACAAACTGCAGTATGCTAGAAATCGTGTGTGTACATCCTTTTTTGAGCACAAAGTACACCACAAACTCATAGCAAACACCAACAAATAGTCTAATGAACATAAAAATGCTTGAAGTGCATTTTAAAGTACTCAAAAAATGCCAAAGTAATCTATAATGTTGATCACAAAATTGTAACAAATAAATTTACATAATTCCCATCGAAAAGACGATTTCCTCTTTCTTTTTCCCAATCTCACGTTCAATCGATTGCCTTTCACGGGGTTTTCTTTTTCTTTTTCACCTTTCCATGATAAATTGGGTGTCATTTTCGTATGTAAAACTGAAAATCGCTTTCTTATTTGCATAAAATAAAAGTTTTCATTGTAAAGTCGAAAAATCAATGCAAAAATCTTACTTCTAATCAAAAGCAGAAAGGAATAAATGAAAGAATTCACTGCTTTTAGATCAGTGATGGGTTTTTGTCTGATTTTGAGGTTTTGTTTTGATCATTTTGACAATTAAAGATCGGTGCACAGATCAAAAACTAGATGAGAGGTTTTGACTCGATTTAACCCTAACATTTTGCTTTTATTTAGCTTTTATTTAGCTTCTAGAAGTAAATAAGTAGATGTGTTCTGTTTTATTTCTAATTTAAAACTCAGAATACTTTCCTTTCCGATAAATTGGGTGTCATTTTCGTATGTAAAACTGAAAATCGCTTTCTTATTTGCATAAAATAAAAGTTTTCATTGTAAAGTCGAAAAATCAATGCAAAAATCTTACTTCTAATCAAAAGCAGAAAGGCAAAAGGGGAGTGATTCGTTCGTATTTGTCATCGCTCTCTTTTCCCGTTCACCTTTTCTGTAGTGTTTACCTTGGTACCCGCTTTCTTCTCCTCAAACCAATACGAGAGGTCAACCCTTGTTTTTCTTCTTTATTTATTGAATATATCTATTGAAGAGCTTTATTTATTGAAGAGCTTTAATATTGAAGATCTTTAATATTGAAGAGCTTTATTTATTGAAGAGCTTTATTTATTGAATTTTATCGATTGAATATACAGTAAACTCTCTCTATAACGGTACTTTAGCGAATATAGCGAAAAATATTATATAAAGGAATAGAATTTTGGTCCCAGCCGACGCTAAGCTAGATAAAACGGCACTCTATATAATAGAAACATTTTTTGGTTCGTTCCATTTCGTTTTAGAGAAAGCCGAGTGTATTTGAAGATTTTATTCATTTATCCATTTATATTCATTCATTTATCCATTTCATCCATTTATCCATTTATCCATTTTACCCATTTATCCATTTTATCGATTTTATCCATCTATTAAAGCTATCTATCTATTTTTTTAAGCTATAATTAAAATCCAAATCTTCCTGTTCCTTGTTTTGCAAGCGTAATGATGAAAACTTTGGTTTCTCCCTTTCAAAAATGATTTTTCGACTTTCATTCAAACTTTAGTATCCATTTTTCTTAACATTCCTCGTTTTCGAAACATTTTTTCAATAAAGCTAACATTTCAGTGATTCAAAATGAGTAACAAAACGAAAAGCACATCTCCGTCTTCAAAGAAAATCGATAAAGAGGTGAAATATCGAATTTCTTATGCAAATTGATGATTTCAAATTGATTTCAGAATCGATTAGAGGCAAAAACCCTACTTTCGACCAAAGCCGTTCTCCTCTCTTTGCTCTTTTCTCTAATTTTTGCTTCAGCAGGCACATATTTATTTGCAAAGCCACTCATTGATCCGGTTGCGTACAGGTAAAGCATTTAAAAAGATAAAAAAAAAGATTTGAAAGTTTAAATTACTTGTATTTTTTAAAGAAATGAACTAAAATGAACAATCTCTGATTAGTAGAAAAGCAGAAAGCACTAAATTTTTCTTTTTAAGTTTACCTGAAGTGCCAGTATTTGAAGGTGGCTTGAAAAGAAATGAGAAGCTGGGCAAAGCGGAGAAGTTACTCTTGGATCAAGTCAGTTTTTAGGCTGCATTTTTTTTTCATTGCATTGCAAAAACTTTTCCTTTTCTTTTGTTTATAGAAAGGAGTAAATGAAAGAATTCTTAATGGCTTTTTGTTTGTTTGATTTTGAGGTTTTGATTCGATCATTTTGACTATTAAAGATCTGTGCACAGATGAGAGATTTTGAAGCTCTTGAAGTTTTGAAGCTTTTGAAGAATTTTGAAATTCAAAAGCTAGATTAGAGGTTTTGACTCGATTTAATCCTAACATTTAGCTTTTATTTTCTAGAAGTAAATAAGTAGATGTATTATGTTTTAATTCTAATTTAAAACTCAGAACACTTTCCTTGCAAAACCATGATATTGGTCATTTTCAATTGGGTGTCATTTTCGTATGTGACACTGAAAATGGCTTTCTTATTTGCAAAAAACAAAAGTTTTCATTGTAAAGTCGAAAAATCAATGCAAAAATCTTACTTCTAATCAAAAGCAGAAAGGAGTAAATGAAAGAATTCACTGCTTTTAGATCAGTGATGGGTTTTTGTCTGATTTTGAGGTTTTGTTTTGATCATTTTGACAATTAAAGATCGGTGCACAGATCAAAGACTAGATGAGAGGTTTTGACTCGATTTAACCCTAACATTTTGCTTTTATTTAGCTTTTATTTAGCTTCTAGAAGTAAATAAGTAGATGTGTTCTGTTTTATTTCTAATTTAAAACTCAGCACTTTTCTTGCAAATCACTGATTTTAGATCCCTAGTCCAATGAATATAAAAATGCTTGAAGTGCATTTTAAAGTACTCAAAAAATGCCAAAGTAATATATAATGTTGATCACAAAATTGCAACAAATAAATTTACATAATTCCCATCAAAAAGACGATTTCCTCTTTCCTTTTCCCAATATCACGTTCAATCGATTGCCTTTCACGGGTCTTTCCCTTTCTTTTTCACCATTCCATGATAAATTGAGTGTCATTTTCGTATTTCAAAAACTAGATGAGACAAAAACTTCAAAGAATGGTTTTTGTTTGTTTAATTTAGAGGTTTTGATTCGATCATTTTGACAATTAAAGATTTGTGCACAGATCAAAAACTAGATGAGAGGTTTTGACTCGATTTAACCCTAACATTTTGCTTTTATGTTCTAGAAGTAAATAAGTACACTACTGGACAATGAAATATGATATTTGAAAAACGATCGTCACTTTCGCGCGTCTGTAGCTCCCTTGTCTTTACCGTATTTCTAAATATTAATATTACCATTGTGTAGCCCTTGAAAAGAGCTTTCAGAAAATGTATAACACTAATAGTTTAAACTCAAAGACAAGGGAGTTACAGACGCGCGAAAGTGACGATCGTTTTTCAAATATCATATTTCATTGTCCAGTACTGTAGATGCATTCTTTTTTATTTCTAATTTAAAACTCAGAACACTTTTCTTGCAAAACCCTGCTTTTAGATCTATGGCCCAGAATCCTTAGCCATTCATCCGATCACCGGCCATTTATGGGCTGGCCTAAAGACTGGGTTGATCTGTGAGATTGCGATTGGCTTTGATGAAAAGGTAAATAGATATAGTTTCAAAAATAATTATCGCTTGAAAAACTAGAAAATTTATAAAGCTATATTTTCTTATAACAAAATTGAGTATTTTGTCGGTTATACCCCACAAACATTTGATTAAACAATTATTAAACATATAAACAAGTCAAATTAGCATAATTATGTATAGTTCAAGGGTTAAAGATGCTCAAGCAATACTTCTAGACTAACTTACAATAGATGTAGCTAAACTTTGACCACGTAAAACAGTAGTTTGATGCTAATTTAGTTGATTAATAAGGCTTGTGGGGGTATCACCGACAAGTACCCATTCTTGTTTCTTGGGAATTCACGTAAATTGATTTGAAGATAGTCTTTTAATTCAAAATTGAATTAAAGCACTATCTTCAATTTCATTCATTCATTCATTTAACAAGTTTGAATTTAAATTTGAATTTGAATTTGAATTTGAAACAGTCCATACAATTTTTCTCTTCTTGTGTTCAAGTTTACTGGGTCATTTTGTCAATTAAACATGTTCCGTTGTCACTTTTTCATGCTTAAATGATTAAAGTAATGATATTGATAATAATAATAATAAGAACAATAACGATAATGATAATGATAATAATAATAATAATAATACCGTATTTTCTCTAATAGCAGTGCACCCCGGAGAGCTGAGTTGATGCCTATTTTACCGTTTCCAAGCTTTTGCATAAGCTCAACACTCAAATCCCCCAAAAGATCTCATCGTCAGCTACATTTTCCGACCCCACATCGATAGGTTCTAATAAGCGGTTCTCGAGATTTCGAGGAATTTAGACAAACGCTCCGGGTGCACTACTCTATTAGAGAAGTATCTAAAACCAGCTACGCAGTCTAGCTCCTCAAATCTGCAGTAACTCCACATTTTCGTCCATTAATTTATGTGACACTTGTGACTACCGTATTTTCTCTAATAGCAGTGCACCCCGGAGAGCTGAGTTGATGCCTATTTGACCGTTTCCAAGCTTTTGCATAAGCTCAACACTCAAATCCCCCACAAGACCTCATCGTCAGCTACATTTTCCGACCCCACATCGATAGGTTCTAATAAGCGGTTCTCGAGATTTCGAGGAATTTAGGCAACGCTCAGGGTGCACTACTATTAGAGAAAATACGGTAATAATAATAATAATAATAATATCAACGATTTTCAGGTGGAAATCAAGCGAGCCGTCAGTTTGACGAATTTCACCGATTGTGATGGATCGTATTCGTAAGCTTTTCTCACTTATTGCGACTTTCCGCCAAGTTTTTATTCTGTCATAGCTGCGGAATGTGTACATAAAATAGGCAAAATGTTCTATAAAGTTAATTTCCAGCACTCAACCCCGTTGTGGGCGCCCGCTTGGGCTCCGAATGACCCCAAAAGGAGAGCTATTAGTGGCCGATGCCTACTTGGGATTGTATATAATCGATTTGGATAAAGGTATCAATTGAAATTTTGAATAAATTCTAGTGATCGATCTTTAGAAAAAGTCTCTAAACTATTCGGGAGTGGCTCGGAAGTGGGAAACGATTTGACGAGGCCCACTCGGTATCTCAACGACTTGGATGTGTTGCCCGATGGAAGGATTGTGGTTTCGGGTAGGGTTTAAATGAAAATTTATTGCTATTTCTCTTAGTTGTTGTCTTTATTTTCTAAATTTGATAGATTCTAGACAAATTAAAGACAAAACATGTACAAATTTACATAAAGGAATTACCAAAACTAGCTTGGTGAGTCAAAATATCACTGCTTATCGTAATTTTGGAGTTGAAAACCCTTTGAAGTTTTGCTTTAAACTTACGAGATAAAGGAATACATTCAAATAATTAAATTTTAAAATAAATAGCAAACTTTTCAATAGTTTAACTTTCTTGTAGATCTTTTCATTTTCAGAAAGTAGTCATCGCTTTGATGATCGTGATTTCATTCTTGATCTCTTCGAGCATCGACCGAATGGAAGGTTTGTTTGTTTGTTTGTATTAGGTAAATGCATAAGAAATTCGCAATTTCAACATTTGCATAAATTTCCAACGATAGAAACCTGATATCAAATGAATGTTGTAAACTATTGGGTTGATGCATAATTATCCGGACTTCTTTTATAAATGATTTTATTTAACAAAAAATAACATAAATATTGGGTTGATGCATAATTATCCGGACTTCTTTTATAAATGATTTTATTTAACAAAAAATAACATAAATATTGGGTTGATGCATAATTATCCGGACTTCTTTTATAAATGATTTTATTTAACAAAAAATAACATAAATATTGGGTTGATGCATAATTATCCGGACTTCTTTTATTAAAGATTTTATTTAACAAAAAATAACATAAATAGTTAGAAAAATATGTTTAATTGATTATTCTGGAGCATATTCACCGCCTACATCAATAACTGATTGCCATTTGCTTGGAAGACGATCGATTCCACGAGCGAAGAATAAACGATCTTTGGAGGCAATCCACGCTTTAACATCGTCTATCAAGTCATCCAAATCGTTGTAGATCTTATTTGTTTGCCAATTTTTGAGCGATCGATTGACGTGGTAGTCCGTTGGGGCTTCTCCAGTTCTTTGAGATCGCGAAACGACTCTGCGGCAGACCATCCCTTTTCGAAGTGGTAGAGCATGATATGGCGAAGATGGATATGATTGTCGACACGCATTTTGTTCACTAAAGAATAACGAATATTTTAAAAAAAGAAATAGACAAAAAGCTTTCAAAACAAAAAAGATACAAGCACGCAAAAAGAAGTCCGGATAATTATGCATCAACCCAATATTTGAAAGTTGTAAATCTCCTCTACAAAATAGGCTAAAGCGTGTTTCAATTGATCGAACCATTGAAGAAATTTTCGAGGCCGAAATGCGAGTGACCAAAAAAGGAATCGAGTCACTTTAGGGACAAGTTTAGTGTGCTCAAAATAGAGTTAGCTTCCCAAAATTGAAGATTTAAACCCCACTTTTACAAGAGTTCGGTTTTGACTATATAGTGGAAAATGAGCGCCCTAAAATCATTCAAATATCATTCAAAATAATTCAGAGTTGGGATCATTTCATGGGAAAACTTTGTTTTTACAATAATTTTTCTTTTTTGGTGAAAAAGCCGGTTTTTTGACGATTTTCAGGGGTTTTGAACTTATGCTCTATCTAAATTTCTGTAAATGCATTTCCGTTAGACTTTTTTTAATGAATTGATATATAGTTATCCTTTTTTTTTTTAAATCTTCAATCTTGGGAAGCTAACTCTATTTTGAGCACACTAAACGTGTCCCTAAAGTGACTCGATTCCTTTTTTTGGTCACTCGCATTTCGCTCACGAAATTTCTTCAATGGTTCGATCAATTGAAAAACGTTTTAGCCTATTTTGTAGAGGAGATTTGCCACTTTCAAATAGTTTATAACATTCATCGATATTAGATTTCTATCGTTGTGAAAATTGGTTTCTATCGTTGGAAATTGATGAAAACGTTGAAATCCGCATTTCTTATGCATGTACCTAATATTTTGTTTGTACTAATAACGATTATTTTTCATCTCTCAAGCTTTTAAGGACTTTTTTTCTTTGCTTATTTTGCAGATAGCTTTGTGCTGCAGATAGCTATAGATAGCTCAATAGCTTTGTACCAGTTTTGAAGAGGAGATTCAAAGCTATCGATTGACGAGTTTCGTTTATTTTTCTGAATTTACACCAAATTATTAGTGAAACAGTTAATGACTGTACGCTCAAAATGCTATCAATTTTGTTAAATTTGTCAAATTACAGTGACTAAATCTGTTCTGTAGCTGAAGCTAGAATTCTTATCGAAGCGTTTAATGGCTCTTAAATACTTCAATTCAAAGTTAAACTTGTTTTCTTTGAAGTAATCGAGAAAATTACAATAAAACAATAAAATTACAATTTCAATCAATTCCCATTGAAGTAATTGTTTTATTTTAAGGCTTTTGACGTTTAAACCACAAATTGGAGAAATTCGAGCTTTGAAAAAAGATCTCTATTTCCCGAATGGAGTCCAAGCGATCGGTGATTACGTTTATTATTCAGAGATGGGAATGGCCAGGATTCAGAAGTGAGTCTAGATTTATAACTATGAGATTTATAACTAATCCTTTCTAGAATCAACTGCAAGAATCTCGAAGTAACGACAGTTGTTGATGGGCTGCCCGGTTATCCAGACAATATTCGGCTTGACCCGCTCGGTCAACTCTTGGTTCCCATTCCAACAATGAGAGACAATTTTGACGCCTGGCTGGCCGAGAGGCCAAAGTTGAGGGGATTTTTGACAAAGGTTTGTGGTAGATTTTAATTTGAAGTCCCTAAAATCAAGGGTAAACCAGTAAAACCTACGGGACTTCATTGGTCAATAAACTAGAGCAAGTCAACAAGGTTAGATTCGGCTTAAAAGTGACCTGGGCAGACCTGGTCAAACCAGTTTCAAGGTTCGGAAATGGCTTTGATCTCAGTATTAGTTGGCTAACTAAGCTAAAGCTTTTAATTTTGACTATCAGCTGGACTTTTGTACAAAGTGTAAAGTTAGATCAATCAATCAGCCAATCAATCCAAACTAACCCAGGCCAAATCAGATTTGATCCGGATCTCCATTCTTTGCCTAGGCCAGTTTCGTAAGATTTAGATCTGATTTATTAGCTATTTTACTAGCTGAAACCACTTGTATCAGTTCAGTTTCTTCTGGTTTCTTTTTGATTTCTCAACCCTAGTTTCGCCAATTTAGTTTCGCCAATCTACTCTAAGTTTCCTGATAAGTGTTAGACTTGACTTGTCAAACATCAAACAACTTGTCAAACAAAAGCATAAGGCCCTACCCTGGTAGCAATGAAATGTGTCGGTGTAGCTAATTGTTAGAGCGTTCGCCCGGTAAGCGAGAGGTCACGTTTTCGAATCCCGGTACCGATCATGTTTTGTATTCCCAGCCCCAACCCATAAAAGGACCGGAGCACCGGCTTTTGAGCTAAGGCTCAAAACACCAGCTAGTAGCTAAGGACAAGCCGCGGTCGGACGGTTTGTTTGAACACGTTGTCCAACTCAAAAGCCTTAGCTCCTCGATCTATCAATCCCTTTCCAGGCGCCGGCTTTTGAGCTAAGGCGGAAAGCACCGGCTAGTAGCTAAGGACAAGCCGAGGTTGGACGGTTTGTTTGAATACGTTGTCCAGCTTAAAAGCCTTAGCTTCTCCATCTATCAATCCCTTTCCAGGTTCTCTCTCCTAGAATGCTTACTTTCATCGGTGAACTTCTTTCCTCGCCTTATGGATTGATTCTAAAAATCGATCCATTGACCGGAAACATTGTGGAATCTCTTCATGATCAAAAAGGAGAGAAAATCTCAGCCATTTCAACAGCAATTGAGACAAAAGATCATCAATTGTTGCTCGGATCGGACACGAATTTCTTTTTGGGAAGATTGAGACCTTGAGTTTGATTCTTTCTTTTGAATTTTTCAAAAGATTCTTTCTTTTGAATCGAACTCTTGAATCGATTCTTTTGAATTTAAAAGACAATTTTTAAGATGATCACCTTAATTTCCTATTGTTTTATTGTTTTTTTAAGCTATTTTACTCTTACATCACCTAGAGTAGTAAAAAAACTTTTTGTCAACATAACAACTCTTTCAGATCTCTGTTTTACATAAACGTGGCTTCATTTCACTTATGTTTTTAGTGCTTTGATTTGTGATTTTTTCAATATTTTCCCCGTTTTCATTGAGAAATGAATTTATTAACCTGAAATTTTCGAGGTGAGTACAGTACTTTACAAACAAGAGCCGATGTCGTGTCTATTTCTTCTTGCCAGCAGCCTAAAAAACGAGAATTTCAATTGATAAGTGGCTAGTTTTAATGTAAAATCGTTTCTTTTGGTCAAAACTCTAGACAGAGAATCGATTTTTCAAAACAAGCAAGGTTTAAATGCAAATTTTTCACTTAAACTTCAAATTTTAGATTTCTATGCCTGCTTTGCTTGGCCTGGCTGGCTGGCTGGCCTGGCTGGCTGGCTTGGCCTGGCTGGCTGGCTTGGCCTGGCTGGCTGGCTTGGCCTGGCTGGCTGGCTTGGCCTGGCTGGCTGGCTTGGCCTGGCTGGCTGGCTTGGCCTGGCTGGCTGGCTTGGCCTGGCTGGCTGGCTTGGCCTGGCTGGCTGGCTTGGCCTGGCTGGCTGGCTTGGCCTGGCTGGCTGGCTTGGCCTGGCTGGCTGGCTTGGCCTGGCTGGCTGGCTTGGCCTGGCTGGCTGGCTTGGCCTGGCTGGCTGGCTTGGCCTGGCTGGCTGGCTTGGCCTGGCTGGCTGGCTTGGCCTGGCTGGCTGGCTTGGCCTGGCTGGCTGGCTTGGCCTGGCTGGCTGGCTTGGCCTGGCTGGCTGGCTTGGCCTGGCTGGCTGGCTTGGCCTGGCTGGCTGGCTTGGCCTGGCTGGCTGGCTTGGCCTGGCTGGCTGGCTTGGCCTGGCTGGCTGGCTTGGCCTGGCTGGCTGGCTTGGCCTGGCTGGCTGGCTTGGCCTGGCTGGCTGGCTTGGCCTGGCTGGCTGGCTTGGCCTGGCTGGCTGGCTTGGCCTGGCTGGCTGGCTTGGCCTGGCTGGCTGGCTTGGCCTGGCTGGCTGGCTTGGCCTGGCTGGCTGGCTTGGCCTGGCTGGCTGGCTTGGCCTGGCTGGCTGGCTTGGCCTGGCTGGCTGGCTTGGCCTGGCTGGCTGGCTTGGCCTGGCTGGCTGGCTTGGCCTGGCTGGCTGGCTTGGCCTGGCTGGCTGGCTTGGCCTGGCTGGCTGGCTTGGCCTGGCTGGCTGGCTTGGCCTGGCTGGCTGGCTTGGCCTGGCTGGCTGGCTTGGCCTGGCTGGCTGGCTTGGCCTGGCTGGCTGGCTTGGCCTGGCTGGCTGGCTTGGCCTGGCTGGCTGGCTTGGCCTGGCTGGCTGGCTTGGCCTGGCTGGCTGGCTTGGCCTGGCTGGCTGGCTTGGCCTGGCTGGCTGGCTTGGCCAAAGAAGAGTCATTTTAAAGACATTAGCGTAGCTAAGAACTATTCAACAACAAGAAGCTAAGAACATAAGAACTGTTCGACTGTTATAACGGTTGTTGAGGTGCTGAATGTTAAGTGGCTATGGCTATGGTTATGGTTATGGGTATGATTATGGCTATGGCTATGGCTATGGTTATGGGCATGGGTATGGTTATGGGTATGGCTATGGCTATGGCTATGGTTATGGGTATGGGTATGGCTATGGTTATGGTTATGGTTATGGTTATGGTTATGGTTATGGCTATGGTTATGGCTATGGCTATGGCTATGACTATGGCTCAAATTTAGTCACAAAATTTGCCTATTATATAGAAATTGTCCGATGAAACTCACAGCGGTGGTTGACGTGCTGGCTGTCGATGTGGAGGCGGTTGATGACGAGGAAGCGGTTGATGTGGACGCGGTGGACGCGGTGCTGGTGGTGGCCGTGGTCGACGAGCAGAGTGAGCAACTTGACGGGCAATAGGCGGCAATCTGAACTTGTAAATCGTAATGAACTATAAGAAAATTGAAACGAATTTAGCTGAAAGTCGATTTACGATCTAAAAATGGGGTTTGGGCTCTAAAAACCAATTCAAAAGCCCACTTGGGCACTCGTGTAGGCGGTGTTCGTGCAGAAGCCATTGGCCACCCAGGTAGCACAGCTGAAAATCGATCAAATAGCAATTAGATGTTGAATTTAGAGTCAGAAAATAGCGATCTAGATAACCTAGACAATAACTAGCTAGAGATATGATTAGAGAGTCTAGATAAGTTTAAAAAGGGCTCACTTCGAGTTCAAATCCGAGCACGAAGTCGACGAGGTTGTACAGGCGCCACCTGAAAAACAACGATTACAATAAAGTTATCCAATATTTTTTGTTATTTTTTGCTTTTTAATTCAATTCTAACATTAGCAATTATTTGATTTGAGCGATTTTTTTGAGTGTTAACTTAGAGCGTTAAACTTAAACTACGCTTTTCAATTAGAATTTATTTTACGCTTTATGAAATAATCTATTAGAATCATTTTTTTCAATCATTTTGTTCTAAGCACTGGTTAACGCTAGAAATAAATTTAATATTACAAAAAGTCCCGCATTTTCTCTACTTTAGCTATAGCTAAAGTAGAGATAGCTATAGCTAAAGTAGAGAAAGCTATAGCTAAAGCTATAGCTAAACGCGGAAAAAACAAGCGTACTGTTGCTGAGATTTGAGTGGGTTTTTTTGAGTGCTAAACCTAGACTACGCTCTTCAATTAGAATTTATTGTAAGCTTTATGAAATAATCTATTCGAATCTAATCTAATCTTCATATATTTTACGATAGTTTTTATTTTAAACTGCTTTTTTCAAATCCTTACATGACAAGGCACAATACGAGGTTCGTTGAGCGGCCGTGTAGAAGCTGTTCGTGCAGAAACCGTTCGCCGCCCAACTCGTGCATCTGAAAGTAATTTTTTGTCTTGATATAATGATATCACATCTATAATAGTCTTAAAGTCTTTATTCGTCATTTATTAACTTTATTGATTGCTTTATAGATTGCTTTATAGATCGCTTTGTAAAATGTGTTAGCTTTTGTTTTGTTATTTTGTTTGTTATCAATTTCGGCTCGTTGAGTGGTTGTATAATTAAAAGATGTTATAATACTTATTTTAAAGTGAAATAGAACAAATTCCAGCGGTTAAACGTCGAAATAAAATGAAAATAAAATGAAAACAAAGGAAAGGAATCGAACTCGAGCAAAAGGTTCAGAGGTTGTTTTAGAAACAAGACTCTTATCCACTACACCACAGGGTCATAAAGCAGGTCAGTGAAAGAAGCGTTATAAAGGGACTTTTCAACTTCTAGATTTTTTGATTTTTCTTTTTGGCTTCTAGCTTTTTGGTTTAAACTTGAGCTAGTTTCCTTTTCCGAATCATTTTATAAAAACGAATAACAGCATCAGAATTAGCGAAAAATTCTGATAAATGGCTCATTTCATCTGATCATTTCATTCGACTCCTTCCCTTATCGTAAAAATTCAAAGAGTTTATAAAACTTACGAAGAATAGGCATTCGTGCAAACCGCCTCAGTCATGGCGAAAGCTGAAAATAGAAAAAAATTAGCAATTAGCTAGTTTATCAATTAGCTAGTTTAGCAATTAGCTAGTTTAGCAATTAGCTAATTTCTGATTTGATTTCTACTACTCAAAACTAAACCTCCAATGGCAAAGAGGACGAATCGAAGCATCGTTTTGCGAGTTGAGAAGACTGAATGTTCTAGACTGAATGTGCTTTTCATCAGTGAAATCACCAAGCTTTTATATCCACAGAAAACAGATGAGCAAATTTGAAAATTGAAAATGATTTGGTGCTCAACTTTGATCCCAAAAAAACTAGCACAATCCGTCTTCTCCATTATTAATTTGAATTCAACTCAACTCCAACGAATCCATGTTCTACAGATTGTTTTATTGGAAAAAGAAATTCAAAAAAGCTGTACAAACAATCCATTTTAATATTGGCAAGCATAAGTTTTTCCCGTTTACGGAAAATATTTGAGTAAATAAAGGGGTTAAAAAAAGTGTGTGGGTGAGGCGAATGACGAGAATCAGATGTGTCATCTAATATCTTCTGCGATTTAATCACTTTTATTAATAATTTGTTCTCAAAGGCAGAAATGACTCATCTTTAAATACTCTTTTAAATGAATAACTTACCAAAACTAATCCTTGTCTAGTTGACGTGATGGAACGTCACCAAAATGCTGGAGTAATCTAAAAGACATCAGAAATATCGTACTCTAAACAAGCTCGCGGACAAAAGACACCTCTTTCTCCATTTAATCACAATTTTCTCTCATTTTTTCTTTCTTGAGCTTCCTTTAGCTTTCTTTAGCTTCCTTTAGCTTCCTTTAGCTTCCTTTAGCTTCCTTTAGCTTTCTTTGGATTCCTTTAGCTTTCTTTAGATTCCTTTAGCTTCCTTTAGCTTTCTTTAGATTCCTTTAGCTTTCTTTGGATTCCTTTAGCTTTCTTTAGATTCCTTTAGCTTTCTTTAGCTTTCTTTAGATTCCTTTAGCTTTCTTTAGCTTTCTTTAGATTCCTTTAGCTTTCTTTGGATTCCTTTAGCTTTCTTTAGATTCCTTTAGCTTCCTTTAGCTTTCTTTAGATTCCTTTAGCTTTCTTTGGATTCCTTTAGCTTTCTTTAGATTCCTTTAGCTTCCTTTAGCTTTCTTTAGATTCCTTTAGCTTTCTTTGGATTCCTTTAGCTTTCTTTAGATTCCTTTAGCTTTCTTTAGCTTTCTTTAGATTCCTTTAGCTTTCTTTGGATTCCTTTAGCTTTCTTTAGATTCCTTTAGCTTCCTTTAGCTTTCTTTAGATTCCTTTAGCTTTCTTTGGATTCCTTTAGCTTTCTTTAGATTCCTTTAGCTTCCTTTAGCTTTCTTTAGATTCCTTTAGCTTTCTTTGGATTCCTTTAGCTTTCTTTAGATTCCTTTAGCTTTCTTTAGCTTTCTTTAGATTCCTTTAGCTTTCTTTGGATTCCTTTAGCTTTCTTTGGATTCCTTTAGCTTTCTTTAGATTCCTTTAGCTTCCTTTAGCTTCCTTTAGCTTTCTTTAGATTCCTTTTGCTTTTCACAAGCTTTGCCTCACGTTTATTGAATAAACTTGGTTTTGTTATTGATTCAAGCAAAAGTGCACAGGTCTAGCCACGTCTAGTAATTCGTAAAACAGAGAAAATTCGCTTTGATACCAACCTTGCGTCAAAAGCCAAAACTGAACCTGGTTTTAAGCTTCTGATTTGAACTAGACTTGATCCATCTTTGGGCAAAAAGCTAGATCTGTCTTTGACCTAGACAAACGCGATTGAAATATCATTTGGTCGTTTAAATGTGCTCTAAACTAGAATTTTTAGTGCTCAAGTCGCGTATAAAGCTCGAACCTTATAAATCACAGTCAAAACTGCAAATCCCATCTTTCAAGGTCTAGGATTTTGCTCGGTTGAAAGCTTATTTACGAAAAAAGGTACCTTTTTCCTGAAACTTATATAATTTTCCCAATTAAATGCATGGAAAAGCGCTTTCTTCAGAAAGAATTTCACTTCTTTTTGTTTTTTTGATTTAATCCAATATTTCTCTTTGTTAAATAAGCAAAATGCAGTAAAAAGAAAGCACAAATATAGCGCAAAGAATGATATAATGTAGGTTATTTCCGGTTTGGAATCCTTTTGAATCTATTATTGATGGTTTGGAATCCTTTTGAATCGATTATTGACGGTTTGGAATCCTTTTGAATCTATTATTGATGGTTTGGAATCCTTTGGTATCGATGATTCACGATTTGGAATCCTTTGAAGTCGATTATTCACGGTTTTGAATCCTTTGGAATCCTTTGGAATCGATTATTGACGGTTTGGAATCCTTTGGAATCGATTATTAACGGTTTGGAATCCTTTAAACTATTGCTTTCAAAGAAAATTAAGCTCTAAACTAAACTCTTCAAGTTACCAAATAATTCTAAACTAATTCTAAACTAAACTCTTCAATTTACCAAAGTTTACATCAAAAGACTCTCGATTCTTTGCTAATCTATTCATCAACGAATTTATCTATTCCCCAAACCATAGCTCAATTTATTGACTCTAGTTCTTTTTTTCTAGTTTTCATTAGGAATTTTGTCCCTGGTTCACCCCGAATTCGTGTTTAAATCAGGGAAAACACTGTGCAAACAAGGCGATGACATGTAAATGCGGAAATTTCGCGAATGAGTGCTTTCAAGTTTATGAAAACTCAATAGGAAATGATGTGGAACTTTTTGGATTTTCTATATCCATTTCTGCAATAAAGTGTATTGCAAAACTTAAAGCTCCACCCAATTTTTGATTCAAATCGACTCATTGATTAAGCTATTGAGTTTGAAATCATGTAAAACCTATTTAAAATCTTCTAAAAACACAATCTACACCAAAACAGCAAAAGTTTCTTTATAAAAATGTATTTTTTGAAGAAAGCATCGTTGCAAAACTTGTGTTTTTTCTAATTTTCATCAAAAATTCAACATCAATAACATCAATAACCGTCAACATCAATAACATCCTGTCGTCAACATCACTAACATCCTGCCGTCAACATCAATAACATCCTGCCTTCAACATCAATAACATCCTGCCGTCAACATCAATAACATCCTGCCTTCAACATCAATAACATCCTGCCACCATCGGACTATCATCTGTTCAGGTATTTTGTCCAGAATCGTCCGAGTATCATTTTTGCAGGTCTCTGGAGCATCATTTGCGTGGAAAGATCTTTCAAAACGTCGAGAAAATGCACTTGTCATTCACTCAGTTTTTCGATTCGAAGCCACGTGAGTTTTACCGCCGCGGAATCTATTTGTTGCCGGATAAGTGGGAGGATGTTATTGATGTTATTGATGTTATTAATGTTGACGGCATGATGTTATTGATGTTGACGGCAGGATGTTCTTGATGTTGAAGGCAGGATGTTATTAATGTTGAAGGCAGGATGTTATTAATGTTGAAGCCAGGATGTTATTAATGTTGATGGCAGGATGTTCTTGATGTTGACGGCAGGATGTTATTGATGTTGACGGCAGGATGTTATTGATGTTGACGGCGGGATGTTCTTGATGTTGACGGCAGGATGTTCTTGATGTTGAAGGCAGGATGTTATTAATGTTGAAGGCAGGATGTTATTAATGTTGAAGCCAGGATGTTCTTGATGTTGACGGCAGGATGTTATTGATGTTGACGGCAGGATGTTCTTGATGTTGACGGCAGGATGTTCTTGATGCTCTTGATGTTCTTGATGTTCTTGATGTTCTTGATGTCTCTTTCGAGTAGATAAATTCTGTTTTTTTATTTGGCGTTTTTGATGCGTAAAATACAAAAAAGCATCCTACAGTACAGTACAGTAACAATACAAAAAGCATCCTACAGTAAGCTACAATAATCCTACAGTAACCCTACAGTCAGCTACAGTAAGCTACAGTAATCCTACGGTTAGCCACAATGAACCACTGTAGCTCTGAAGATACTACAGTAGCTCACGATTGTCTACACGTAACTCTACTATGCCGATCGTAACCTACGATAACCATAAGTAACTAACAGTAACTCGAAACTAAAGTACTACTTTAAAGCTATACACTACAGCCGATGTATTAGATTGGAAAGAAAGTTCTCGGAAAAAGTTTGCGCGATGATTTCTCGTTAAACGTTAACGTTAAATACAAATTACATTAACGTAAAATTACAACGGTCAACGAGAAAGCGGAGAATTTGTACTCGGGGGTTTTCGGCGGCGACGAATCCGAAGCTGAAATCAAATAAAGATTTTTGCATTTTAAACAACGCTGCAACTCTTAGGTTGGAAAGAAAGTTCTCGGAAAAAGTTTGACTGGAATTGACTTAGAGAACCAATCCACCAATTCAAGAACATTTTCTTCTATTATTTACAAGTCAACTCCAAGAAATTACTCATAAAAAAAGAGTGCAGCTTTTCCTTTTAAAATTTTAGAGTTTTTTGGAAAATTTCTTATTTTTCAGCTTAAATTTAGCTCACTTTTTGCACCAGAAAAGCTATAATACAAAAAGCATCCTACAATAAGCTACAGTAAGCTACAATAATCCTACAGTAACCCTAGAGTAAGCTACAGTAAGCTACAATAGTCCTACAATATTCCTATAGTAACCCTAGAGTAAGGTACAGTAATCCTACGGTAAGCCACAATGAACCACTGTAGCTCTGAAGATACTACAGTAGCTCACGATTGTCTACACGTAACCCAACTATGCCTATCGTAACCTACGATAAACATAAGTAACTTACAGTAGCTCGAAACTAAAGTACTACTTTAAAGCTATACACTAAAGCCGATGTATTAGGTTGGAAAGAAAAAGTTTGAACGATGATTTCTCAAAAACGAATCCACCAATTCAAGAACATTTTCTTCTATTATTTACAAGTCAACTCCAAGAAATTACTCGTAAAAAAACAGTGCAGCTTTCCTTTTAAAATTTTAAAGATTTTATGAAAAATTCTTATTTTCCAGCTTAAATTCAGCTCACGCTGGACCAAGGCCTACGGAGCAATGTTATGCGACAACTGTCGGGACTCAGAGATCCCTTGGAAGTGATAGAGAGGCGAAAGCTTTGAAGGGCAGAGCATGTGACCAGAAGAACAGATGACAGATGGACCGCACGGGTCCCGGAATGGGCCCCATCAGAAGAGACCTGTCGGGAGGCCAGCAACCAAATGGAGCACAAGGGTCGATCAATTTTGGGCAGAGATTTTTGAGGTTAAAGATCTCTGTCCAAGTGATATCAGGCTAAATTCATAAGTCTGGGTGAACTTAGCCTGGCTTCATGTCAGTTCGGATTTTTCATGTCAGTTCAGATTTTTGACGTCAACCTGGAAATCATCGATCCGGGTGATAAATTCCAAAATCTTGTCAATGAGCGTCTTGGTACTTAGCCACTTCAGCGAGGAAAGATTTGTTTGCGGTAAAACCAAAAAGTATCGGGTCAACGGTTCAATCCGGCTAGATTCTTGCTTTTTTTCCCTATAGATGTTTTTCCTACATTCTCTCTACATTTAGAGCTTCAGTTTTGGGCTTTTGTATTGTTTGTATCAAATTATTCGTTTGTTTTTATCAAATTATTCGTTTGTTTTTATCAAATTATTCTTTTGTTTTTATCAAATTATTCTTTTGTGTGCAGAAAAGTGGCTCTTTTCTGTGGAATCTTATTTAATGTTTTGATTTGAATATCTGATTCTCTCGTCCCGTCTCTAAAAGATCGTTTTTATGATAAAAGGGACGGAGCCCACTTTATATTGTTTGTCGGTATAGTCGTTTCGTATTGCCGAGTCTTCGTATTGCTTTTTCGTAATGCCATGAAACACTGAACCAACGATTGATTCTATTCTTTTATATTTTCTCGCTAGATTAGTATTGTGCTTGATTCGGAATAAATATCTAATAATCATTGCCCATCGAAACCCTCTCAAGCACTGCACGTTTTGAATTTGAAATGTACAGGGTGCGGGCAAAAGTTCCGACACTTTTTGTAAACGGGCTTGGAAAAAACGTGATTTTTGAAAAACTAACACCGGATTATAAAAATTCAGATATTTTTACCCCCTAATATACTTTTTTACACAAAAATTGCCATCTAAACAACCTTTTGATGAGGATTTTTAAAGATCGTTACAGCAGTTTTTTTTTTTTGCTGTTGAGATTTGGGTGCCCTTCGCAGAATCGCTTGAAAATCTTTCGTTTTTGAGATATAAAGTTTTTTTTGTGGCTTGTTTTCAAGAAAAAAAACTCAGTTCTATCAAATGGTAACAGCAGTTTTTAGAAAAAAATTCATTCTGCAAAGTTTAAGTCAACTTTCGCAAAAATCTTCAGCGACCAGACCGGGAAATAAAAAATTCTCGTCAAAAAGCTCTTGAGAGTTGAAATCTTTTTATGAAAATGGCTATATTGGGGTGAAACTACCTACTAAACTAAAAAAATTACTAGTGTCAGAACTTTTGCCGCACCCTGTAAATGCATAAAATTTGAATAATTTCGATAATTTCTATTTTCTATTAAATGAAATAGAATTTCAGATATCAATTTTTATTTTAGATATCAATTTTGGTTTCAGATATCAATTTTTTCATTTCAAATATCAATTTTCATTTCTTTATTATGCACCGGTAGCTCCAGCTCGTTTTGGCAGGGTGATTTGCCTAAAATTGTTCATTGCACTAGAAGGCTTTGTTTACAAGCGAGTCACAAACAAAAAAAAAAACACTTAGCTAGTCAGGAAATTGTAGTTTTCTATTTTTCGATTCTATATTCTCAAAAAAACTCACCAAAACTTGTATGCATCTAAATCGTAATCGCTTTCGTTGACACTTTTATAGGTGATCGTCTGATAGACACGTTTTTTCTCTGTGAAAGTTGAAAAGTCGATGATTCTTCTGAAATTCTCAGTTATCTAAGCACATTTTCGATTAACTACGAGTTAAAATATAAGAAGATGAAGAATTTAAAAGTAAATAAAAGCAAATTACTAACCTGTGATATGCAAATTCTTTGATCAAATGCGAAAGCTTTTGAGAGAACTTTTTCCCCGTTTCGAGATCTTCAGGTCTAAAACTTGAGGTCTAAAACCATTGAAAAAAAAACTAAAAGTATTGTAAAGTTAGCACAAAGTTCTTTAAGGTTCTTTAAAGTTCACAAAGTTCTTTAAAGTTCTTTAAAGTTAGCACAAAGTTCTTTAAGGTTCTTTAAAGTTCACAAAGTTCTTTAAAGAGTTTAGCTTAAGCTCACGTGAATGCAGAGTATCGCAAATGGTGAATGGTGGTGGAATCAAAGAGCAACGAGACATCGGTACCGTGATCCGTGCAATGTGGATTTGTGAATGGAACTGAAATCGGGTAATGTTGAAGTTTAAAACTGATAAGCTGCTTATTTTGTGATATCGAAAGTCTAAAAGTAATTATTACAAGGATTTATAAGTTTAAAACTAATCATTACAAGGATTTAAAAGTTTAAAACTAACTATTACAAGGATTTAAACGTTTAAAAGTAACCATTACAAGTATTTAAAAGTCTAAAACTAACCATTACAACGATTTAAAAGTCTAAAACTAACCAATACAAGGATTTAAAAGTCTAAAACTAACCAATACAAGGATTTAAAAGTTTAAAACTAATCATTACAAGGATTTAAAAGTCTAAAACTAACCATTACAAGTATTTAAAAGTCTAAAACTAACCATTACAACGATTTAAAAGTCTAAAACTAACCAATACAAGGATTTAAAAGTCTAAAACTAACCAATACAAGGATTTAAAAGTCTAAAACTAACCAATACAAGGATTTAAAAGTTTAAAACTAATCATTACAAGGATTTAAAAGTCTAAAACTAACCATTACAACGATTTAAAAGTCTAAAAGTAACCATTACAAGGATTTAAAAGTCTAAAACTAACCATTACAACGATTTAAAAGTCTAAAACTAACCATTACAACGATTTAAAAGTCTAAAACTAACCATTACAACGATTTAAAAGTCTAAAACTAACCAATACAAGTATTTAGAAGTCTAAAAGTAACCCTTACAAGTATTTAAAAGTTTAAAACTAACCATTTGGCTCATCAAAAACGTCATTTAATATTGAGTAGGTCGTCAGTTTTTTGTCTGCATGAAAGAGCAGGGCTTGTTGTGTCTCAGCAGTCCAGGCTTCTGAAAAAATAAAGAATTAGCTATTGAGTGTTGATTGAATGCTTAAAAAACTGATTTGTGATACGAACAAGATCAACAAAGAACCCTAGATGACAAGTTTTGACAATGAGATACTGCTGAATCATCGGTAAATCGTCTACAAGAGACATCGGTACCGTGATCCGTGCAATGTGGATTTGTGAATGGAACTGAAATCGGGTAATGTTGAAGTTTAAAACTGATAAGCTGCTTATTTTGTGATATCGAAAGTCTAAAAGTAATTATTACAAGGATTTATAAGTTTAAAACTAATCATTACAAGGATTTAAAAGTTTAAAACTAACTATTACAAGGATTTAAACGTTTAAAAGTAACCATTACAAGTATTTAAAAGTCTAAAACTAATCATTACAACGATTTAAAGTCTAAAACTAACCATTACAAGGATTTAAGAGTCTAAAACTAACCATTACAACGATTTAAAAGTTAAAAAGTAACCACCAATACAAGTATTTAGAAGTCTAAAAGTAACCCTTACAAGTATTTAAAAGTTTAAAACTAACCATTTGGCTCATCAAAAACGTCATTTAATATTGAGTAGGTCGTCAGTTTTTTGTCTGCATGAAAGAGCAGGGCTTGCAGAAAGAGCATTACAAGGATTTAAAAGTTTAAAACTAACTATTACAAGGATTTAAACGTTTAAAAGTAACCATTACAAGTATTTAAAAGTCTAAAACTAATCATTACAACGATTTAAAGTCTAAAACTAACCATTACAAGGATTTAAGAGTCTAAAACTAACCATTACAACGATTTAAAAGTTAAAAAGTAACCACCAATACAAGTATTTAGAAGTCTAAAAGTAACCCTTACAAGTATTTAAAAGTTTAAAACTAACCATTTGGCTCATCAAAAACGTCATTTAATATTAACCATGACAAGTATTTAAAAGTCTAAAACTAATCATTACAAGGATTTAAAAGTCTAAAACTAACCAATACAAGGATTTAAAAGTTTAAAACTAATCATTACAAGGATTTAAAAGTCTAAAACTAACTATTACAAGGATTTAAAAGTCTAAAAGTAACTATTACAAGGATTTATAAATTTAAAACTAATCATTACAAGTATTTAGAAGTTTAAAACTAATCATTACAACGATTTAAAAGTCTAAAAGTAACCATTACAAGGATTTAAAAGTCTAAAACTAACCATTACAACGATTTAAAAGTCTAAAACTAACCATTACAACGATTTAAAAGTCTAAAACTAACCATTACAACGATTTAAAAGTCTAAAACTAACCAATACAAGTATTTAGAAGTCTAAAAGTAACCCTTACAAGTATTTAAAAGTTTAAAACTAACCATTTGGCTCATCAAAAACGTCATTTAATATTGAGTAGGTCGTCAGTTTTTTGTCTGCATGAAAGAGCAGGGCTTGTTGTGTCTCAGCAGTCCAGGCTTCTGAAAAAATAAAGAATTAGCTATTGAGTGTTGATTGAATGCTTAAAAAACTGATTTGTGATACGAACAAGATCAACAAAGAACCCTAGATGACAAGTTTTGACAATGAGATACTGCTGAATCATCGGTAAATCGTCTACAAATGCTTCAGCACACTCAAACATTACTAGAAATCGAGGCTAGAAAAGCAAAATTGACATTTACAAGTATAAAAAGTCCAAATTGTGTGCTTTCCTTTAGTCTTTATGAGTGAGCAACGGGAAATGATGCACAAACTGAATGGATTCAGTTCAATTTTCGATTACTTAGGCAGATTTTCGATTACCTAGGCAGATTTTCGATTACCTACGATTACCGATTACCGATTACCGTATTTTCTCTATGTAGAGTCGAGTTGATGACGATTTTACGGTTTCCAATTTTTCCGAGAAGCTCAACACTCAAATCCCCCCACAAGATCTCTTCGTCAGCTACATTTTCCGATCCCACATCGATAGGTTCTGATAAGCGCTTTTCGAGATTTCGAGGAATTTAGGCGACGCTCAGGGTGCACTACTCTATTAGAGAAAATATGGTATATATAAAATGACTAACAAGGGAATGATCTCAACTCAAAGTACGGAATCGATTGGAAACACAGTGCATAACATAGAATCAGCAATGGCGAACAAAAGGCCGCAAAAATTAGCCGCTAATAGCCACAGAAACGCGAGGAATCTGATCGGGATTCAAAACTGCAAAATCGGGATTGAAAACTGCAAAAATCGGGATTCGAAACTGCAAAATCGGAATTCAAAACTGCTCTCATTTATAAGTCTTCTCTCGCCTCTCATTTATAAGTTCTTTAAAGATTCCCTCACCCATGCCCACTTTGAAAAACTTCTGTTCTCTGTCTGCGCTTTGGTCGGAGGCGTTGATTGAGAATCTAAATTGAGCAAAGTAAGCTAAATCTTCAAAATACTTGTGTACTTTGTGCTTAAAGACAGAAACATACTCTTTCTAGCGCACTGAATTCGTGCTTTTCTTGCAGAATCGTGATTCTGTGAGAGAAAATGGAGAACTCCGTCACCAGGAAGGTTGTGTTTCATCTTTGAACACAAAGTGCACTTATTTCTTCTCTTTCTTCCTCTCTTCCTTTTCTTTCTTCCTTTCTCTTCCCCTTTTATTCTCTCTTTCTTCCTTTCTCTTCCCCTTTTATTCTCTCTTTCTTCCTTTCTCTTCCCCTTTTATTCTCTCTTTCTTCCTTTCTCTTCCCCTTTTATTCTCTCTTTCTTCCTTTCTCTTCCCCTTTTATTCTCTCTTTCTTCCTTACTCTTCCCTCTTCTTTACCTCTTTCTTCCTTTCTCCTGCCCCTTCTATTCTCTCTTTCTTCCTTTCTCTTCCCCCTTCTATTCCCTCTTTCTTCCTTTCTCCTGTCCCTTCTATTCCCTCTTTCTTCCTTTCACTTCCCCTTCTATTCCCTCTTCTTTCCCTCTTTCTTCCCTGACAACAAGATACCAGATAGTGGTTAGAGCAGTGGTTAGAGCTCAGTGGTTAGAGCATCTGGCGGGGAAGATGAAACCAAAGATCGAGGGTTCAATCCCCTCTTTGGAAATTTTTCTTTACCATTTCTTACTTGACTTTATTAAGCATTGAGTTCTGATACCTTTCATCGATAAGATCCATTGCAATCATGGTTTCATTGTACGAGACATGGACAAGCCCATCCACCCAACTCTCCGCCGACAACTCGTTCATCTCATGCACAACGTTGCTGAACAATGTTGGCAGATGAGCTCGTTTTCTGGAAACAATTCTGGAGTGAATTCACTGCATTAATGCCATTTATTTTCATTTTTTTGAGCTTTGAGCTTAACTACACTACTGGACAACGAAATATGATATTTGAAAAAAGATCGTCACTTTCGCGCGTCTGTAACTCCCTTTTCTTTACCGTATTTTTAAATATTAATATTACCATTGTGTAGCCCTTGAAAAGAGCTTTCAGAAAATGTATAACACTAATAGTTTAAACTCAAAGACAAGGGAGTTACAGAGGCGCGAAAGTGACGATCGTTTTTCAAATATTATATTCCATTGTTCAGTACTGTACTTCGCTATTTTCATGCTATTCGGGATGCAGCGTTTATTCAACTGTTTGCCTTTATCAATGAATTACAAGGTTTGTTTATATTTAGCTTAGTAAATTTAAAGTTAAAAGTTAGAGCTTTATGACTATTTCGAGAAATCCTTCATTGGAAAGGTTGTTTATGGTCATTTCAATTTTCCAAATCACTCAAATTGAAACGTGAATTTCTTATGAGTCAATCATTCATGGAAAACAGCTTGTTAATTCATCACAAGAAAGCTGCTTGATGTGCAAGAAACCTAGGGGAAACGTGTTGAAGCACAAGAAAGCTACAATGCTCAGCTGAAAGTTTGGATTTCTGTCTATTTTATATATTTTGTATTCGAATTATTTAGGCTATTTCACCGAATGGTTCTGCTCGATATTTGGCCCAAAAATTGCTTGATTTGCAAGAAACCTAGGGGAAACGTGTTGAAGCACCTTCATCTTTACATTTGACTTTACCCCAAGCGTCTCCTCAATCACCAAAAGTAATTCACGGTCAACATCTACGAAAATTTGGAAATGTTGGCCTTTTGGCGTGTTGGAAATGGCCCATTCGGCAAAAATCTCAAATATTGAGTAATTGATTAGTAAATGACTCACTTGACCATTTCTGTTGTTGTATTTTCCGGCATGAAAGACATCTGACACCGGAATTTGTCGAGAATCGGTGTGAAAAAGTAGTCAACAGTGGCCTTGTTGTCATAGCAAGTTTTTGGAGCCTTAATGATTTGATTCTTTTATTTTTCTTTATTAAAAACACTATAACTAAATATCTTTTATAGGAATTTCATCAATTTCATCAATCAATTTCATTAATTTCATTAATTTCATCAATTTCTTACAACTTTCATGCATTCTTTGATCTCTTTCACGGTTCCTGTGCAACTACAATTTCGAAAGACATCTTGTGACCATTCAAGCTGAAAGAATCATTCAAGCTCATTACAATAAATGAAAGCTAATCAATTTTGAATATCAAGATTATAATACAATGCAAGAGAGCAATAAAATCAACTTTAGAGGAACTAAGTAGGAACTATAAAGGAGCTTTAAAGGAGCTTTAAAGGAGCTTTAAAGGAACTGATCTATTTAAATTAACACTATTTACTTACCGTCTCATCGGTACTGATCGCTAGAGGTCCACTGGCAAATCCAGAGAATAGCATTGCTGCGTGGATTTCACCTGGAATTAAAGATCCGTTAAATTAAAGATTTTATTGAAAAATGATTGAAAAAAGATTAATATCTTTTCTTTGTCAACTAAAAAACTATGTTGAAAAACATTTTAACGAACCTTTTAACCTTGGACTCACACCAAAAATCCCAGCCATTGTCCCACCCGCACTCTCACCAGCGACAATAATATTATTCACATCAAAGCCCATTGAGTCCGCATTTTCCTAAATATTTTCTGCTTTTTACAATAAATCCATTTCAGCTTATTGGGCATTTGATGCGTCCCTTTTCCCATAAACAATCTAACTTTGAGCTCAAATTTCTTGGTGTTGAGCTGTTCGATTTATGAATTGTTGGTGTCATTAGATGCGCCAAGTCTTTCTCTATCGATTGGTACAAAAACTGTTTAAATTGAACGCACCAACATCAAGAAATTTGAGCTCAAAGTCATGGCAATGGAAAAAAGCCCGTATATAAGCCCCTAAGCCCCGCCCCTTTTCCCATTAACAATCTAACTTTGAGCTCAAATTTCTTGGTGTTGGGCTGTTCAATTTGAATAGTTTTTGATAGCAATCGATAGAGAAAGACTTGGCGCATCTAATAATACCAATAATTTATAAATTGAACAGCTCCAAGCCAAGAAATTTGAGCTCAAAGTCATGGCAATGGAGAAAGCGGCGGGGCGCGTATATAAGCCCTTAAGCCCGGCCCCTTTTTCTATTAGCTATCTAACTTTGAGCTCATACTTCTTGGTGTTGAGCTGTTCAATTTATAAATTATTGGTACCATTAGATGCGCCAAGTCTTTCTCTATCGATTGGTACAAATACTATTGAAATTGAACAGCCCAACACCAAGAAATTTGAGCTCAAAGTTATGGCAATGGCAAAAGGGTCAGGCTTACGGGCTTATATACGCGCCCCGCCCTTTTCTCTATTGCCATAACTTTGAGCTCAAATTTCTTGATGTTGGTGCGTTCAATTTAAACAATTTTTGTACCAATCGATAGAGAAAGACTTGGCGCATCTAATAATACCAATAATTTATAAATCGAACAGCTCCAAGTCAAGAAATTTGAGCTCAAAGTTAGATTGCTGATGGAAAATTTCCACACTACAATTTACCCTCAAAAATTTGAGTGCAAGAGCGACGTCTTCTAGTGCCAAATTTCCGGGCATATCGTTTGAACGAGTGGCAACAAAGCCTGAAAAATTTCTCTATGCTCAGCAAAACAACTTCGAAATAGCTTGTAAATGTATTGGCATTGAGAAAAGATTGGCATTGGGTAAAGCATTGGGTAACTCACCCTCGAATCCCATCCGATAATCGGCTGAAGCGAAAACGATGCGCTTTGAGGCGATATTTCGCAAGATTCCCGAATTCTCGTAATAATACTTTCCACCAACCTGGAATTTCGATTAATTTTAATGATATTTTTAATGAGATTCAATCAAAAACTAATCTATTTTAATGTTCAATCAGATTCTATTCAATTAAAAATCAAATTCTTAAAACAAACCCTAAAGCCACCACCGTGAATCCAAAAGAGAAGAGGTAATTTTTCAGAAAATCTCTAAAAACTCATCATTTAGTTGATAAAAACCTCTTGAAAACGTGAAAAATAGTTTTAAAAAAAAGAAAACAAACCCTTTGCATATGATCAACGGGAATCACCAACTTTAGCCGCAAACAATCGTCGCTTGTTGGGACTGGACTTGGGCTCTCGAAGTAGTAACGCTGAAGGAAAAGTAGTAGTTAAAGTGGTAGTAAAAGTAGTAGGAAAAGTAGTAGTTAAATTAGTAGTTAAAGTAGTAGTGAAAGTAGCAGTAAAAGTAGTAGTAAAAGTAGTAAAAACAGTAGTAAGAGTAGTAGTAAAAGTAGCAGTAAAAGTGGTAGTAAAAGTAGCAGTAAAAGTAGTAGTAAAAGTAGTAAAAACAGTAGTAAGAGTAGTAGTAAAAGTAGTAGTAAAAGTAGTAGTAAAAGTAGTAGTTAAAGTAGTAGTAAAAGTAGTAGTTAAAGTAGTAGTAAAAGTAGTAGTAAAAGTAGTAGTAAAAGTAGTAGTTAAAGTAGTAGTAAAAGTAAAGTAGTTATTTCAAGTATTAAGCTGATTTATGTGCTTAAAATGTGTGAAAACAAAAGCTTTCTGGTAAGCAATACGAAAGTATTGCTTGAAAACTTACCAAATAGTGATAGCAAGCGCTTTGATTTCTCACATCCAACACACCTTTCCATGGATCACGAGGCTCCGGTAACTGAACTTTTATTTTAAATGTATAATCAAGCTGGTTTGGTATACTGTAATGGATTCTACAGTATTTCTGTCTTTTTTTCCCTTACCTCAAATCGAAGCTCTCCACTAGGCGGCTTAGCAAAAGGAATCGATTCAAAGACTTGTCCCCAAGTGCCTGATGACTGAAAAATGAGATTTTGAAGAGAAGTCTGAACATTAACGGATCTTAAACTACCGTAAATACTTGAATAGTACCCCATCCCCATAATGATGGTGCGGAGTGTTGCGTAGTCTAGCGTAGCTCTAGTCTGCGTAGTCTAGCGTAGATCTAATCTGCGTAGTCTAGCTTTGAACGTGTTTTTCTCGACACTGGTTTATGCTACAATGTGCGCTTAGGTATCAAAAAATAGCCCTAAATTCCAGCTATTTTTTGATGCCTAAGCGCGCATTGTAGCATAAACCAGTGTCGAGAAAAACGCGTTCAAAGCCAGACTACGCAACACTCCGCACCATCATTATGGGGGTGGGGTACTATTACAGTATTTACAGTATGTTTTCTAAAGCTTATCCTTAACTAATTACTCTAGATAGGTCATAAATCATTGCAATACTTTAAATCATTGTTAATTAATCATTAATCGTCATTAATGTTTTCCTTTAATGTTTACTATAGCTGAACGGGGAAATTACTAGTTTAGTAGCTTTTCTTTTATTTGAACAAATCATGGTGTTTTCTATAACGAGAATTAGTGTAAAGCAGACTGTAAAGCATACTGTAATGCAGACTGTAATGCAGACTGTAAAGCATACTGTAATGCAGACTGTAATGCAGACTGTAAGGCATACTGTAAGGCATACTGTAAGGCATACTGTAATGCATACTGTAATGCAGATGAATTCTAGCAGATTACTGTATACAGTTTAGTTGATAAAAGATTTTAAAACACTCAAAATCCGCACCTCAACAACTTCTCCTAAAACAGTGCCTTTGGTTGTCTCGAGTGGGATGGCTTGATTGAGGAGTTGAGCCTCAATTAGCCCAATCACTAACAAAATGAGGCCAAGCATCTAAAATTTCTTTAAATCAATTAAATCATAAAACAAAAGAAACTGATCATTTGAATTGACTTTATGCGCATTTTAATTGTGTGAAGAATGTGTGGGGGAATTTTAATTGTGTCAAGAATGTAGAGGAAAATTTGGGAAAATCAAATGACAAGAATGACAAGAACAATAAGAACAATAAGAACAAGAATGCACAAAAGAAGTAACTCTTTTTTTTTTAATCAAGTCCAAATCTAACCCAAAAACTCAGTAAATCAAGATTTCAGTAAAGAAAAGATGCGAAGGAATTAATTGAACTGAGAATGGCAATTGGAGATCTGTGGCTTTGCCATTTGCAAATTATAGTTTTCTCTGATCTAGCAGTTTACTTATCTAGCAGATCTAGCAGATCTAGCAGCTCTAGTAAATCTTGGCTTGATCAATCAAAGGTCAATCTTGATCTTGGCTAACTCTTGATCTTGGCTAAATCTTGATCTTGGCTAACTCTTGATCTTGGCTAACTCTTGATCTAACTTGAACTGGGCTAGCTCTTGACCGGATTTGACTTTAATAGACTATAGAAAAAGTATAACATCCTTGTACTTTACTAAAGTTTACCATCTTTTTCTTTACTAGGGTTTAGCTTGATCTGTTTGGTTTGAAATCGGTCCTATAAACAGCTATGAACCTATATAACCCTAGATAACCCTATATAACCCTATATAACCGTAGATAACCCTATATAACCCTATATAACCCTATATAACCCTATATAACCGTAGATAACCGTAGATAACCCTAGATAACCCTAGATAACCCTATATAACCCTATATAACCGTAGATAAACCTAGATAACCCTAGATAACCCTAGATAACCCTAGATAACCCTAGATAACCGTAGATAACCGTAGATAACCCTGGATAACCCTAGATAACCTAGATAACCCTAGTTCTAAAACAGCTTTGAAGTCTGTTCTACAAAAGATTGATCTACCTGGTTTACCTGGTGTAAAAGCTAGAAGCCAAACTCTCACATCCCGGCTTAATAAGATCACTTCTCTTGTATCACAAATATCAACCACGAAAATTTAATAAACCTACAACTCTTCACAGTCAAAAATTTGCTTCTTTGAAAAAAAAAGGGACTATTCACTCAAATTTAATCTCCAAATCGTGTATCTATGTACGCATTTTATGACGGCAAAATTATTGTATCGTAAAACCATTGTAAAATCTCCTTTTCTTCAAAAGCACACGACTTTGCAACCTTGCATTCTGTCTCAAACATCAGGGTTGGCTTCTTTTTTGGCTCTTTCATTTTTCCTTATCAAACAGTTGTAAATGTTTGAGAAATTCTTTGAAAATCTTGTGATTTTTTGGGAATCTGGAGAACTTTTTCTAGCCAGGTACAGCCGTTTTTAAGAACTCTTGGGCACACAGAAGCTCTTCAAAAGTAGAACAAGCTCTTCAAAAACCTAATGGGCTTTTTTTAGTGTTTAAACTAGGCTCTAGGCGACCCTAGGCTCTAGCCAGGCCAGGCTAGAGCAACTCCAGGCTTGATTTCTGGCTGTTCTATTTAAGCTTAAGCTTTTGCGATTCAAAACCCTGAATGTTAATGTTTTCAAGTAACTACCGTATTATACTTTGCTTGATGATTGTTCAAACAAGATCTCGATCATTTGAACTCAATCACAGCCAACTGCTAATTCATCCACGGCATTCTCTCTAACTTCTAGAGTAGTGAACCCTGAGCATTGCCTAAATTCCTCGAAATCTCGAGAACCGCTTATCAGAGCCTATCGATGTGGGGTCGGAAAATGTAGCTGACGATGAGATCTTGTGGGGGATTTAAGTGTAGAGCTTCTGTAAAAGCTTGGAAGTCGTAAAATAGGCAGCAACTCGGCTCCTTTTGCATCCTTTTGTCCTTTTGCGCAACACGCCTTAACTTTCTTCTAAGTCTGCCAATTCTAAAATTGGGAAAATGATTCTACCTATATGAACTAAATGAGGATATAGTGTAACGTGCTTTATTTTCTGTGGAGTCTCAATGTGGTTTATGTCTGCTTCTTTAAAGAAACAAGACTTTATTTAACATCTGAATCACCACGCAAAACACTACGTTCCACGTTAACAACACCACGTACAACAAACCAAGGATCAAACACTCACTGAGAAAATGAATGAAAACAATCACTTAATAAATGAGAACACGAACCACTTGCAAAAGGGAATGCGAAAGAAAAAAATCACTTGATCAAGAGCAAAAAAATGAATCAAGAAGACTCAAATGAAAGAAAAGGACCTACGGAATAAGATAGGAAACCTTTTATAGCCTTTTACTTGTGCAAAAGTTACTTAGTCAACGGTTACTTACGTTCCCAAGGGCACGTTATAGAATTTAAAACCTTTAACTGACGTGTGTGAGGATCGAGAGTTCGATCACTACCCTCAAAAATGAATTGGAACTTGTACAACACTGTGAAAAACTTTTAACAAGCAGATAAACAGATAGGAAAAAGTATTTAGTTGATTTTCGAAGATAAAATCTTTCAGATAGCTCAAGAAACAGTTGGATAGTGAATTTTTTTAAAGTAAACAGAAAGCTTGTTAAAGAATTGTAGAGACTGATTGACGATTTTCTGTTAATTTCAAACTTTTTCAATGTTTATCTTCAAAATCCAGACCAAATTTCCCTTTGTTAACCCGGGAAAACATGATCGCCGATCGTTGACTTTTCAAAATCCTTTCAAATTCAAATTCAAAAAATGTTTTGCTCTCAAAAATGAAAACAGAATACAAGCTTTGGATAAAGAATACAAGCTTTGGATAATATTGTGGCTCAATATTGTGGCTCAAGCTGTGGGCTTTGCACAACGAGTACAGCATCGACGTCGACGGCTTCGACGAGCACAGCTTCCACGTCAACAGCTGTAAGTTGAACACAAATCAATGTAACCGTAGAAAGATCATAAGTCCATCGTTAACTAGAGCCAAGTATCCCAGGCCTGTCCAGTCAAATCCAGTCAAAATACCGGTTCAGCTTTGTGGTTCAGGGTTGGGTGGTTATCGGACATTTGATACGCCCCTTTTCCCATTAGTAATCTAACTTTGAGCTTAAATTTCTTGGTGTTGAGCTGTTCAATCAAAATTTTCTTTGTATCACTAGATGCGCCTAGTCTTTCTCTATCGATTGTTATAAAAACTAGTTAAATTGGAACGCTCAACACCAAGAAATTTGAGCTCAAAGTCATGGCAATGGAAAAGGGGGCGGGGCGCGTATATAAGCCCGTATGCCATTATCAATCTAACTTTGAGCTCCGAAAACATTTTCAGTTGCGCAATGTGGGTGGCCAACGGCTTTTGCAATAATACAGCTTACACAGCGGCACAGGTATTGCAATTTGATGCTTAATGAAGACTATAAATTGAAGAAATTGCTCTTAAACCTTTAAAAAAAGCATTTCCAGAAAGCTCAATATTGTGGCTCAAGCTGTGGCCTTTGCACAACGAGTACAGCATCGACGTCGACGGCTTCGACGAGCACAGCTTCGAATGGATAAAGAAAGAAAAATGGATAAAATAGATAAATTAAAAGAAATTTTGAAGGAATACCGTTTTTTTAAACTTTTTTACTATAAAATTTGATGTATTTGAGAAGAAATTTGCGGTAAAATAAGTCCGAAAAATTTATTAAGAACATATCGCCTTTGGTTGATGAACAAAACATTTTCCATGAGGCCATCGACCATCAGGCTGGCTGAAAATGTTTTGTTTAATTGTTTAAATGTTTTTTTTGTTTAAATGGATTAATATTGAATTGTGTAATAAGGGAAATTTTGGGAAAACGCCCCTTTTGCCATTGGCAATCCAACTTTGAGCTCAAATTTCTTGGTGTTGCGCTGTTCAATTTCAATATTCTTGGCATTATTAGATGCGCCAAGTCTTTCTCTGTCGATTGGTACAAAAACTATTTAAATTGGACGCACCAACATCAAGAAATTTGAGCTTAAAGTTAGATTGATAATGGCAAAGAGATCGTGGCGCGTATCAAATGTCCCACAACCTACTTTGGTCTCCAAAGTGACTTTCTAATGATTGTTAGATTGTTCAAAGTTAGATTGCTAATAGAAAAAGGGGCCGGGCTTAAGGGCTTATATACGCGCCCCGCCCCTTCCTCCATTGCCATAACTTTGAGCTCAAATTTCTTGGTTTTGAGCTGTTCAATTTATAAATTATTGGTATTATTAGATGCGCCAAGTCTTTCTCTATCGATTGGTACAAAAACTGCTTAAATTGAACGCACCAACATCAAGAAATTTGAGCTCAAAGTTAGATTGTTAATGGGAAAAGGGGCGGGGCTTAGGGGCTTATATACGGGCTTTTTTCCATTGCCATGACTTTGAGCTCAAATTTCTTGATGTTGGTGCGTTCAATTTAAACAGTTTTTGTACCAATCGATAGAGAAAGACTTGTCGCATCTTTCTCTATCGATTGGTATAAAAACTGTTTAAATTGGACGCACCAACATCAAGAAATTTGAGCTCAAAGTTAGATTGCTAATGGCATACGGGCTTATATACGCGTCCCGCCCCTTTTTCCATTACCATAACTTTGAGCTCAAATTTCTTGGTGTTGATCAATTTAACTAGTTTTTATAACAATCGATAAAGAAAGACTTTGCACATCTAGTGATACAAAGAAAATTTTGATTGAACAGCTCAACATCAAGAAATTTAAGCTCAAAGTTTGATTGCTAATGGGAAAAGGGGCGGCGTATCAAATGTCCGATAACCGCCCAACCCTGGACCACAAAGCTGAACTGGTATTTTGACTGGATTTGACTAGACAGGCCAGGGATACTTGGCTCTAGTTAACCATGGACTGATGATCTTTCTACTGTTACATTGATTTGTGTTCAACTTACAGCTGTTGACGTCGAAGCTGTGCTCGTCGAAGCCGTTGACGTCGATGCTGTACTCGTTGTGCAAAGCCCACAGCTTGAGCCACAATATTGAGCTTTCTGGAAATGCTTTTTTTAAAGGTTTAGGAGCAATTTATTCAATTTATAGTCTTGATTAACTATGAAATTGCAATACCTGTGCCGCTGTGTAAGCTGTATTATTGCAAAAGCCGTTGGCCACCCACATTGCGCAACTGAAAATGTTTTCGGTGTTCGGAAAATAGGGAAGATTTCAAGGTTTCAAAATTTCAAATTGTAAAGCTTTTAAAAGTTTGTAAATTCTAAGATTTCGTTTACTTTATGTTTGAATTCGAGCATCCCGTTGAGGAAGTGGTAAGCGAGCAAGCTCCACCTAAAAATATTTTGTTTTTCCGTAAATACTTTCATCATTTTTTCAACGATTCTGTTCTAAGCACTGGTTAATGATAGAAATCTGTTTTATATCTCAAAAAGTCCCCCATTCTCTCTACTTTAATTTGATGCCTAAGCGCGCAAAAACAAACGTACTGGTGCTGAGATTTGAGTGGTTTTGCAAAACATTGCAAAACATTGCAAAACATTTTAGCGATTCTTGTAAAGATAAACGTGAAGCAGGAGATGGATTGGGTCATTAAATATCAGGATTATCGATTATTTAATCGATTTGAGTGTTAAACCTAGACTACGCTCTTCAATTAGAATTTATTGTAAGCTTTATGAAATAATCTATTAGAATCTAATCTAATCTTCATATATTTTACGATAGTTTTTAATTTTAAACTGTGCTTTAAATTGTGCTTTGTGCTAAAATCCTTACATGACAAGGCACAATACGAGGTTCGTTGAGCGGCCGTGTAAAAGCTGTTCGTGCAGAAACCGTTCGCCGCCCAACTCGTGCATCTGAAAGTAATTTTTTGTCTTGATATAATGATATCACATCTATAATAGTCTTAAAGTCTTTATTCGTCATTTATTAACTTTATTGATTGCTTTATAGATTGCTTTATAGATCGCTTTGTAAAATGTGTTAGCTTTTGTTTTGTTATTTTGGTTGTTATCAATTGCGGCTCGTTGAGCGGCTGTATAATTAAAAGATGTTATAATACTTAATGTAAAGTAAAATAGAACGAATTCCAGCGGTTAAACGTCGAAATAAAATGAAAATAAAATCAAAACAAAGAAAAGGAATCGAACTCGAGCAAAAATTTGATCGGTTGTTTTGGAAACAAGACTCTTACCCACTACACCACAGCGCTACGTGGCGAGACCGTGAAAGAAGCGTTATAAAGAGACTTTTTAACTTTTAGGTTTTTGATTCTTCTTTTTGACTTCTAACTTTTTGGCTTAAACTTGAGCTAGATTCCTTTTCCGAATCATTTTATAAAAACCAATAACAGCATCAGAATCAGCGCAAAATTCTGATAAATGGCTTATACCATTTGACTCTTTCCTTTACATCTATAATAGTCTTACAGTCTTTATTCGTCGTTTATTAACTTTATAGATTGCTTTATAGATTGCTTTATAGATCGCTTTGTAAAATGTGTTAGCTTTTGTTTTGTTATCTTGTTTGTTATCAATTGCGGCTCATTGAGCGGCTGTATAAAAGCTGTGCAGAAGCCGTTCGCCGCCCAACTTGTACCTCTAGGACATTAGAATTTTATCCAGCTTTTATACCTTATATTATCTTATTTAGATATCTTATATACTTATATAAATATCTACTATATTAAAGCTTATATTATCTATAGCTTTATAGCTCTAGATCATCTAAAACACTTACGCAGAGTAGGTATTCACACAAGACATCGAAAGTTGAACTGAAAATTAATTGATAATATATAAAAAGAAAGCCTTTATCTTTATAAATATGATATAAAGATATAAAAAAGATATAAAAAGTGACTTTCGAAAAGATATAACCTATTGCATGGCTTAAGGAGTGGAGTTGACTGCAGTAGCCGATCAGGCTTGCAAGAAAGCTAAGCCAAATCTTAAAGCCCATCGGACTATAACTGTTTTCAAAGCAAATCCTTTTAAAAAAGCTAATAACAAACTATTCTTATAGAAAACTATCAGTTATTCTTTAAATTCTTCAACTAAAATCATTAAAATTATGTGGATAAGTGCTGAAATTTGTATAGAAGACGATACTGTTAAACGATAGTGTTAAACGATAGTGTTAAACGATAGTGTTGAACGATAGTGTTGAACGATAGTGTTGAACGATAGTGTTGAACGATAGTGTTAAACGATACTGTTAAACGATACTGTTAAACAATACTGTTAAACGATACTGTTAAACGATACTGTTAAACGATAGTGTTAAACAATACTGCTAAACGATACTGTTAAACAATACTGTTAAACAATACTGTTAAACGATACTGTTAAACGATACCGTTAAACAATACTGCTAAACAATACTGTTAAACGATACTGTTAAACGATACTGTTAAACAATACTGCTAAACGATACTGTTAAACGATACTGTTAAACAATACTGCTAAACAATACTGTTAAACGATACTGTTAAACGATACTGTTAAACGATACTGCTAAACTTTTGAAAGTTAAAGAAAGCGAAACTTTTCAAACCTCCAACACAAGCTAAAATCAAATAACGAAGCATTTTTGAGTAGAAAGAAATTTGAATTCAATGATTTCATCGAAAATCTCAATCCATTTTATACTCAAATCTGACAGTTGGCCAAATGTTGCAATGATCAAAAAGGAAGAAGAAGAAGAAGAAGAAGAAGAAGAAGAAAGTCAATAGCCAAAGAAGAAGAAGAATTTTAAAGAAGAAGGAAAACTTTTTCCCAAAACTCTAGTAGTTTTAACCAATTTGCAGTCATTATGACGTGTTCTGAAATTTTTAGAAAATTGACAAGTGTATCTTTGGCAAGCTGCACAAACAAATTTTGGTTCATTTTAAGGCTTTACTTTCCGGAAAAACTCACGAATTTGTGACGGATTTAGATTCGGAAAAGTTCAACGATAAAAAAAATCTTTTTCCAGCAATCAAAATCTAAAGCAATGTACCCAGAAAGAGTCGGCTTTGAAAGCTGACACAAACTAAACATTGATCAATTTGGGGATAGTTTGAAATCAACAAGTCTAGGGACGTTCCATCAAGGGACAGCCGGACCACAGCCAGCTTCAGAGCTGGTTTCTAGGACTGGGCCAGGGGAATCTTTTCTGTTCGTTTCCCATCAGAAATAATCTGGATTCTAGGAGCAATGTACTTTTCAATAATTGGAATCAAAGTAGCAGCTGATCGGTCGACGAACGAACACACTAAACTTTGAACGAACACATTCCCTGAACACTCCACAACTTTTCGACCATTCACTGAATATGATATTCTCGCTTTGAGAAGAGTGATTCGTCGATCTTCAATTGCATGAGTTTGAGTTCAATCAACTCCAGGCAACTTCAGGCACATTCAACTCCAGACAACTCCAGACACATTCAACTCCAGACAACTCCAGGCACATTCAACTCCTGGCAACTCCAGGCACATTCAACTCCTGGCAACTCCAGGCAACTCCAGACACATTCAACTCCAGACAACTCCAGGCACATTCAACTCCAGGCAACTCCAGACACATTCAACTCCAGACAACTCCAGGCACATTCAACTCCTAGCAACTCCAGGCAACTCCAGACACATTCAACTCCAGACAACTCCAGGCACATTCAACTCCTGGCAACTCCAGGCAACTCCAGACACATTCAACTCCTGGCAACTTCAGGCAACTCCAGGCACATTCAACTCCTGGCAACTCCAGGCACATTCAACTCCTGGCAACTCCAGACAACTCTAGGCACACAACTCCAGGCAACTCCAGGCACATTCAACTCCAGGCATACAATCACCAATGGTTTATAAACACATCTCCATGCTTCCTCAAGACTTTGATTGTTGAATTTCCGTTTCCTCACAGATGAATGAACTTAAATCCTCAAATCAATTGTTCACCAATGGCACGAAACGAGTCTGAAAGTCCCAGGTAGACACATTGATTTCATCCCCAATGATATTGATCCGTTCATTCTTTTTTTGGGCATTGGCCCTCTTTACCTCCACCCCCTGGCTATGAACCTGACTCAAAACTATAGAAGAGCAGGCAAAAAGATTCAAATTTTCTTGAGCCAAATCAAGCAGGTTTACCTAAACTCTAGTTAGTCCTATTCCAGCAGAAATTCAATCAAAACTTACAGAATCCGATCCCTCACAGCCAAGCTGAAAGTAAAGCCAACAGAACTATTCCTGTGTTGATCTATCGCTGGAATTCTCCAATCCCTGGATCAGCTCTGGAATCATCAGCCTAGTTACAGAATTGATTTAAGTCGAGCTAAAAAATCAATCAACATTCTACAATTATCCAATTGCTAACATCTATAAAGATTGATTTTATGTTGTTCGCTTCTGATTCAATGCAAATTCGTATACAGGCCAGGGATACTTGGCTCTAGTTAACCATGGACTGATGATCTTTCAACTGTTACATTGATTTGTGTTCAACTTACAGCTGTTGAAGCTGTAAGTTGAAGCAAATTCATTGAAATTCATTGAAATTTCGAAAGCTAAAGAGTTGAAAGAGTGTGGGCATTTATTTTGCTCTTTCCCTCTTTTCACCTCTCGTAACTCCATCAGATATTTGCATATCTAAAGGTTTGAATGGGGAAAAGGCCCTCATTCAAATTGGGTCATCTTTTCTTTTCTTTTCCATTCCTTACCTCTTTCTTTGCACTCCAAATAACTTATCTCTATTGAGTATCATTTTCGAAGTTTAGTTATCGATTTGGTTCCAAATTCTAAAAAATGATGATGATTTCAGTCTTCGAGTCTGTCTTTTTTCTCTCACAAACCTTCCAGTCGGTCATTTTTGTCTCACAAGTCTTCCAGCCTGTCTTTTTTGTCTCACAAACCTTCCAGTTTATCATTTTTGTCTCACAAATCTTCCAGCTTTTCATTTTTGTCTTTCTTGTCATAAAAAATATAATACTTATTCGGCATCAAGGTTTAAATTAAAGCAAATGCTTTATATTTAGCATTGTTAACTGATCCAATAGAACAAATAGCCCTAGAGACAGGCTAGAAATAAAGTCCAGGCAAGGCAAGGTAATCTGGGTTTACGTAACTAATCCTAGTAGTAACCTAATGATTTCAGTCTTACCAATTCGTACAGATCCAGCTTCTTGAGCCAGGTCACAGCCAGAAACTTTTTAAACATAGAATTAGATTGTCGATGAAGCTTTATTCTGTCCATTCCAAGCTCCAGCTTTATTCGGTCCATTCCAAGCTTCAGATTTATTCTGTCCATTCCAAGCTTCAGCTTTACTCTGTCCTTTCCAAGCTTCAGCTTTATTCTATCCATTCCAAGCTTCAGCTTTATTCGGTCCATTCCAAGCTTCAGATTTATTCTGTCCATTCCAAGCTTCAGCTTTACTCTGTCCTTTCCAAGCTTCAGCTTTATTCTATCCATTCCAAGCTTCAGCTTTATTCGGTCCATTCCAAGCTTCAGATTTATTCTGTCCATTCCAAGCTTCAGCTTTACTCTGTCCTTTCCAAGCTTCAGCTTTATTCTGTCCATTCAAAGCTTCAGCTTTATTCTGTCCATTTCAAGCTTCAGCTTTATTCTGTCTATTCCAAGCTTCAGCTTTATTCTGTCCATTCAAAGCTTCAGCTTTATTCTGTCCATTCAAAGCTTCAGCTTTATTCTGTCCATTCCAAAAGCTTTGTCATTCAAATCGATTTGTTTACCAAACGAATTTGTGAGTTGTGTTTACTCGGAAAGTGAGTGACGACTGAAAAATGAAGAGAAAAGGCTACAATGGCTACTCAGAATAGAAGTGTTTTGCCTACTCAAATGGAAAGTTTACCTAGAATTTCGGAATTTCATTTTTATAACTTTTTTTCTGTTTTCTAATCTTTCAACTTTCTCCATTTCTTTCAAACTTATAAATAATCAAATTTCTAGAGCTATTTATAGCTGATAGCTAGAAAAGAAGTCAAGTATTGCTGGGAAAAGTTTAGAAATCTTTTGAACTATTAACTATCAGTAAGTTAAGGTATCAAAAAGTCTCAATGACCGTTTGTTTCTTCTCGAAAATCTGGATCTTTTGACAAAATACTAGTCTTTTCTGCCGATTCTTTCTTTTTCTTAAACCTCCAAAAGTTTTACGACTCACTGACACTTCGGTTTTCAAAAACACCTCAAAAACTATAGTCCAATAATTCTTTTTTCGCTCGATCAGAACCCAAATCCCTTGACCAACTGCTCATTTTTCTTCATTTTTCTTCATTTGTTCCTTTCCTGATCTTCCTGACGCTTGTTTCCTCTTCTTTCTCTTCTTTCTCTTCTTTCTCTTCTTTCTCTTCTTCCTCTTCTTCCTCTTCTTCCTCTTCTTCCTCTTCTTCCTCTTCTTCCTCTTCTTCCTCTTCTTTCTCTTCTTCCTCTTTTTGAGAATCACGAGCATTTTCCACAACAGACACCCCAAACAAATCGCTGAAAAGGAACATTGTATCAAATATCAGCTGAAGCGACTACTCTCTTTTAGGTATTCTTTTGGTTTATTTCTTACAAACTAACAGAACTAGCGCTGCGCTAAAGATAATCTCCAGCTCAAGGTTTTCTTCTTTCTTCTTCTTCTGCTCAAACAATCAAAGTCTAGGCCAATCCAAAAGCCGGACCCGGCCTAGACTGGCTTAGCTTTATTGCAAGCCTTATTGCAGCCTGATCGGCTACTGCAGTCAACTCCACTTCTTATTTGTTTCCTCTAGATTTTCTCTAGAAACAAG